AACACTTGTGCTTGCGTTATGATGAAAATCTGGTTGTCAACTGTGCCCTGGTCTTTGCTGAGATATTCCCAATGCTTTTGTACTCAGGTGTTCGTGCCCGGCTATGTTGCTGTGCTTTTGACCGCTTGTGCCACAAGGCTACAGAGAGCCACTGGGAAAAGTTGAGGCTGATTCAACAGTGACACCAGGTGGCACCTCCTGGTAGAGCAATGTTCAGGTTTGCACATTGTCGACATTCTGTATTGGACGTAATGAATGTTTAGCTTCGTCATGCATGAAAGCGTGGCATTTGTTTTTTATTTTTTACAAAGGGTAGTTTGCAGAAGGCCTACGGTTTGATTCTTGCTGCCGCCCAATACATTCTCCAGATCATTTCTGAATTATTCCATCTGTTTGTCACGTGAACGTAAAAAAATATGTGGTTTTTCGCAAGAACGTAACAATAAGTGTAATTGTTGTATCCGAATTCCCACCTGTAAAGACTATTAAGTCCAAAATTCAAATAATAATGGAGCAGTGTAGCCGAACAGTCAGGTGTTTCTTGTAAAATATTGTGCAACGTTTGAAGGGCCCTTGTCTGATTAAAGTACACCACTAAACGGCTAATCTTCTTACCTCAAGTAGTAGTAGATGACAATTAAATCACAGTCTTCAAACCGCAATCACAAATTTGCCCAATTTTTATATTAAAACGCGGCACTCACTAACGTGCGTCACGATTGTTACAAAAAATAATAATCACTCGGCTTTTTGGAAATATTGGACCCCTTAATTCAGATTAGGTCATGGATAACAAAACCACCAGCTCACTTTTGCTTGACTACTGTATTTATAATGAGAATTACTGTATAACAGTAGTTATATTTTTTATATACCGTGGCTGGTTGCATAAAACACCTCATGTGGAATTGTCAAAAAGTAATTGGGAAATTGGGCCCAGGAATGCATTGCTAGGTGGATAATGCATTGAACCCGATAAAGCAATGTGGCACCAATATTTAAGAATTTTACCTTCACTGTGACTCTATTTAGAAATGTTGATTATTGAAGCTTTGTATGTTACTGACTCTCTACAGTTTAGGTAGCTATTCACATGCCTATTTAAATACTGATCAGAAAATATTTTTAAAATGTAATTCTCATCAGGCCACAGGGGTGTAACGTGCAGTCTACAACTTATTATCCAGTTTGTTTCTCGCCTGTGTTATGAATGACCATTACCAGAAATATCGTCCATTGGTTTTTTTCTTTTAAGGTGGTGTTATTGATTTGTTGATTTTTGTCTATAGTTATATCACGGAAAAAAAACCGATCATATTCAGCCCCAACCCCCATTAGTCCGACATCCAGAGGCTTTCCTGCGTGCTTGCATATATCGCTCTCTCTCTCCGTAGTGGTGTGGATTTTTTTCTCCAGGTCCTCCGGTTTTTCCCTCCACATTTAGAAACATGCGTCTAAATTATTTTGCTGCTATAAATGTCCATGTGACAGGTAACTTCGTTGAGCTATCATTTGTGGCCAGGTTGCTTCTGCCAAACAAGCTAATAGTTGAGTTTTATTTGTGTATATTTTAAGTGATTTGTTTACATTTCCTATACTTTACACTCCTACCTGGACTCCTACCGTGTTTTTGTATTCTTTGTTGTTGTAACGTTCTGATCTTTCTCTATTGGACGTCTGTGAAAAAGATCTATATAGCTCATCGCATTCCTCCAGTATAAATATTTTATTCTATTAACACAACGCAGGCGAGTCCACGCATCTCATTAAAACACGAGCTTGCCTTCACATTCATTAGGACCTCAATAACGTCCCTCGCCATCGCTTGAAGTCACGCAAGCCCTTATGGACCCACGCGCTTAACACTTCAACAATGAGAGTTCAGTTCCGATGAAGCTTGGAGAGCTGAATGGAGTTCAAAAGAACTCACACACACATTGTGAAATACTCAACGCAGAAGACCCTAGGTTTGATCTTTCACGAAGCTCATGGTCCATCCTAAAACGCATCTAGCACAAACAATGGCAGATGCGGATACTTGATGCACAAATGGAATTTTAAAAAACTCTCCATGATGCGACTGTGGTCATATAGAACAGAGCGTAACAACGTATAACGACACAATGCCCGATCCACAAATACGAAGGAGACATCACAGCGATAGACATAGTCTTATATTCTTGGTTCTTTCGGTAAAATCACTTAGAAGGGAAACAATAAAATAATAAAAATATAAAGCAATAAAATTCTCACGACGTGTCGACTGCAACACAAGCAATCATCAGGTGTGAAAACCACAAGTAAATTTGAAAAAAGTGGCTGTTATTTTTAACGTTAGCACCACGGAGAGAGATGTGACAGTTTTTTTCAGATGGACGAGTCCAGCTATGTTCGGAAAAGAGGGGGGGAGACAAAAAATAATGGATTCAGTCTGAAAGCCACCTTAAGCGTAATCAATCAATTAAGACCCGAAATGGTTTATCAAACCCTTCCAATAATTGCTAAGCCAGAATCCATCTTCTCGGTTGAAATTGTCTGTGTTTGTATGTGGATAGCCTCATGAACGAATCTCTCATGGTAGCCAGATGGCTTGCAAAGAACCTCTGTCTTGGAGAAGTCAATGTCGTGTGAATCTACTGAATTGTAACAGTGATCTGCCACGGCCGTGGTGTTGGTCCTACCGTGTTTCAGGTCTGCTTTTTGTTCACGAATGCGGTCCGAGACATGTCGTTTGGTTTCTCCATTGTAACTACTACCACAGAGGCAACTTAGTTTGTAGACGCCAGGTTACTGTATGTCCAGAATCACATCTTTTACAGACGGAACCAGATCACGGATTTTATGTAATGTGTTGAATCGGACCTGGATCTTGTGTTTATTCAAGATTTTGGAGATCTCTTTTGTGATCCCCGCAATGTAGGGTAAAGTGATGGTTTTGAAATGGCTCCTCAAGAGGGTCCTTCTTCATGGTTGGAGTGATAGCTTTTCGGGTCTTAATTGATTGATCACGCTTAAGGTGGCTTTCAGACCGCATCCATTATTTTTCGTCTCCCCCCTCCTCTTTTCCGAACATAGATGGACTCGTCCATCTGAACAAACTGTCAAATCGCTATCCGTGGTGCTAACGTAAAAAAAAATGCCACTTTTTTCAAATTTTCTTGTTGTGGTTTTCACACCTGATGATGATTGCTTGTGTTGCAGTCGAAACGTCGTGAGAATTTTATTGTTTTATATTTTATTATTTCATTGTTTCCCTTCTACGTGACTTTACCGAAAGAACCAAGAATATGAACCCCTGCAGTCACGAAAGCTTTAAATCAGAGATAGTCTTCTTTAGGGCATAGTCTCACCAGCGTCAGACCAGAGAACGCCAAAAGGCGAAAGGTGTGGCCGTTGGTGGAGACCTCTGATGTAAGACAATCAGTTTCAAAGTCAATGCATATATTTCATATAGGGTTTTGTTGGGTTAGATCGCGTGTCGTTAAACCCGCCAAATCCAAATTTGTGGATTTGCTCTCCAACACACCGGTGTGTTGCACTAGTAACGAATTGGCATGTTGCGACCTTACTAATCGGTTGTCGGGTGGTGACGGGTTTTAACGACGCATGTATATTTACGTGATCTAACCAAAAAAACCTATATGGATATTGGTCGCGGAAGCCTACGTGTTAAACGAATGCATGTATTATCAGAAGCATGAATGTATGTATGCATGTTCACCACACGTGTGTGTGGATAATGCAGATATGATCTCCCAAAATGTTTCCATTGTGTTTTAACACCATAACACCTAAATTTTGATTTAAAGCATTCGTGACTGCAGTGATTCATATTCTTGGTTCTTTCGGTAAAGTCACGTTGAAGGGAAACAATAAAATATAGTTTTATATATTATATTATTTTATCGTTTCCCTGCAACGTGACTTAACCGAAAGAACCAAGAATACCATAACACCTGTTTGTATTGCCAGAAAGGGTAACACCAATTCTTAATTTTTTCTTTCACACTTTGATACCGGCTAAAAGAGGGGCTCCCATTTTAAGGAACGGGTTCTAGGGAACTACATTTTTGGGGTTCGTAACCCGAGGAGGGACCGCTCACGCCCTCCAGCCCTGCTTCACATCATCATCCGCAACACGACGTGCGGGATTAAAGCACGTGGTGACCCAGCTGGCGGACGTGACGTCACGCCGGAAGCACGCGGTATCGCCCCCCCACCCACCCCCCCACCACCACGAGCGACGCCAGGGTCACGGCGCCATTTTGAGGCCGGGCAGCGGGACGCGAGACGGCGAAGGCGCGCTAGGGGGGAGAGACGCGAGGGAAGTTCATCGCTCGCACGGGAGGGGGGCAACTCAGGGGCAGGGCCTCGCGCCAACAACCCCAACCGAGCAAGCACGCCGCATCGTTACCGATTCCCCTTCACGCGCGCGCGTATTGTTGTCTCGCAACGAGAGAGAATCGTCTTTTCCCGCCAAATTAAGAGCGAGCGAGCGACGAGGCGGCGCCCCCCCCCCCCACGAGCGCCCCCCCCCCACGAGCGCCCCCCCCCCCCACGAGTGCCCCCCCCCCCACGAGTGCCCCCCCCCCCACGAGTGCCCCCCCCCCCACGAGTGCCCCCCCCTCACGAGCGCCCCCCCCCCCCCCCCCACGAGTGCCCCCCCCCCACGAGTGGCGCGCGCGTGCGCCGCGAGCTTCCAGAAGGGTCCGGGTGGCCGAGAGGCCGCGGAGTCTTCCACCACCACCATCATCACCAGCAGCATCATCATCAGCAGTACCCACGAGCCCCCACCCTCAACTACCAATCCACCTCTCCTCCTCCTCCCCGCCCCCACACGACTGCCGCCGCCACAGCAACGAGGTGAGCGATGGCTGCGATGTTTTACCGTCTCGAACACAACTGCAACACGTTACTGGCGAGGTGCCGTCGTTACTTTTCCTCGCTGCTGCTGCTGTATTCAATATCGGTTAAGGGTGATATTTTTACTCGTAACTCCTGTATTTACCAATTTTCGTGAGGTACAGTACTATTGTTAGTTTCCCTCACGACTGTTGTAAGCTGTTTTGTTTGACTGCACCTCGCAAGTGCTGATGTAACGTTCATGAGGTACTGTTATTAAATGCCCGCAACTACTGCCTGCTACAATTACTGCGACTCGCTGATATTTACTGTTATTACCTCCGATTGGCATGGTTGGCGACGTACGGTGCGAAAGAAGTTCACCATACAGTACATATTTTAGTTCGGTTATTACTCCAATAATACAATATTTATAACAATACTAGGGTGATTTCGCGAAAAGTTCCCGCTCTTCAAACTTGTCTCTCGGGCATCAACACAGAACCTCAATAGAATGTTAAAGATCCTTTTGGAATCTTGGTTGGAGCCTCAGGTAATGAATGCTGTAGGAGCATCATTGTTAACCCCCTTTTATACATTGCTCTCTGCATCACAGCTAAAGCTGCTGTGCTAACGTAGTAGAACGCGCACGCACGCCCACCTGCTTGGCTGCTATACATTCCCACGTGATAAACCACTTTGTTTAGCTATCATTCGTGGCCAGGTCGCTTCTGATAAAGAGCTAGTAGCTCAGTGGGCTTTGGTAAAATAAAAAAAATAGTTTATACAGAATATTCTGGAGTTTGAGCTACGTATGTCGACATCTTTAGTGGAGACGGTCGCCATTGGGGGTTTTCTCAAATCTCTCGTTAAAAAATAATAACCACCATTTTTTAAATATTACATTGCTTTTAAAAGATTCTCGGCAACTACGAACACAATCTATCGTTTTTTTTTTTTTTAAAAAGATGATAATTGTGATGACCTAAGTGGGTAAATAAAGATGTAGCACGACTTGTACGGTACCTCAGTACAGTACGTATCGTGCACACTTCCGGTTGAACCACGTTTTCAGCGGAAGCTTGTGCACGACTCCCCCGCCACAGTAACGTGGAACTCTTCAAGTCGGGGCTGCCTCGCTGCAATGAGCAAAAACTCAGGGTTCGTGGTGACGCGAAGACATTGACTGTTTTACGATTGTATATTAAATGTAGAATTTCAGTATTTTACGTGCTTGGAGAGGGGCGCTACGTGGTGGGTCATCGAGGACAGTTCCAACATTGTTACGTCTACTTAAATCTTGACCTAAAGCTTTCGTGACTGCAGGAATTCATATTCTTTGGGTCTTTCTACGTGGCTTTACCGAAAGACCCAAAGAATATGATTACGTCTACTTGTTAAAAGGTTAATCTTACTCTGCTACCTCGTTTACTTGCCTGCCTTCAACCCGCACTGGTGAAGTACGGTTAACCCCCACAACCCTCATGGTTTGTGGAGGCCCTCATCCTACAGACGATTAACAAAAAAGTCCTCCTATACTTGTACAAGTAGTCGCACTTGAGATGTTTTCTGTGTGTGCATGGCATGTTGCTTTGCGCGTGTGAAATGTCCCCATCAGTGTCTTGTATGCGCGCATTATTATTTGTAAGAAGTGCACACTAGCACGTTCTTACACATCACAGGCATATCAGTCTTCAGGATCACTATGAATAGAATGATCTATGGATATTTTCGGGCCATGCAAGAACTTAAGCAGCAGGCAACCGTAACAGCACCCTTGGCCGTGTGGTTAATGTTACCCAAACTAAAGCCAACTGTTAAGTAATCGCTTGGCGAACATTGGAAAGACAGCAAAGACCAAACAGCTAAGCTCCCCCCTTACATTTTCCCAAAGGAGTTCCCAAAAAGACCCACCAACCATGGGTGGGTCAAAAGCTATCCATGGGTCATTATAAGTTTGAGTTGTAATTTTGGGTAGGCGATTGGCTCTGGCTTTGCTCTGGGTCGGTGTGCATATATTTCGGCAATTGTGCTGTTACACTCCTGATGAGTGATAGCGATGATCCAGATAAGTGAAGATTTTGAAAATATCCTGAACGAGCTCTTGGCTGTTTAAAATTTAAAGGTTTCGACCCCTACTAAGATAAGCGTGGTGGGCAGTTCTGAGCTTCTTTTGATGGTTCAGTCTCGCGTGGTGGGAATTCCACATTCTAGTCGCACAGACCATTATTTTCACAGTGCAACCACAGGTGAAGGGCTAACAACCCTCGACTGGGATTAAAACTTGTAACCTTCCGATTGTGAGTAGTTATTTTGTCTCGGTGCTACCCGGTCACATAGTTGTCAACTAATGGTGCAAAGTTATTTAAATAATGCAATTCTTAGTAATGATGAAATAACTTGCATTATTTAAATATCTAAATGACACTGAAATTTTCCGAACATACTTTATTTCATACTATAATTGTATTTGCTTCATGTATGCTCTTGTGTAGTTGGAAAGTAAATAGTCTCAGGCACCTGCCCTAATGCATACTGAAAGGGACAAAATTAAGATTAAAAAAATACGCTCGAAATTGCTATTTAAGAGCTTAATTTATCTTAAAAGACGATGTGATGTATTGTTCTTGGATATACAAATTCTAGAATGCCCATAATTTCAAACATTCAAAGTTTTCACTTTTACATTGTCATGTAGCATTTATACCATGGATTTTACTTTTTATTTTGAAAACCAAGGTACTTTCCAATGCAAACCCAATATAGTTAACTTCGTACCCTGAGGGCTCACCACAAACATTACGATTTATTCTCAAACCCTGTCATTGAGTGTCACTGCTGGCCAAACGTTTGTTGACAGTGGTGTTTTTGTGTTTACAGTTTAGCCTAAGGCCAGTGCACACCAATAAACATGGCTGAAGACTTTGACATTGAAGCCTTGCTGGAGGCACCTTTCCAAAAGACGGTGAGACACAACAGTGCTATGTGTGGGCTAGAGGAAGCAGCATTGTATCTCAAATTGATAGCGCTAGCATTGCTTAGACTGTCATAATGATGTCAAAATGATTGTGATGTTATAAATACCTGCAGTTTAATTTGTTGGAGCTTCTAAAATGTGTTTCGTTAAACTTTTTGGTTAATGTTTATGGTGAAAAATAATGAGAGTAAATTAACAAATGATTTAAGGCTTTTATCAGGGAGAGGAGACTGTGCTGGTGCAATGCATTTGTAATGAGTGTGAGTGTTTGTAATGAATTGCCCATTTATTTTTTCCGTAGACCCTTCCAAATGATATGTCGCGTTCTGGCGTGAGTGCAGCTATGATCCCAGTCTGAAACCCTCAGACTCGCGTGGTAACGGGGTTCCTTAATATTTTTTGTTGACTTTCATGGACTGAGCCATCTCATCACACCACAAGCTAGCGACAGCAGACGAGGCTGATTTGTAAAGTCGTGGAAAATTGTAGCGCCACTGGTAAGGGTGACTGTCACTGGTCACATCTGCACTTGGGTATTCATTCAAAATTGAAATGAACAAAGATATACATTGCTCTGCAGTTGATTATTCTCAAATGCTTTTGACAGGTGGCTTTCATCTACTGTGTATCACCAGCAAATGACTGCTGCCTGTTTGTGTGTCCCAATTTACGGAACACTGAAAATGTGATAACTGCATGTTATTTAAAGAGGCCAACTGGCATTCAGCCCAGTGGATAATGGTGGAAAAAAGCCACACGACGACACATGCGTAGTCATTCTCTAGTAATGATGATAATGATAAAGTTAATGACACAAGCAAAGCAGAGAACATGTTTGCCTGGTTTGACGACACTAAGAAATATAAATGCCCCTTTGCTTCAGGACAAGATGGGAGTGCAAAGGCTCCCCGCGAGCGGTCGTTCTGCTCAAGATGGAAACTGGCAGCATTGGAAGATCAGAGGGCCCTTCTATGAGGGTTTACTAACCGATCCTGGGCACCCTGACTTAGTCCTTGGTACTTGAAAATGGAAGGGCGGCTTTGTTCTCTAGATTGGATTCCTACCTCTCCCACTCCCTGGTTTTTGAGCCAAGACCCCACCTGACATACGGTGGTCCAGTCCAGGTTGCTGGTGTTAGAGGGTAATAAAAAAATTGAATAAAAAAAAGTATTTGTTTGCAACTTTGCTAATATGCTATTTGCATTATATGTTTTTGTTTCTCCTTTCCTCCCCACCTCCCTCCCTGCGAATCCTGTAATCTGTTGACTGCTTCATTATGATGTTATTCTATCAACCTGCTTAGGAGGCCACCAAAGTGGGTGAAGCGAATGGACACCCGCTAACTGACACAAAGTAAGAATCCTTCTCTTATCCCCACAGATCTAACCATTGTAGTATGATGCACCCTTGAAATATATTGCAAAAAGTCCTATAATAATGCTTCCTAAGTTCCACAGCATGTATGGCTCTGTTGTGCATAGGGCATTTATGAATTTATTCAAGAGACCATGTTACAAAGATCCTTGTCAAATTTCACGGGTATGACTAATGACAGTGAAAAGGCATTTGGTTTCGCAACTTAGATTTTTTTGTACAGTGGATAATGATTGCATTAAGGCTTTCTTCTGCATTGTCATTGTCTCATTTTTCTTGCTATGTTATAGAGGAACGTTCTTAGCAACTGAATTTGACTCCAGGCTCAGTCTTGACAGTTCAAGAAGTTTATTAAAGTTCACTTATCTTTCTCTCGTTTGCTCTTGTTGATTCCTATGTCACAGGCCTAAGGTCCCCCACTGCCTTACAAATGTGTTTAACAGAATAGACCGTCTTTGTTTGCGTAACAATAGCGCGCGTTTTCTTTTTTGTTTACTCTTTTGCAGTGTGATTAATTGAACGCAGGTTCCAAGTTTGTTCGCTGCCTGCTCTTGTTACATGGGCTGTGGAGGCCATCCTCTGATATTTCGTGCATGTGTCCTGTGCCTGTTCCCAGGAAAAAGAAGAGCAGGAGTCGCAGCAGAAGCAGAGACAAGAAGAGGAGGTGGGTGCTGGTTCTCTACACAAATGGCCACCATCTGAGCATGCTCAAAGCAAGATGCACATTGCCAACATTTGAAAGTTGTCATGCGAACCCATTTAAAATCGATGTACTAAATCCAGAGGTGGCCATGTGAATCGCGAAAGTAACTTAATAATAGAGATAACAGTAGGATGCTATATGCAATTAATGTACGGGATTTCAATATCAGTCGTAATATATTTGGAGTGCTAAAAACGTTGATAGCCTGACATAGAATGTAATGAGTGCTTTTGATAAAACTGTTACAGTTATTCCAGGTCCCATTGAACTATGATGCACTTGGTCCATTCATGTTCCAAGTCTTTATTCTCTCCTGAAATAACATTTTGTCTTCTCATTAAACCACTAGTTTATACCACACATTACTTCATTGTCACTAGAAAACGATGTTACCCGTGAGCGTGTCTTTAATTGTGGAATTTTGTGGAGGTTACATGCAGCCTGGGGGGTGATCAACAATTGTTTATCTTCCATGGTAAACGGCAGCCATAACAACTTAGAGCTTTAGACTTGCAAATAAGATTATTTTCTTTACAAATTCATCTCTTGCTATGAAATTTAATAATTCCTAAACGTATATTTTTAAATTAATATTCACAGTGTTGTAGTGCCACTGATTTCAACCTATAATTTGATAGCTTCTAAAAGGAATTCTATTTTCATAGATATTGTGGGTGTAGCCCCAACTCTTGAATTAACTTCATTTCTGTTACAGCTAATAGTCGAAATGTTCAGCAAAACACAAATTAGTAATGCTAGGTAAGCAATTGTATTCATTTTAATAGGATAATAAATACATCATGATCGTCTTGGGCAAGACACATTGCTATACAAGATGATGGCTGATGGATGAGACTAGTGATGGATGGCAGTAGAGAATGTGTTCAAGAGGAGAACCACCGTGGAGATGGAGCGATGAGATGAGTTTATGTGCAGGTCTGAGAGGGATGGTGACGGGTGGGAGGCCTTCATCCCAGAGTGGATAGTCAATGCCTGATGATCATGGTCTTCTTTAGCCAGGTTTTGCTTCATATTTACCGTACATCGGAAATGCCTTGATTATTTCATATTGTCTACTTTTTTGAGCAATGCTTTGATGCGGACAGTTCCAAGATATGTTGATCCTGGCATTGGTAGGCAACACCTATCATATTGCATACCACCGGGTCGGCAATAAAAATCATACGAAGAGCCATTTTTTTCGAATTCGTTACGAAACAATGCATGTGAATGCGAGATGGTGCTGAATTAAAAAAAAACGTCATGAGACGGTCCATAAAGAGCCGCATGCTGCTCCGAAGCCACAGGTTGCCTACCTCTGGTATAACAAGTTGCATTAAAAGCGCCTTTGGTATTGGAAGCATTGGCAGTGCTGCTGTGTCTGTAGGCACACTGGCCACTATGTTGCCAAGCGCACATAAAACCAAACGTGGATTCCGAAACAAACTGCAGGCACGATTATTTGACTGCATTCCATGAGCATGACAGTGTTCCGATGCCTTCACATGTACAGCTGTCTCCCACTCATTCTTTGCCAGTCTGCTTGCCCGCTGTTAATTTGCTAACGCTTGTCGTGAACTCAGCCGCAGCCGAGATCGGCGGCGCAGGAAAAGCCGCGAGCGCCGCCGCCGCAGCCGTAGTCGCAGCCGGGACCGAACCCGGCACCGCGAGGAGCGTGGACGCTTCCGCAGCCCAATGTGAGTGTGTGAGAGTGTGTGGGTAACGTGTGGGGAGCGAGTGCGCAACGTTTTACGAACTGGGATACTTAGCCTGGCGACACAAGTTCGATTCCCGCTCACGGCCAACACCAGTGACAATTATCTGAACTGGTTCTGGACCTCCCCTGGGTCTACTCGGCCTCAAATTAGTACCTGGTGCGGTGTATAAACATCACCACTGGGGAGACGAAGGCGCCAAGCGTGGTGCTGGCAACCCACCCCCTTGTGCCGTGCTGGCCCTTAATAGGTGCTCGCTAACAGCACTTGCCCCAACAGTCTGTTAAAGGCTTTATGGGGGATCTTTGTGTGCGGCGGTGGCACAGTTATTTGCGCATTGCGTTACGAACTTGGCAATCAGAGTTCAATTCCCGCTTATGGCAAACATCGGTGATGAATATTTGAACCAGCCCTGGGCCTCGCCTTGGTCGACTGACCTCAATATGAGTATTCGGTGTGGTGTGTAAACAGAACTAGGGAGACATACATTGGTCCACCTTGTGTGCCGTTCTGGCCTTAATAGGTCCTCGCTAACAGCACTTGCTTCAACAGTCTGTTCAAGATTTGTGTGGCGAGTGTACGTGGTGATTCTGATGAGTTTGTGTGGGGAGTGTCTGTGTGGTGAAAATCTCAGGGGTGTGGTGAGAGGAGTGTTGTAGTGGTTAATAATAATTTGTTACAAACCTGGCCACAGCTAACAATCCCAACGACTTGCCGTACAATTCCTGTAAATGCACATAATCAGTGATAAAAGGTATCCAGACCTAGCTTGGTCCTCTCCTGGAATTCTGTGTTAATATTGGTACTGGGGGGTAAAAAAGTTGCCAGATGTGGGGCTGGCCATATCCAGTTGTATTATTACTATGCTTGTTTACCCAGGAAAACCTCACTGAGTCTCAAGACCTTTCAGGAGGGGAGATGTTGCTATGCTTAATTTCAATTGAGTAATTTAAAGGTAATTTTTAAACATTGGGATGTTTGGCCATTACCAGTTACATTGTATGTTTTCTTTTAGCTATGGGAGGAAACCGGAGAACCCGGACGAAACCCATGCAGGACAGGGGGAGAACATACAAACTTCACACAGAAAGGCGCCCGAGTCGGGAAACGAACCCAGGCCCTTCTTGCTGTGAGGCACAAGTGTTATCCTTACGTTTGCTCACAGTACTTTCTCCGAAACTAAATGGAGGATCTATGTATATGTATTTTGTGTTCGATTAGTGTTTAACAAACTGCATTGCTATCCCATTTACCCATTTGTTTTTTATAGTATTTTGAGCACAGCTTCATCAGTAGCAATGTGTATCTGAACCTGACCTGGTCTCCTCTGAGATCCAATTATCTCTCAGTCATCAGGATTCCAATTTGTCTTTTATATGTGAATAATTTATATATTCGTGTAAAAGTTAATGGGGAAAATTATCAGGATGGATAAAAATGTTGTTTCATAAACAAAAATGTTTAATTCATATCTCTAAATGACGAGCAAACATCACAGCAGAAAAATGAATGCGAGCTCGAACCCAATAAGTTTAACAACACATAGGTATGTGTTGCATGTGCAAAGGTTCTCAGCCTTATCTAGACCACCAGCTCAAAAGAACAGAATGTGCGGTCATTTTATCTTTTAGATCACAAACTCCAAAAGAGTTATGATGGCACATTTTTCTCAAACCATGGTGATCTTAATGCCAAAATGGCTACACATTAAGTTATTTGAGCCTGTGGTCTGGATAAGGCTGAGAACTTTTATGCTTGCAATGCATGTTTTTTTGTGATTTTAGAATTTATTTTACACCAGTTATATTTTGTTAGACAGATTTAGAGCACTGAATATCTTGTGTAAGTCAAAATAAGCTACATGGATTCTATATAAATGCTGTTTATTCAGGATGCTTCTGTAAAAACAATACATGAATCACAGTTCAAAATATTGGGAGCTGCTTATAGGTAAATATTTCTATCTTGGGAAGCAACTCGTTATTTAAATAATGTGATTTTTTTTCACTTGACTATGCTCAGTTTATTGCTTCGAGTTCTTAGCGGAAACTGGTTGACACGAGAAGCTACCAAAATAAAGCCAGTCTTCAGTTTTGCCATACCTGTGTGTGACTCATTGCCTGTGCTGTCTTGCAGCCACAAACGCTCCCGTAGCAAGAGCAGAAGCCCGAGAGGAAAATTTGGAAATGCTCCAAGGTATGTAGCATGCATACAAATACACAGTATGCACAAATATTGGTTGACTAGCTTGTTTGCCCGTCCTAGGACGGAAGCTGTAAAGTTAACGAAAAAATTGAGCAGAGTATAACTGTATCGTGTGTAAATTTAATGGCAGTCAATCTTGCACAAAAGTATGTCGTCAAACACTTTGCCGCAGTTCACGGTAGCACTGTATTAATGGCAGTGATTCTTGCACAAAACTGTCATAAAAACCTCATTTCATGTCACTGTAACACTATATAACTGGCCGTCAATTTGTTCAAATTCACTGCTCAATGATACTTAATTATCTTCTGCTTTCGGTCGCAGGGGTTGAAATACATTGGAATTCGATACAATATCTCGAAAATCATGGAGAAATGTCAATTTTACCATAATGTCGAAGCATAAATTAGACTTACCTTTTGTCTCAAGTGCTGATGAAATAAAGACAGCAAATCCACTTTGTTGCTGTTTATAATTATTTATTAGATTCACTTTACGTTAAGAAACGTCAAACTTAAAGCGAATTTGCAAAAAAAAATATTTCCGCTCGACCTGTGTGAGTGTAAAAATCCACCCGCTCATGAATATTAATGATGCGGGTACGGCATGTGGAGTGACGTTACGCAGGTTACACACAAACAGACATTCTTGGCTCATAGTAGTAATGTGCATATATATGGAGCCAATCTTGTAATGCTCTGAGAAATGTTTCCACCGGCACCACTGAGATCTCAGATTTGAATCTGGACATTTACTTAAATTGAGTTCTAAAAATTAACGAGTTTTATATTCCCAAAATGATCTCCATTTACATAATTTAAACACTACTGTGTTCACTTAATTTTGCCTAGCCAGTTGTGTGATAACATGGTTAAATATATAGCATGATCAGGATTGACATACAGAAGACCATTTTTTTTATAGAGCATGACTATTACTGTTCTGTTAGTTAAGATATCTATTTTATATTTTATGGCCAACCCTTGCTTTAATGTGCTGCTCTGCTGTCTGTTGGGGCTCACAACATCGGTTCCTTGCCTTACAACATAAACACAGTTTGGAAATCGTTGCTGCTAAAATTGACTCAAGTCAAATTACCTCTGCTCAATTGAGCAATGCTGTGGCTCTATTTGTTGGGGGCCCTGGGCCAGTGGTGGCAAATCCACATTTCCAAAGTTGGGGAAAGTTTTTTCCACAGGTCACCCACTGCTGATTTATCACTTTTTTTTCAATCCCACAACAGCAATTGGCAAGGCTGAGAAGTCGAGAATTGTAATCACAACACCACCACCAGGCATCATTGGCATGAACTCATTGTTTTACCATCGTAAAAGTTTTGTTTTGGTTTTGTGTATTCGCTCACACAGGCCATCCACCAGCACGCTCACCCCGGAGGAGAGAGACAGTCGTACCGTGTTCTGCATGCAGCTTGCAGCGCGCATCCGTGCCAAGGACCTCGAGGAGTTCTTCTCCGCTGTGGGCAAGGTGCCGTAGCTCACTCTCACCCATTCTCCACCTATCAATCGCTGGGTTTCCAATTATTAGCTGATGTGCCAGTCCTTTAAATGAGTGTTCATTTTGTTTTTGGATTCCTTCTATTAGCGTGGTTGGCTACATACAGTGCAAAATAAGTTCGACATACATACACTCCAAGGCTATATCCTTATATCCAAAGAATATCAAAACATTGATTTCTTAATTGTGATCTTATCATTGCTGTATCTTGCATACAGTTATTTGAAAAGAGGTCATATATTTTAATGAGGACTTGGGTATGCTAGTCTGAACTCAGAAAAATATTGAAAATTATGGATTTTATCCATCGAATTATATTTGCATAACCTATCCATCAATGGCACTTTTTCAAACAAAAACAGTCATTGTTTTACATAGAGTATTTTGTATTAATATTTTTTATAGTCTAATGCTTTTAAAGAAATTGTACTTTCAAGGCGACACTTGTATCTCTTCCATGTGGTTTGTACACTGGTGGTTAACGCTGACCATGTTGGAGATCGGAGAGTGATCCCTAAATTAGTGCCCGTTTTTATTAATGAAATACCATTTGATCTAGACAATATAATTGCAGCATACGGAGAGCAAAATGTTGTAGAATAGAACGTGACAGGAAAGTGCTGTAGATGTAATCGGCCGACGTGAGTTTGTGATAGGTTGACCAAGACTGGCACTAGAGTAGTACTCAGGTTGTAGACCAGGGGAAAGAATAATGCTTGTTGGCAAGGTAGCCCAATAGTGGTCCTTGATAAAACATTAAAATGTAGGGGGATGTGATGATGGTAAGGATGGAACATGGAGGTCCAGTATTGACTGTGCAAGAGCTGTGGGGTCTAGCAATATCCCCTGGACACCATTTCAAATTAAATATGCCTCTCAAGTGATCCAGTTAAAATATTTCAATACGTAGAAATAAATAACAAGGAATGTGAGATGTAGTAAAATCAAAGGTATTCGTCCTGGTTACCTCATTATTATGGGCTTGCCTGGACATTGTTAAACTGCACCAATTCGGCAGTCATGTGGATTACGATGCTTGGGTACATATATATTATAGTGTGCGGAAGACTCAATTGTGCTTCATGGAAATCATATACTCATGTTACATATTAACTAATGCAATCAACAAAACTACAAAAGAGATTGATTTTTTAAAATGATACATATAATAAAAGTGGATGCAAAAAGAATGAATATTATAATTGCAAATAATTTAATTACTTATGGGCAGGAGGGTGAATAGTTACATGCCTAATATTAACATTAACGTCAGGCCTCTTGGAACGTAATTTCCTCTTAATTTTTGACAAGTAGCTGCATCCAGTAGTGGAAAGATTATGGCTGATGAACAGTAATGACAACCCGCCAGAGATACTTGTTTAAAGCAGAGCGTAGCAATCAAATACCTTACAGCTTAATCTCTTCCTACTTGGGCTGTGCACACTCGCCATGGATTAAAGATGAATGTGCATGGCGACCATTGGCCTTCGTGCTGCCCTTCAGGTGCGCGACGTGCGCCTCATCTCGGACCGCAACTCGCGCCGCTCCAAGGGCATCGCGTACATCGAATTTGTGGATCTTGACTCGGTGCCACTGGCAATCGGGCTCACGGGACAGAGGCTGCTGGGCGTGCCCATCATCGTGCAGGCATCGCAGGTATTTACACATACCCGCCACACATGCACTTGCGCATACCTGCATGCGTTTACACGTGAATGCATATACACATCGAAGTACACTTGCAATAGACCCAACACTGCTGCAATGCGCACACAACACATACACCTGCACATAATTGCATGTGTTCTCACCTGTTTGACCTTTAGTCGAATGCCTATATCATTCATCTGATTAAGGAGACATTGAATAAGCTTTGCTTGCTTTTCTTTGTCAAAGCCCTCTTAAACTTTGAATTATGGCTACTATACACACATTTGTCCTCCGATCACTGTTATATCTAAGGTGGAGCACCCCACTCCACTTGATATAATTTAATGTAAAGCAGTTGGGTTGATTGATCCAGCACTGGCTGGATCATCACTGGTCACTAGCTTACCGGCAGTCAGTCACCTCCTTGTTACTCTCCTATCTGTACTACCATATTTACTGTTCCCATGAACTTCACTCATCAATTGCTCCATCCATGTTAAGGTCTACCAGACTGACTTTTGTCTCATCCATGCTATGTTCAATACCATACTGCAAGGCAAATATTTTATTCTGATTCTTTCCTTGCACTGATTGACTTTGCAATTCTAAAAGCTTTTTTCAATTATTAATTCCTATTACACCTTCAGTATTGATGTTTATTGCTGAGCTGTTGATATTTTGGGCCTTTCGACCTGTGATAGATTAAAACAAAGTTGATGCACTACTGAGTGTTTTAAGCCGCCTGGCATGTGCTGCAATCTGTGGTTGCTGGAGGGTGGTCGTCAACTGCCCAGTTCATGAGCCCCCCTCAACAAATACATTCATGCACACATTCGCTTAATAAATGTACAATGGCAGTACCTTCTTTAACAACAACAGAACCCTCGTGCATGTCGAGGCCTTACTGTTTGTGTGCGTATATAAGCGGTAGTGTAGTGGATAGCGCGCTGCGCTATGAACCCAGCGACCCAAGTTTGATTCTCGCTTATGGCCAACACCAGTGACGATTATTTTAACTGGTCCTGGGGCTCCGCTAGTTAGACTCGGCCTCAAATGAGTACCTGATGCGGTATGTGTAATCGCCACTAGGGAGACAAAGGCGGTCGGGTGTGGTCTGGCCATCCACCGCCTTGTGTGCCGTGCCAGCCTTCATAGGTGTTCGCTAGCAGCACTTGCCCCCAACAATCTGTTAATGCTATATGGGGAATCTTTGTTTTTGTATATAACCCTAACCCAAATTATTACACAACTAGCTGTCTTTGTCTCCCCATTGCTGATGAAGTGGAGATATAGAGAAGGTTCACATACTACGTGTCAGTCTTTCCTGTGGCTTGCAATCATATGCATGTTACCCAGATGAAGAATAATGCATAAAACTGCACCACTGATTTTACATAAATTACGACATGATGAGCACTCGATCAAGCGCATAATAATGCTACATCTGTTATTTAAAGGCTTGGTCAAATGACACCAAAAGTAGTGCTGGGATGTCTTTTGACTGCCTATTTAACAATGTCATGTTAGACGGTTGTCAGAGTTGCTTTAGTGATTCCTAATCTCACCATTCGATAACACTGAAAACTAAATCTTGAAAGTTGTTTTGTAGTTTAGTCCAATTTAATTGCCAGCAATTTGTTTATCAATATAGCTCTCATGCATTTTAATTTTATAGGCATGAACCCCCTCTCTCAAACACACTGGCTACTCTATCATCAGCTGTGCCATTTGTTAACATTAATAGGTAAATATATAGCTGAAGCAAAATAGTATTTGATAAAAAAAAATATTTTGAAGCTACACACCTAAATGAAATTGATTCCAGACCTGAAGATTATACTCCGGCATTGTTCTTACTTTTTAATATTACTCTGTGTCTTTATTAATTAAAGTTTTAAAAATTGTACTATGTCTTTATTATACACAAAGTAATTGACACTGCAACAGGTGCCCAAAAACCATAGGCAAGAAGATTTAAAACAGTAGTTTCCTAAAATCTTTGAAAAATTGGAACAATCAATAATGGTGTATAAAATACTTAGCACTTGTCCTGAGGCTCAAAGGAGATGCTGACATTTGAATAAGACTATTTAAAAAACATCTCACAAGCATTCATTTTTTTAATTTGGGTGCCATGCATTCTTGATTATATTTCCAAATCTTAAAAATCTTTTTTTGATAACACTCACCACTGGAACTATTGGAGGCGTGGACAAACTCTGTGCTCTGACCACAGGCTGAAAAGAATCGTGCCGCAGCTGCTGCTGCTGCCAACCTTCAGAAACTGGCATCGGGGCCCATGCGCCTGTACGTGGGCTCCCTTCACTTCAATATCACCGAGGCCATGCTCATGGGCATCTTCGAGCCATTCGGGAAGGTATGCTGTTCATCCTACTGTTGCCCCCTTGTAATATTTTAATTGCATTTTTATATTTTGTGCCGTTGTTTATGATGTTCTCCATGAAGATGACTGATTTGGTTTCACTCCTCCTTGGCCTTGCCTTACAGATTGATAACATCCAACTGATGATGGACCCCGAGACTGGCAGGTCCAAGGGCTTTGGATTCATAACGGTAATTTACGCACATCGCTATGAAGCTTTGTCCTTGTTGTGGGGATTTTGTTTGCTCAATCTTGTGTGTGCGTAAGTGGAGTTGTATTGTCAAGGTAGCGCATGTGAGAGCATGGTGATGAGGGTCGTGTGTGAGCGGTTCGAGTAATGGTTCGTTTGCTGTACTGTGATCTTTGCTTTTGATAATTATCACGCTATGCATGGCTGATTATAATCAGCCATGCATAGCGCTATGCATGGCTGATTATAATCTATGCATGGCTGATTATAATCAGCCATGCATAGCGTGAGTGGCAAGAGCTATCTGAACTTGTCTTTGGCACCATTTACTTTGGCTTAACCTTAATTGAGGATCTGTTGTGGTTGTGTGAACATCAGTACTGTTTTATTTTGTTTCTAACTCCGTGACTTTGCCGAAAGAACCAAAGAGTATGGATTCCTGCGGTCACGGAAGCTTCAAATCAAGATCAATACTGTTGAGGAAATGGGGTTGCTGACTTGTTAATATTCTAACGTTCTGGCCTTAATGTGTACTCAGTCACAGCAATTACTTTCCCCTGAGGTCTATAAAGCTAAAAGGGGGGTAATTATATGTATGTGAGGTAATATTGTCTTGGGGATGCAGTAATTTTAGCGATGTGAAAAGTAGAAACTAAAAGTTCCAATCCTAGTGTCAGTTGACTTGGCCTTCTTCAGTCTGGACTTATAAAAATAAGTTCTGTTCCGTGGAAAGGCGATAAAATATGCCGAGTTTACGTACAGTGTCTTAATATGGCACGATCATACAATATTAGAAAAAAGTTTTCATGGATGGCTGGCTTGCTTGCTGGGTGGCGGGCAGGGCAGTGCTGGACGGAGAGGCAGATTGGAGGGACAGATGGAGGGAAAGGAAGGATGGATGATCACTTTCAAAGGATGTACAGATTGCTAGGATGAATACGTTTTAACTTTAATTAAGCTACATATACATTCCATTCAATTACACACCACTATAATCAGGATGCTACTCTACAAACAATTCCTAAAGCACAGAACATGATGCCAGTTGTGGCCTTGAGACAATTCCATTTTGGAAAATTGTCAGTCTCTCAATTATTATGAAAAGAAACTTGGAAAGTTTTATTCAAATTAGTGGAGTTATTTCTCCTCTTAATGGAAACCCAGGGAATGTTTATTGGTCCCTTAGCGTGTAGCTCTGCGTGCCGTGTGTGCTGCGGTGACGCTTGTGCTTGCGTGTGCTGTGCAGTTTTCGAGCGCCGACTGCGCCAAGAAGGCGCTTGAGCAGCTGAACGGCTTTGAGCTAGCCGGGCGACCCATGAAGGTGAACTACGTGTCGGACCACTCGGATGTCATCATCAGCGTTGGCAGCGGCGGAGGTGGTTCATCCTTCCTGGACAACGACGAGCTCGAGAGGACGGGCATCGATCTCACCAACACGGGCCGCCTGCAGCTCATGGCCAAGCTGGCTGAGGGTGGGTGGTGGCAATGGACACGGGTTCACCGTGCCTGGGCATTCTGGAGTGACTAGGTTGAATCTGAAGGTTGGGGCATGGTGTGGAAGTTTAGGGAAGTGTGTAATCTGCACAGGGTGCCGCAGTGGCGAGATGTTAACTACCTCACCTGGTATGCAGGAGATCGTGGATTCGATCCCAACACTGACGCTTGTATATTTGGAGTTTCCATGTTCTCCCCGTGGTCATGTGATTTTTCTCTTGGTCCTCTGGTTTTTCCGTCCACGTTTAGAAACATGCGTTAAGATTATTTGGCTAATATAAATGTCCACATGATAAGCCACTTTGTTGTGTTGAGCTATTATTTCTGGCCAGGTCGCTTCTGAAAAAGAACGATGTAGCTCAGTGGGCCTTACCTGGTAAAACTACAAATTGTTTAGTGTAGGCCATAGTTGAAGGGTGTTGAGATATGTAGCTGACTGTAGTCGTGCAGCTTTGGAGGCAACTGTTGGTGGGTCATACACTGTAGGGTTTGAGACTCGAACTTTCTGGGCTGCGAGACAATCAAGAGGCCACAGTACAGCAAGTAGGTTCGTGAAGTTGCCTGCGGACTTTTAAGTGGTATCTCCCCCTATATCAGTTTGCTTCTTGCATGGCCAAATATCCAAATACAGAGCCTCCTAAAATGGTTTTAAGACTCAAACAGGCTCAATTAATGACACTTGTGTATTATTTTTGTTGAGGGACATCAGTGGATGATAGTTGAGAGATTGTTTATATCACACTTGAAAGTTTTAACAAACTGGATCAGGGTAGAAGGTACCAAAGCATGTCTAGATTATGCTTGAAAGGACGTCTTTAGACTACAATTTGATGTTCTTTAGTAGCATGACAAGTGTCCAAGACACCATATGTGAGGGTTGAACATCACGAGGTTGAGATGTGGGTATTCTGACTCGGTGGTCAGAATTTTAGGCTCGGTCAAATTAAAACTTACGGGACCGACACTAGCAGTGTTGTGCATTCACGGTCCAAAAAACATCTAGCCACTGATGTTATTCAGCAGTGATATGGCCTAGCTGGGGGAGTGCATTTGCTGCTTATTGCAGAGGTTCATGATTTGAGTCCATTGCAGGTGTAATAACCTTAATCATTGTGGTGCTGTCTGTTTTACAGTGGACGTTAAGATCCCCTGAAGTCATTGACAGGAGTAGGTCATTGTGTGCCGGCGTCGGTGTCAAAAGTTGCCAAGGAAAAGAAATTGCCCACAAGTGACTGAATTGGGATTGTACAAAACAATCGCCCTCTACTGGTAGACTTAATGCCCCAGGTCACTCTTGCAAATTAGACTATCCTGGTCTCTTGAGTTCTCACTTGCTTAAAGTCTGCCAACTTAAACGTTCTATATTTTTCAATCACTGATCTATTACCCCCAAACATTGGGCCTCGGCCCCTAAAATTGTCTTCATGTTGTGTTTACAGGTTCTGGGCTCACTATACCACCTGTAGCGCAGCAGGCTCTGCAGATGAATGGAGCCATTCCCCTGGAAGCATTAATGCCCTCCCTAGCTGCATGTAAGTGTATTTTGTGTTGTAGGGCAATGGTGGGCAGATGGGTGTATCATGTACACCAGTGTTCTTGAAATCTGCCGGTCCATGGGCCAGGTGTGCCACTGCAAAGGTCTCTTAGAGAAGCCCACCAGGCTGCGGTCTACTGAAAGATATGGCTCACCAAGAGATAACGAGATGCAGATTAGTGGTATGAGAGGAGATATACAAGATAAAGACTAGATAACTGTTGACAATGAATGAAGATTCGTGACACTGATGTCAAAATATCAAGTGACATGACAAAGTGGCCCACAAACATGTGCTTGTTTTATATTGTGGCCCACTAATTGAACAACCCTTATTTTTAGTATATACACCGGGCATGTAGCGATTCACCAATCTAAAGTCGGTTCTTGTGCTCATTTATAATGTGTATAAATATATTTTCAATTCGAGTGCATTTTTTGTAAATGTTTCTTTAAGGCTAATGGTAAGAATGAATGAAGAAATAAAACCAAGAGTGAAGAAAATACACACGAGACACGTAACAGACGAGAATGAGAATACAAAGAACGACAGTACAAACGTGACAAGGCAGAGAATTAGATGATACAAAATAGTCCATACAGTAGATGAGTCTGTAGGTGGGGCAAAAGATAGAACACGCTTATGGAGAAGACGTAAAAAAGATGGTATAGGCGAGACGGCACAAGTGAGGCATGTGAAGAAGACAGAATAGTTAATGTTTAAATTGAATCGTGCCAGTTGATCGTACCGCTTTGTGGGGGACGGTGATGAATACCTGCAGTTGACTAGCTTGCCACTGAGCAAGTTGGCACGGACAACATGCGTTCTCATCACTACCACATGCCAAATCCTATTGGGGCAATTAGTATCACCAAAATGCTAAATCTGCACAAAGTCCGAGAAAGTCTCCCTGCTATATTACAAGGGATGGGGCAGTGCTAATTTCCATTGGCGGCCCTTTGGTGGCAATTCTATTTATCGTAGCAGGAGCCTGTCTTTCGATAAGACAACTACTGTTGGTTTCCCACAGAGTTGTATGCATTTTATCAATTCTGGAGAGATGATGGGCTGAGTCGACTACCAACCAGGATCCGAACTCGCGACCTTCCAATTGTGAGTGGAGCGCTCATCAAGCGGATTTAAATTCACCTGTGACATTGGCAAGAGCAAGATATTGTTTAATGGTGCCAACTATCCATATCTAAATTACAAATAGCCGCAAGTAAATATTATTGGATTTCCAATTTTATTTTCATTCCCGTCTAAGTGCTGTTTAGTCATAGATAAGTTTACAAAATGGATAAGATGGTAAAAAGTGAATTCTGCCCCTTAAAATAATTGCTGGCAAGGTTTGGTTAAAATGTGGTGTAATATGAGGACAATATAATAAATTATTATTACCTTGCTATCACTGTCGTAAAAACAATAGTGTGTTGTGAGATTGACTGACAACTAAATGACAAACCCACTTTTTTTTTTGTTCAGCCATGAACCCAACCTTCACCATGTCTCCAACCATCGCCACTCAGTGCTTCCAACTCTCCAACATGTTCAATCCACAGTCGTGAGTGATACCTTCCACATGCACCACAGTCACACCTTGTTACTTGTCCCCGTACTGATCTACAACTCGGCCAACATTGCTTAAGATCTTTTTACACAACTATTTAAAGTGTTGGGAAAGGTATGGCCGATGTTAAACCACTCGTGGAAATGTTTTGGGCCTTTGGTTTGAGCTGCACCGTAGGAACAAGGTCAGATTCAAGACTCATCATGGTTGGCACTGCCACTCCTTGCCATTGTCAGATTTCTTAGCTATTGAAAAACGACACCTGACTTTTCTCAAGGTCATTGGTGGCAGGGGTGGTGGTGGTAATGTCATCTGTCTGCTGTACAGGGAGGTGAATTCCAGCTGGGTGCAAGAGATCCGGGATGACGTTGTGGAGGAGTGCAACAAGCACGGGGGCGTGGTGCACATCTACGTCGACCAGAATTCAGCCGAGGTGTGTGCGGGAGGGGGGGGGGCATATCAGCTCTTTCGGCAGAAGCCTAAGTCCTGATGCATTTTTCCCCTTGTTTTCGTCAAAATCGTGTCGACGTCTCCACCAACAAGGCGATGTGTACCGGTCGTTTGTTTGTGAAGTGGCACAATGACTTAGACCCAACTCTTGGGCTATAATTTGTGAGAGAAAAAAATGTGACATGCCCCTACCGTTGTCATTGCAGGGCCATGTGTATGTGAAATGTCCCAACATACCCGTCGCACTTGCTGCTGTCAACTCTCTTCACGGTCGCTGGTTTGCAGGTTGGTTTACTCTTTCACGAATATATATTCCGCATATTTAAGATGTTCATACTAAAATATTGGGTGAGGATAGCCAATGGAGATGAGCATAGACCAACACTAATTTGAACATGGGAACAACAAACTTTTAAGTGTTTGTCTTGACTGTAAAAGCAAAACATTATCCAAAGGAAAGGCTGTGATCTTGTAGATACCAACGTTAACTTCTGCGCTTCCTGGCTTGTCCAACACAAATCTAAAGTTTATAGTAAAGACAATCTTAAACATCACAGGAAGGAGCATTTCATTGAAAATATTTCGAACTAGCTGAAGTTGCTGCGAAAAGGTCTTTGCCTCACCACCCTCATAGAAGTTGTTTTTCCGTAAACGGTAAACTGGCACAGCAATGATTGACCTCCCCCCCGCTGCCGATGACACCGTTTGGCGTCCTGGCCTGCTGCTGAAGATGGCCAAAATCATGAGATGCCGTTATACTGTAAAACTAATCGATGCGATGCTTGGCTACCATACTTTCAGGGTACCATCTCGTTTATCAATACAGCTGCAAGACAATTATTAACAATGGCTTTCCATCAATGCTCAGTACGAGCAACATCACTTTATCATATGTGTGACCTTGCTATGTATATTATCTCGCAAGGTCATATACAGGCAATGATTTACGAAAGGGATGCGTTCTTCATAAATCTCACGTAAAACGAAATTTTATATATCGGAATGGCTTCTCCCAATAATTTAATATAAAAAAGTAGGAATGTGTCTATATCACTTTTCACAATACAAAAATAATATTAACAAATAGTAAAACTATTGAATAATTATATTCTATGTTTCTTTCGGTAAAGTCACGTAGATAGAAAAAATAACAATAAAATAATAAAAATAAAGTGAATAAAAAATATCACGACGTTTCTATCGCAACACAAGCGGTCGTCATCAGGAACAGGGAGGTTAGCCTCTGAGGGCAAGCTGTTTATAAAGGTTTAGAGATGGGCGGGGCAGCTAATGTTAATGTAGGAGAAAGCTCCGACACCGGCAGTAGGTCTACACCAATCAAAGAGCTGTTTATAAAGGTTCAGAGATGGGCGGGGCAGCTAATGTTAATGTAGGAGAGGGCTCCGACACCGGCAGTAGGTCTACACCAATCAAAGAGCTGTTTATAAAGGTTCAGAGATGGGCGGGGCAGCTAATGTTAATGTAGGAGAGGGCTCCGACACCGGCAGTAGGTCTACACAAATCAAAGAATTGCACCTCGCTCCACACACCCACACTGCTGACGGTGGAGGTTGACAAGAAAACACAAATCAAAAGTGGTTTATGACATTTCCAGTGATGTCCGAGTCTATAACCTTCCTCTCGGTTGAAATTGTCTTTGTGTCTGTATATATGGATGGCTTCATGAACGAATCTTCGTTCATAGCCAGTAGGCTTGCAAGGTACAATCGTCTTAGAGAAATCAATTTCGTGCAAGCCAGCCGCATTAAAATAATGATCAGCCACAGCAGAAGTATTGGTCCTACCGTGTTTCAAATCTGCTTTATGCTCACGGACACGGTTCGAGACATGTCGCTTAGTTTCCCCAATGTAGCTGCTGCCACAGATACATCTTAGTTTGCAGACGCCGTGATATTGCATGTCAGGAATCTTGTCATTGAATAATTAGTTAAAAACAACAAAATTCACCTTTTTCAGGGAAGTCACCAAAAGATATGCATTTTGAAATGACTGGAAAGGTGATGGAGCCATTACTGTTGCATCCATCCACGATGCTATCGATGCTATCGTTGATGGATGGTGCAGCCCCCCCTGGGTGCTTGTTTGATCTCACGGCACGTGCCACGTAAAATTTAGTTCTCTTGGAAATTCGATGTCGTTAATTGAAAAGCGTCCATAAGTTGTCAATTGCATTAACACGGAATTTCGGAAATCGAGCGATGCCTATATGCAGATCACATAGCCCTTGCTGCGTCGGGGCACAAACTAAAAACATTGCCACTGATCTAATGTTATTGGAGGCATATTTCCTTGCTGGAGACTCCAACCAAATCCCTCCCCAAGTACACAGACACGTTCCACCTGAATAAGCATGCAGCATATTCCACCCTTGATGTGTCCTATGGTAGCACAGTGCCATTCTGAGATATCTAGTGGTGATCGTGAATAGAAGAAGCCTTTCCTGAAAGCCCCAATATATAACATCTGTAAATATAGATTTGAAGGTTTCGTGACTGCAAGGATTCATACTCTTTAGTTTTTTCGGTCAAGTCACGTAGGTAAAATACAAATAAAATAAATAAAAACAGCTAAATTAAATCACGACGTTTCGGAGGCAACACAAGCTTCCGTCTTCAGGTGGAACAGTCACAGCAGAATCGCTGTACCAAGTGGGGAGCTCTGGAGACGTTATATACAGGTTAAGAGGTGGGAGGAGCCAGAAAGGGACGTGGGTGGGGGGGAGGGCTGCGTTAAGCCGACTTTTGTTATGCTGCAGGGGGTTCGGGGGAAGAGATGCACAAGTACATACAACCCACTGAAAGCAATGGAAATGGCTGTACGATTATAATGTCAAACTTTAGCTGCCTTATAATTGTACAGGGTTGTATGTACTCGTGCGTCTCTTACCCCGAACCCCCTGCAGAATAATAAAAGGCTGCTTAACTCAGCCCCCCACGCACGTCCCTTTCTGGCTCCTCCCCTCCTCTTAACCTGTATATAATCCCGGTCGTCTCAAGAGCTCCCCACTTGGTACAGCGATTCTTCTGTGACTGTTCCACCTGAAGACGGAAGCTTGTGTTGCCTCCGAAACGTCGTGATTTAATTTAGTTGTATTTATTTTATTTTGTAGACGTGGCTTTACCGGAAAAAAAAACAGTATCTGTAAATATACTAAATTAAGAATTTCTGTTTACTCAGAATCTTGCAGAAACAGCCTGGGGTGCCTCCGATGATGTGGTGTGAACTGTTGCCTTATCCCTGATCTATTCAGTGGCAGAGTATTGTGCTCCAGCTTGGTCTCTGGGAGCTTGAACACAACTTCGAGATGTACAATTGAATAACGCTATATGGACACCAATCCCCCGGCTCTCTGTTCTGGCGAACATTCTGCTACCAAATATTCCGGAGACGTGCAGGGGAGTTTACACGTTTTCTTACCAACAACAACCTATCCATCAACCAATACCTCAACAGTGTACCTCGCCATCATCTTAAGTCCCAAGATCCCCCTTTGCCATCCCAGATCCAGGAGAATGCTGGCAAACCAAGTGGAACAACATGGACATCCAGATTAAATACTTAATTTGAGGCCCAAAAATTGCACCACCTGCCTGTGACATTTTGCAATGGTGCAACCATCTCAACCACATCAGAACATTAACAGGCTGATGCACACATCTACTTCATACATGGAAAAAAAATACAAGTCACAGTGCGATCGTGGCCATGAAATCTACATTATGGTTAACATCTAGTTCCTGAACATAGCCATGTGCAGGGTGAGAATAGTTGAAAATAACGAGTTATGGTACATTGACGTCACTAGAGAATGTCTGACTAATGTCTTGCTTTTTTCACTGAGGAAACTTAAAATTTGTTGCAGACAACTTGGGACAGCCTCGGTGTGTCTGAAATGACAGCTATTTGTTTTTTTGATTCCATCTCGATTTAAAAGTGAATATTCCCTTAGAAGTTGTAGTCTATGATCAGTGTTTATTTTTGTGAAGCCAAGATCTGGATCTCAAGTATATTGTAGTAACCAGGCATTTAGCAATGCGTGTTATATTTGTCGATTAAAATACATTATTATGCTCACAATACGTGCCATTGAATCTTGCGTGTGAGGATAATTTATAATTCTTACAAATGTCACATTTAAGTTAATGTAGTGAACAATTCTGGATGAATAAGAAAAAAAAACTACAGGACTGTAAAAATAACACAAAAAAGAATACACTTCTGAATTGACTCGTGACCCAGAATCATGGAAAAATAAATATCTAGCTGGTAAATCATTAAATTGTACAGGTATGAACTCGCATCTTTTTATTTTGGGTTGTCTTCAACGGTGTCTTTTGCCCGTGGTTTTCTGCAGGTAAGATGATCACGGCAGCATACGTCCCTGTGCCCACCTATCACAACCTCTTCCCGGACTCCATGAACGCATTGCAGCTACTCACGCCCATGAGGAGATGAGGGCCCCCACCCCAGCAGCGTGTGGCCGTTGTGCCATCGCTCCGGCTTGATCCTTGTTGAGCGTCGGTCCAGCACACATGCCCTGTGCTGATTGCAAACACGATGATAGTTTTTTTGCATCTCTTACAGCAGACCAGAAGGGGCCTGCTTGACCCTTCTGCGATTGCACCCGAATCATTTTTTGAATGCCTCCTGAGGTCTGACATTTAGAATTCTTAAATATCGCCTTTTTTGTTAATTTTCAAACCAGTTTTAAAATCGATTGATTTACAATGCTAGGATAAATGTTAATTTTTTTTTTTATAAAAAAAAACACTTGTTTCCTTTTATATCTGCATATGTTTGTACGATGTTTGAGTTTTGCTCTTGGTTCAGCTTGGCTTTATCTGTTATGGGAAGTTAAAAAAAGCGTAAATGTTAGGGCACAAGAAAATTACTGTAAGTCAATCAGGGACTAAAAATAGACAAAACATTTTGTGTCGGTGTCATCTATACTTACATACCCCTGTTTTATACTCCGGCAACAGTGTCATTTTGGTCAAATGTTTTGAAAGAGCTAAGTGAACTGTGTGAATATCCCCAAGGAAATATATATTTAACTCAGAGCCTCCATCACTGGATGACCGTCGGCTCCCTCAGCAGAAGTGGTCATGCATTGCAAGCTAGCAAGTTTTTTTTGCGACTTAGGCAAATTAGCAAGTTCATGTTACGCAGTCTCAAAGCACGATCGATATTCAAATTGGCCAACCATATTTTTTAATTCATAAATCTGAGCATGACTTTATATGCATATGAACCCTAAGCTCAAACGATTTACCTATAAGTTGAGCCAAAGAAGTAAACTTAAATTGAAAATAGTTTAAATTTTGATTTAAAGCTTTCGTGACTGCAGTAATTCATATTCTTAGTTCTTTTATTATTTTGTTGTTTCCCTTCAACGTGACTTTACCGAAAGAACTAAGAATATGAAAATAGTTTGTTCATTTGCTGCCTTCACCCAATTGTGAGCGACTGACATTTAAACATTTTGTGGTGAGGTCCAAATGGATTGGCATATATAAAATAACTAAAATATTTTAACTTGCACAAAATGACAGGAAATTCAGAGTGTAAAGTTTCAGATGAGAAGGGGAGTATCTTTATTAAAACAATGGTGTGGTCACCGCACGTAGGAGGGCACAGCTCCCATAATGCCTTGCATGCATGCTTTTCATGTGACCACCACATTGCGTGTACAAAGCTCAACCTTATCCAGACCACCAGCTCACGAGCTGATTGTGTGGCTGTATTGTTGCAATGTGGTGGTCACATGACATGCATTCAAGCCAATTAGTTCTGAGCCTTTATGCTATTTAAGCATACTTTTGCATGTTCAATTATTTCCAGCATGCATGCTTATTCATGTTATGGGTTTTTTCACGTACAGAACTTGTTGGATTTTAATAAGAAGGGCGTCATGTTGTGCATAATTTAATGGTCATTTTATTTGCTTTACATTTAAATGTTTGATGGCTTCATGCCTCTTTTCCAAAATCTCCAAAGAAATACTAATTTTGTTGGCAACGGCTAGGGGTCTTTGTGTTCAATTTAGTTTGTCCATGGTTAAAGTGGGATGCTATATCACATTTGTAGTTGAGGTCTGAAGTTAAATTTCTGATAGCGTAAATGGTTTCACTGCAGCAAGTCCCATTGTGCATCAAATGCTGCCGGTGGGTAGATTGTGGGTGTTCTTTGCATTTACTCTTTGAAAGGAGGCCCATGGGTACCTTGTACAAGAAATGTACATTTTATTATGGTATTATTAGACTTAACCCGGGCTGTTGGGTATTTTGTCATATAATTTTGTAGATATTTAGAAGGTAAACTTCGACCTTACAATTTACTAGCAGTGTGACACCTTTCAAACCAGGAATAAATGGAGCAAAGAAACCTGCAACATTTCAGCATTGTCCAAAATCTGGAAGGATTAAGAAAAGCAATCCTTTCACTCTCCACTTGAAATTTTGTTAAGCAGATATCGACTTTGCAATACCACTTACTGTTTAACAGCTCTTTATGCGCCTTGGATTTGTACAATATGTAAATAAACGTTAGTTATGCCACGTAGTCTCTGATCGCTTCTCAAGCCTGGCAGATTGTTTTGATAAATTCCTTGAACCGTGTGCTTGGCTACTTTATCCTGGTGGGTCAGTTGAGATTACTTTTTTATAGTCTAACTTATGTCTGTTGTTATTAAGGTGTTAATTCAGGAGCCAAGTCGGGACAATACAACATGTTTAAATAATTAAATGTCGACAGATCGAGAATTTTAATACAGTAAACACTTCAAAGCTGGACAAGTGAGGAGCCATTCCAGTTATACATGTTGTTTGGTATACTGCAAATTAAACCATTTAAAAGCTACATTTCATTGCTTGCAATTAACATGTTAGACATTTTATTGACACTTAATATCCACAAAATATTTTTCAATTTCATAAAATGTTGAAACGGCTTAATCCAAGTAAATATCCCAATGAAGCAGAGGAAGGTGGCCGAGGTTCACTGGATGTGAAAATCCACGTAGAATTATTTTTCATGGGCTCGAAGCATTTATTTCGTTTGCAACATCAACTTCAATTTGAAAACTAAGAGCACGGTGTCCAAGGGCAAATCCATGAAATCTGTCCAAGTGGTATGTTATTTGGGAACTGCTTGTGTGCATGCTCACAATCGCCTAATGTTTATTTATTTTGGGTAACTTTCTAGCCTACCCTCAATCTGGCTTACTCATCTGGTGTTAAAAGGTTTCGCTTAACACTCAGTTGTTAGGTACCCCACCGAGATTCAAATACCAAATTTCATTTTCATATTTAAGGAATTATGGCACACCATCACATCACAATTCTAATTTGGGGGGGGGGGTTGATTCAGCCTTTCAACCCCTCTGGGGACCACTTGGTGAGAAGTCAACAGTCTACCAGCAGGCTAGGCCTTGCGATAGAAGTGTGGAATATCCACCACTGGCTCGGCTAAAAGGGAGGCGAGTGCCACCCTCTGCCCATTTGAAGAGGGAGACACTGGTGTTTAGTACACAGTGTGGAAACCCTTTCAAATATACATGGGTGAAATAAAAAGACAATACTTTTTTTTAAATATTAAACCTATGTTACATTGTATGCATTGTTTTTGAAATAAATGTTTGAGAAATTGCTTATTCTGGGTAAAGTGACAAATAATGCACGTTTGGATCCAATGTATTTTCTGAATTCCAACTGGTTGTAGGTGTTAGGTAAACGTGTATTAAAGCGGCCCATGCTATTTTGTTTGTAGATGTATCATTGATGTCCTGCCTGGAGCTTTCCAAGTAAACAGACCACATGTTACTGTTTGCACATTGGGAAGGTCAATAAATAGGGTTACCGACACAAAGGTTGGAGAGTTTAATTTAGGCTCAGCTCAAAAGTGAGCCGTGACTGGAATTTGAACATGATATCCAGCACATGTTCAAACATAGGGTGGATTGTATGCAGGGTTGGTAGACCATGTAGAGTTTATCATACGTGACGCTCCACACCTATAGGATTAGGTGACGGCACAGAAAAATGTACTTATCTGCTTGGTTGAGTTTATCTCGATACTCCAATTACTTGTGATTTTTAAAAAAACTATTTGAAAAGATGTCACCTGGAACCGGGATGTAAAGAGGAAAAAATGTATACCTTGAGTAACTTGAAGTGGATTTTAATCAAATTGATGAGGCTAATGAGAGCCTGTTGGATCCATACTCTTTGGTTCTTTCGGTAAAGTCACGTCGCCTGTTGGATCATTTGAAAAACTAAACTTGCTCAAGCGACATACAAGTGCACTTGAAAGTTTTTAATTGGTGCATATTACCTGCTATGGCAATGGATCAGAAACATGGTGAGGGGTGGAAATGGAACAATGGTAGCAGCATACAAAGAACCATGAAGAGACGAATGATGAGAAACACATTACAGACACGAGGTAGTCTTTTAACAAAAGTCTGAGCTTGGTAGGACACAAAGATAGTTTGACAAGACTGGTGATGGAATGGATAAAATTATAAAAAGGCTGGCCATTGCGGAGATGTAATCATAAGATCAGCTAATGCGCAGAAGCAATATATTGTGAAATCACAGGACCATGACAGATGGCAACAACATGGAGAGGCTTTCACATAGAACTGGGCAGATCATGACCAGCGACCAAACCATGGATCCAAACCTGCCATCTTGGTGGGACTTGCTTCATTGGATTCAAAGGTTGAAGGCTTCCTGCTCAAATGAGCACCGAGTGGTGCCCATATCCATAGGTGGCCCTGAACCACGATTTAATTCCACATGGCAGGGATCAGTTTATTTAAAACATAACTGGGTCAAATTTTGATTTAAAGCTTTCGTGACTGCAGGGATTAATATTCTTGGTTCTTTCGGTAAAGTCACGTAGAAGGGAAACAAAATATAAAAAATAAAATTCTCACGACGTTTCGACTGCAACACAAGCAATCATCAGGTGTGAAAACCACAAGTAAATTTGAAAAAGTGGCTGTTATTTTTAACGTTAGCACCACGGAGAGAGATGTGACAGTTTTTCAGATGGACGAGTCCAGCTATGTTCGGAAAAGAGGGGGGAGACAAAATAATGGATTCGGTCTGAAAGCCACCTTAAGCGTAATCAATCAATTAAGACCCGAAATGGTTTATCAAACCCTTCCAATAATTGCTAAGCCAGAATCCATCTCAGTTGAAATTGTTTGTATGTGGATAGCCTCATGAACGAATCTCTCATGGTAGCCAGATGGCTTGCAAAGAACCTCTGTCTTAGAGAAGTCAATGTCGTGTAAACCTACTGAATTGTAACAGTGATCTGCCACGGCCGAGGTGTTGGTCCTATGGTGTTTTAGGTCTGCTTTGTGTTCACGAATGCGGTCCAAGACATGTCGTTTGATTTCTCCAATGTAACTACTGCCACAGAGGCAACTTAGTTTGTAGACGCCAGGGTACTATGTCCGGAATCACTTATTTTACAGACAGAACCAGATCACGGATTTTATGTAATGTGTTGAATCGGACCTGGATCTTGTGTTTATTCAAGATTTTGGAAATCTCTTTTGTGATCCCCGCAATGTAGGGTAAAGTGATGCTTTTGAATGGCTCCTCAAGAGGGTCCTTCTTCATGGTTGGAGTGATAGCTTTGTGGATTGTGTAGTCGGAATAACCATTAGCCTTAAGAGCTTGGTGTACGTGCTTGAGTTCACTGGCTATATGTTCCTGGTCGGATATGCATTGGGCTCTATGGTGCAGAGTCCTGATGAGGGAATTCTTCTGGGATGGATGGTGGTGGGAATCCGATTTCAGGTAAGCATCCGTAAGGGTAGCTTTCCTGTAGACAGTGCCTCATTGAACCATCAGGTCTCTTTTTTTATTAGGAAATCTAAAAAAGGTAGCTTGCCATCTTTTTCGACTTCCATCTACGCTACTTTACCGAAAGAACCAAGAATATAACTGGGTCAGTTGGTGTTAGGAAAACATGTTTTTCACCTTCAGCCACTGTCACCTGTACACATTACTCAATTATATTTCATAACTCGTGACAAAGGGGGGTGTTGAAATTCCAACCGCTGTATTACAAAATATCATGACTGCATGGTTTATTGTTTAAACATTTGAGGCTTACAAAACAACCAAGATTCAGATCTCAAATTAAAGAACGTGCGTACAGTGCCGTTAAACCAGACAACAGGCAGCATGTCACTCCCAACCTGAAGGGCATTCAATAGAAATTTCCCAAATCCAAACCACAGCATAAAATCAAATCACCACTTAACCATTGCAGCCTCTGTATGTACATGTGCATTCATATATGCAGGACATGGACATTTTTGGGGGATGTTTTGAACTTGGAAATGGAGCTTTCTTAAACCACAAGATATAATCAATGGATTGTTGTCAACGCAATTTTGATCCACCCTTAAATGTAACATATATACTCAAATTTCAGCACTTGTTCGTCTATCGGCAGCATAGTACATATTTACAGAACTTATATTACACTTATAACACAGCGATGCAAATTAAACTAAATACAACGGTTAAAATAAAGCATAACGTGTCAAGCACAGGCAAATAAAAGTGTTCAATATTTTGTGCTTAAAAGATGAGGGTTATATTCTTGGTTCTTTCGGTAAAGTCACGTAGAAGGGAAACAAAATAATAAAAATATAAAACGAAATTATCACGACGTTTCGACTGCAACACAAGCAATCATCAGATGTGAAAACCACAAGAAATTTTGAAATGTTCAAATTTTGAAATGTTCAAATTTTCTTGTGGTTTTCACATCTGATGATGATTGCTTGTGTTGCAGTCGAAACGTGAGAATTTTGTTATATATTTGTATTATTTTATTGTTTACCTTCTACGTGACTTTACCGAAAGAACCAAGAATATGAATCCCTGCAGTCACGAAAGCTTTAAATCAAAAGGTGAGGGTTTTGATTTAAAGCTTTCGTGACTGCAGTAATTCATATTCTTAGTTTTTTCGGTAAAGTCACGTTGAAGGGAAACAACAAAATAATAAAATATATATAAAACAATAAAAATTCTCACGACGTTTCGACCATAACTCAAACGGTCGTCTTCAGGTGTGTTGGTTTGCATAAATTTATTTTTAAACGGCGCATTTATTTAAAAAAAACGTTAGCGCCACGTGCAGCGATTTGGCAGTTTATTTAGGACTAGTCCATCTATATTCTGAAAAGAGGAGGGGGGAGACGACATTTTATAATGTATGCTGTCTGAAAGCCACTAAGCGTGAACAATCAATTAAGACCTGAAATGGTTCAGGTCATGTAAGCCATCTGGCTTCCATGAGAGATTCGTTCATGAGGCTATCCACATATACAAGCACAGAGACAATTTCAACGGAGAAGATGGATTCTATCTTAGCAATCATTGGAAAGATTTGATAAACCATTTCAGGTCTTAATTGATTGTTCACGCTTAGTGGCTTTCAGACAGCATACATTATAAAATTTCGTCTCCCCCCTCCTCTTTTCAGAATATAAATGGACTAGTCCTAAATAAACTGCCAAATCGCTGCGCGTGGCGCTAACGGTTTTTTTTATAATAAATAAATAAATGCGCCGTTTAAAAATTTTTTTATGCAAACCAACACACCTCAAGACGACCGTTTGAGTTATGGTCGAAACGTCGTGAGAATTTTTTATTTTATATATTTTTTATTATTTTGTTGTTTCCCTTCAACGTGACTTTACCAAAAAAACTAAGAATAAGGTGAGGGTTATTTAAATACACTTTAAAATATATATTTTTGTGATACTGCTTAAGTCTCTGTTTTCCTTGCACTAAGTTTTGGCTTGTGGGCAGTTTAGCTTCACAGGGTCCATTACGTAAATACTGGAGCATCTGACCAAGAGTTAAATTTCGTGAGATTTCAACTTGGACCCAGCAGCATGCCTTCAGCTGGATGGGAAGTGAGCAAACATATCTCGCAATTCTTAACCAACGTCAACATTTCCAAATTACAGCATTTACTTATACAATGTTATATATACAGTATATATAAAAATGGCTTTCCGTCTGCTTCGACCATGATAAATAATCACCACATGCAGATTGAGAGGTTGATGTCGCAAAGTAGACCGATATAACCCACTGATGCCATAAGTATTTTTTTGTAAAAAAAAAAGTTGATTACCAAGTAAGAAAGAGCACAAAAGATGGACCGGCTGAGTGTACGAGCTATAATTATTCATTGCTATTGTATTCCTGCGTATGGCAATATGTTCAGGAGCTAAATGCCAATGTCGAGGTCTGCTAGCCACGAAGAGGGCTTTGGGAGAAGTTTTGCTATTCTGCCATCGAAGGAGTGCAGACCACAGCGGTTTACTATGTTGTCCATAGTTTGGGTTGCATGGCCAGTCACTGTGTGGCTTGTCTTTAAATTTTCCATTTATGAAGATGTGCATTGGCCTGTTAATGTTCCGATGCAGGAGACTAGCCTCATGGCCCACCTAATACGTGATTGCGTCACCTTAAACACGACTAATTAGGTCATCCAGGTGAAATGGACGTTAATGAATCAGCAATTTAATTTGAGCAGACTGGTTTTACTGCGTTTTGAATTGTAAACGATGCAGTGTTGGGAGTCTGGGAGAATTACTCCAACGGAACTCGTGGTCTTCCAAAAGCGAGTCGAGTGGCCTGACCGCAGCGCCACTGGGATGGATTTTATAGACAAGCAAGTTTGTCAACCTACAGTACTTGGGGCTGCGCTTATCGAATGTGGGCAACACTTTCAACCAATTAGCAGTGGGAGTAACAGTCGCTGTGGGTCTCCCAATGAGTAGGGCAGTGACGCAATGGTTAACACACCGCATGATTAACCCATAGACCTGAGTTTGATGGTCGGCGATGGCTAACGTCAGAGGCGAGTGGTATCTGGAACCAGTCGTTTGCCTCCCACCTATGACTTCCATGATGTACACGGCGTGGAGAAGCCTTCGTCAACACTGTATTCAGAAAGGGCTCTCCATTCGTATTTCTGGAACATCCCAAGCTATTCATCTTCATTGAAATAAGTAACTGGGCTACCTTTCAGTGTGGACATACATGAACAATTGTCAAGCTTCAATGCCAATACAAAGCCTTGTATACAATACACCCAGGTTATTTGGCACCTATACATTGGTTGTTCGTGTTCAGTTGCCAAACTGTTGACAGTCTCCTCTGCCTGTGGTGCTTGAATCGCCTTTCCAAGACTAAAAGCGTATGCTGATATTTTAAGCACTTTGGCACCCTGGGGCAAGGAGCTTACGGAAGGGTTGGGGTCACTCCCACAAATTCCTTATGGCCAAGCACTTTCCAACCACATTCAGCCAAGACACATTCAGCTCCTGTAGGCTCCCCACCACTTGTTTCTGGGCCGATATGCATGCAATACACAGCATTTAATTCATCCAGCTGGGTAGCGCTGTGGTTAGAGCATTGGACTCGCAATTGTAAGTAAGAATTCAAATCCTGGTTGGGGCTCAATCGGGCCCATCATGCTGTGCTCAATGGATTTAGGAGAAGCCTTTTGGGAGGCCAACCCCTGCCCTGAGAATGTGAAATTTACATGACTAGTCTGCGCCAGTAACGGATGCGAGTACCAGCCAGCCCACACCAAGTGGAAAGCCGCAGTAAAATGTACCCAACGAAAGCACAAGTCAAGATTCTCAAGAGGGTCCTGCTTGGGATGTTTGGCAAATTTCTTCCTGTATTTTGCTTGGACGAGGAAACGGAGGTATACACAAAACCCACATCCGAGGCGAGATCACTCCGTCCGCTCAACCTACATGTTGTACTGCCTCCTGCAGGCACCTCATGTCCTATGGATGGGATTACAAAAGTGTGCCATATGCTGGAAAACGGACATAAAATACACCATGGAAAACGTTTACTTGTTTATTGGACTAATTTTGGAAGCAGTACCACGTGGGTCTAATTCCATTCAACACCTGATAGCTGTTTTGGAAATTCCAAACAAATTACTGTGGGAATCAAACCTGAAACTCTATGCAAGTTGGCCCAGTGGTGAAAATTGGCGGGGGTATGGTACAGTCGACCCTTCATGAGTAACACAACTTTATATGGCTAAGTGATTAATTACAAACTAGCGACGTTAAAAATCACTCCTACTTTCGAGCGAGCTCGTGATCACTCGCATTAGGGGAATGCAATCCGCTGAGTGGAGCAAATCGAGGAGGTTAGGCTGGAGTCGGTCGAATTCAAAGGGAGCGGTGTCACGCGTAGCCTGCCAACATCGATCGCTTGTTCCCGCCGTGACTTGCTGAGGCCTGTGAATTTGTCTGGGCTCACACACCGGCACGGCAAGCGTGGACGACATCTCAACCAAAGTTATCGCCGACGCGACGCACGCCCAGCATATCAACACGTTCTCATACAAAGTCATTACATTGGAATCACTGTAGCGTTGTGACAAAGAGTGCCTGAAGCCTGCGTCCTCATGAACGAAGCTTCAAATTCGTATCGGACATCCTCCCACTGCCCAAGTACAGATATCCACAAGGACTCTGTGTTGAGTTGCATCTTCCTTTAAATCGGTGTCTCGACTCCTCCAGTCCTCGCTGCCCCCACAGCACAGGTTTCCACTACTGCCAACAATCAGTATGCTGTAGCTTAATTTGCATATGGACGAGATTTTTTTTTAATAAAACTAAACTTTTTATGATACCGGATAAGGCCCACCGAGCTATACATTTCTTTTTCAGAAGCGACCTTGTGACAAATGACAGCTCAACGAAGTGGCTTATCGCGTGCAAATTTATAGCAGCCAAAAACTCTTAAGCGCACGTTTGTTTCTAAATGTGGAGGGGGGAAACCGGAGGACTCGGAGAAAAATCCATGCGACCACGGGGAAAGGCACACAAACTCTAAATATACAGCAGGCATCAGGGTCAGGATCGAACCCACGACCTCCTGTATACCAGGCCACCCCTGTGTCGCCACCACGACACAGGGGTGGCCCACAGGAGAGGGTTGTCACAATGGCTGGAGTTGACAAACTTTGGCTTAAAACACCATTTCTACCCCTCATTTGAGAAATAAAAAATAAAACAATACAGCGCATTACTTCTCGTCAGCTTAGAGGTTTGGCTGCTTTTCAGACCCACGATAATGTTATTATGAATGTGTTGTCGCGACACAGCTGGAAGTTATAAATGCAATTGCACTGAATCGACTGGCCGTCCCACAAAGACAAGTTTCGTGTTTTGCCGCTCGATGCTTTGCTCCATGCGTCACACGCCACATCTGGTACAGTGTAAAGTTTTTATCTTGGATGCGTAACGGGCAGTTGCTTTTTCTGGTTGGAAAACATTGCTAGACAGTATGCACATGCGCACACACACGCGGATGCATGCAGAGTTTTGGTAAAGCTTTCAGATTCAACTTGCATTCATCAGTTCAAGTAACTTGTTGGTTGCACTGCCATACAAGCCTTGGGGCTTTGTGCTTGGCAACTGTGATATAAAGTAGTGGCGAATTAACACGCTTTGTTGCTCGATTGACATCCAAATATGGATATTTTCCAAGAGCGGGGTTAGCCACCGTGTAACTCACACCGACTCACAATTGGTTTCATCACCTCTACTTCACCGCCTGCAATCCATCACTTCCACTCCATCACCATTTTAACTTCATCACTGCTCTATTGCCAAAACCATCAACCACCCCTTTCATCATCTCCTCCCTCTCCTCACTCATCACCTCGTCATTACAACATTCATCACCACCACCAACTGCTCTGAGCAACCCCTTTCGTCATCACTGCCATCACAAGCCCGAAATCACGGCCATCGCCTTCCCACCACCACCACCGTCATCACACCTCCGCTTCGTCGCAGCTGCCATCACCGGTGCTCGCCGTCTAAAACGCTGGGGTTGAAGACGACCACGGTGACGGTGATGTCGTCGCGGTACATGCGCGCCAGCTCCTCGGGCAGGCCCAGCATTTCGGCGACGCGCTCCTCGCACACGCGACCCGACTCGTCGCGCCCCACCGCACGCCGCACCAGCGCCGTCGCCGCGTTGCGGTCGGCGCTCGGCGAGGTGTCCGGCGACGTCGTCGTCGTCGTCGTCGTCCCTCCACCCGGCGTCGCTCGTTGCCGCTGACGCTGCTGCAGCAGCAGGCGGCCGTGCATCTCGCCCAGACGCACGACGGAGCCGCCCTCGCGCCGCTCCTGCCGTCGTCGTTCAAGCAGACGGAGAAAACGATAGGCGGACGTCTCCTATGCGGCGCATCCGGACCGTCGCATCATCCGCCCTGACCAATTAACCCGCCCACACTCAGTGCAGTATTTGTGTAAGCAACTTAATTTTTTTTTTAAAGATGATAATCACTTGTGTGTAAAGCACAGTGAATATTCCCCCGTATTTAAAGCAGTTTGTGCTTTATTTTATATGTGCATGACGGTGTAACTGTCATTAGCTATGATATGTTCACATACCCACCTATACCTGTCAACCGGATCTCGTGCATAGGTCAACTTCAGAGTTGTGTGTTTTTTTTAAGTGATGGCAGAAAAGATCAAACAACAGACGGGAGCCTGGGGTAGCGCAAGCGACCCAAACGTGCGTAAGACCTTGTTAAAAACGTTTACTAAAATTACGGTCACTTCCCTCCACCAGTGCTTCGGGTGCAAAGTTCCAAGTGTGCCGCAGTATTTTGGGAATTATAGGAAAGAATAACTTCACTGTTCGCAAGCTAGAACATATGATCCAGTCCCGACCTCCGTTCTCCATTGGTCGTGACACAGTCAAGCTAGAACTAAAAGCTAAACTATTTTTATTTTACCAGGTAAGGCCCGCTGAGATATTAGCTCTTTTTCAGAAGTGACCTTGCCACAAATGATAGTTCAACAAAGTGCCTTATCATGTGAACATTTATAACAGCCAAATACTCTAAACGCATGTTTCTAAATGCGTTTAACGGGCAAACCCGGAGGACCTGGAGAAAAATCCATATGACCACAGGGAGAGAGACATGCAAACTCCAAATATATAGGCATCAGGGTCGGCATCGAAGCCACGACCTCCTGTATAGCAGTCGAGGTAGTAAACATCTCGCCACCGTGGCGCCCAGCAGTCGGCCCCCAACCCCGGCCCTCTAAACTACGTTGATTGCGCACGAACAGTTGGGCAAACGGTTGCTATGAGCGACGTGTGTGCGAGCCATGGTACATTGTATTATAGTGCAGGTGCACGTGCGTGTGTTTAAAAGTTTACAATTGTAGTAGCCTCCAATTTTGAGAAAAGGTTTCTCAGCCTAAACGGTGGGTCAGTGATCCAAACCTGGGGTCCACAGCCAGAACGCTAAAGGGCCCACCGATTTTGTTTTGGTTCTGTGGTGAAGATCAAGCGAGATCCCAAAGTGTGCCACACAGTGACAGGGATTGTGAGAAGCACTGCCGCTACACAACCGCAGGGAAAGGGGGAGGAGGGCGTTAGCCCACGGAGATGAAACGTCACGGCGAGAAATGAGCTGTGCGGGACATACCGCGGGTGTTGCCGAAAAGTGAACTCGCACGTAAAATTATGACAAAAAACACACTTCCACGGGGAAGTTACCTTTACAATTCTGTCCTAAACGTATTGCCCTGTGTTGTCTGTTCTTCGAAGTGCTTCAATGTGCTTCTGTTTTTTGTTTACCGTGGTTTTGTGTTTGTCTCTATGCTTCCGTCTGTTTCCGCCCACGCCCTTGTGCCCCTTGCTTTCTTCGGCCCCTCCCCACCACCTCTGCTGCTTATTTAAGCCTCTGTTCATCCCTACGGCCCCTTTTTCCTTGCTTCTCTGTCCGTCTTTCCTCTTCTTGCCTCTTGGTGTCCCTGTAAATGTATTTCTGCTACCTTGTACCTCGTATTTGTTCACTCAGTCTATGCTGGTTGTGTTCAACCCAGAGGATGAACACGAAATTTAGCAGTCTTCTGAAATTCGTGGTCCGCCAGGCAAGTGTCTAACTGTGATGTTGGCCCGACTGGTTTTGCATCGCGTAATTTTTTCTTAGGTTTGTTGAATTCTCGTCTCTCATCTTCTTGTTGTATTTACCTCCGTGCAGTTTAACGCTCTCTATGTGTTGCGTTGATGTCACCCTATGTGCTCCCTCGCCATTTGTTTTTTACACCTGATGAAGATCGCTTGTGTTGCGGTCGAAACGTCGCGATTTATTTTAATATAATTTTATTGTATTTCTACATACGTGACTTTACCAAAAAAAACAATGAGTGAACAAAACCAATAGTTTTTATTTACACCATCGCTGAGAGGAAACTAAACTTCACACTTTGGCAAACTGGGATTCTCCAGGTTTATAGTCAGCAATTGGGTGAATATGCACATTGACGCAAGTGCAACGAGTTCTTCGCATTGTGCGACTCGCTGAAGCGCAAGGAGTTATCATCGTGCGGACTTCCCATTCAGCCGGTTGAGCAATTTACCAAAAGTGCCTGCGATTTAACCCGTTGAGAATTAGGAGCGCGAAAACGAATCGGCCAATGAAGATCAATGGCCAGCACAGCAGAGAGAACGGGGCTGGAATGGCACGGATCCGTTTTCTCATGACCACGGAGCATCACAAAGATTTTCCTGCCTAAACAATTGCCATTATTGTAGATGTCAACCGTGCAAGAGTTGTGGGATCTGGATTGAAAACTAATTTCTTAAGAACTGCTTTTGTGTTTAGTTCGCTATCTTTCCCCCGCACCTCTGATTAGCACGATTATCTACGTACAGTGCGAAAGGAGTTCAACATACATATGTACAGCAGGAAGGTGAAGTATCATGAGTTTGTATTGCCTCGATATGCTCTTCACTTTGATCATTCTCTTATTTAAAAGAATATCGTATGCCCGTCAGTTACAGTACTTGAGTATTTTTTAGCTTTACAATCAAGCAAGGGCTCATTATACCAGCAAGAACCGGATAGCAGGTATTCATGTTGACCTATGCAAAAATTATGACCTACTTTAAAAAAAAAAGTTACTGAAAACGTCCACCGTACCATGTTAATCATGGTAGAATTACGCTTTATGTAAATATTGACTGGGCAGTCGAGGATGAAGCCGAGAGGCTTCAAGTTATTTGCGCTGCCATCTTTTATAAACAATTCTAGGTTGGAAAAAAAACTATCCCAAGGACGTGCTGATACCAGCCTATTATAGATAAGTGCTGCTATGAGGCGATACTATACAATATGATCAAGGTCGACTACTCAAACATGCGTAGAAAATATATCGTTATTACCTTAGCAAATATTTTAAACATATATTTATTCCCTGAGAAAATATGAAAAAAAAATGATACCGCGCCAAAACCTAATGAATACGGGACATTCAGCACGGCAACCTCGGTCAAGACCGGCGCTTGATCCGAGCAATCGTTGGCGTGCGTGCGCGTTGGTTCAGCGACCACTGTCGGCCATGGCGGTCTCCCCCCCTGCCCCCCACGCCCCCCCCACCGTCAACGGAGAGGTGACCTGCACCCACCTGCTGGTGCCTCTGCGCCACGGCGCCGCCCTCTGTAGCCTCCAGGTAGTCCCCGACGGTCCGCACGACGTCATCCATGTCCAGCATCTCCCACAGCCCGTCCGTCGCCAGCACCAGGAAGCGGTCGCCTGGGCCCAGCCGATGCCTTGACACCTGTACCAAGCGCGCGCACATCGCAGTCCCCCGTACGGCTGTTAAGGACTGTTTGCGCAAGTGCCGTTAGCGAGCCGGTGTGGTGTGCAAGCAGGTTATGTGGCCAGCACGATGCCACACCGCCATCATTCCCCCAGTGCTGATGTTTACTTACACACTGCACCAGGTACTCATTTAAGGTTAGGGTAGGCCGAGGACAAATTTATATAACTCTACTTTTTATTTGCCGTGGCCAGGAATCGAACTTCGATCACCATGCTCATAGTACCGTGTGTTTATAACTACGTCACCGCTCCCCATACACATAAAGACACGCAAACACATGCACACAAAGACAAAGATCCCCCGTATAGCCTTAACAGGCTGTAGGGGCAAGTGCTGTTAGCGAGCACCTATGAAGGCCGGAACGGTACACGAGGGGGTGGGTGGCCAGCACCACGCCCGACCGCCTTTGTCTCCCTAGTGGCGATGTTTACACACCGCACCAGGTGCTCATTTGAGGCTGAGTCGACCTAGGGGTCGCCCGGGACCGGTTTCAAATAATCGTCACTGGTGTTGGCCGTGAGCGGCAATCGAACCCGGGTCACCAGGTTCATAGCGCAGCGCGCTAACCGCTACACTATCACTCCCCCACATGCACACGCACATGTAGACACATACAAACACGAGAAAACTTTTCAGAAGCAGCCGTATAGACTGTGAGGGCAAGTGTTGTTAATGAGCAGCTGTTAAGGCCGGAACAATGCACGGTGGAGTGGTATGGCGCACACGACGCCCGGGTAGCATTGTTCCCCAGTGCTCGTGTTCATACATCAATGGGATTTCCAGGACAAGTTCAGATATAATTTTCCACTTGTGTAAGTAAGGCAAAGGATTAGAATTGACATTAGGTCGGCTTAATTGTTGTGCAGTAAAAGAACCACTGCACCACTGCATGTGAATTCAATTCCTGGTCAGGTTTGATTCAGTCCATCACCATCATCTTTCTGAGGTGAATAACATTTTTACACCTTTTGTGTAATCATTGTTGACAGCACGTGCAGTTTTTAAGCGTGTTAATAGTTCCGCTCAGTGTATAATGATTTACCGTTTACCGAATTGCTGCTTACAACAATGATCTCATCATCCGATGTGTTAGCCCCCCCTACCCCCCTACACTCACACACAAACAATAATTATGTTTTTACTGCTTAATTTACATGTTTTGCATCACCCAGGTTTGTGTTTTGTACGGCCCATTGCTCACCCTCATTACCCAAGATAAATTAGAGTTGTATATTGCTTGCATTGCCTTTGTTAAAAACAGCATTATAATTGTGTATACGACTTAAACCTGCATGTGCGCCCTGTATCGCAATATGGCCTTGAGCTTGCCTCGAAAAGATCACCCTGAATGCATCAAATCTTGCCAGAAGCAGAATCAGACTCTTTATATATCCTGGAGGAATCGGAGGAGCCCAGGCAAAGCAGGATTTTAACTTGGTTAGGTACTGCCTAGGTGTATACCAGTTGCTCTAGTCCTGGGCTGCGAGATGGCCAGATTGATCTGTTAGATGCAGTGTTAATTTAGTCAGCAACTGTTTTACTCGTCTTAATCAAGACGGATGAAAACCTGTGGAATGTTTGTCGAGTCTTTATCTGTGGATTCATGCCGTCATTCTTAGTCTAATAGACTCAAGCAGAGAAAATGTTTATTCTACTCTTAGTTATTCAATGTTGGTGTGAGGGTCATGCAATTTCCCCATCCCCCAATATCAGGTCAGCCAATCAGTGATCTCAATAAATATATACCAAATTATTATGAATTAACTTACTCAGCACCACTGCCGTCCTTAATAATGTTACGAAATTATCTTCAGCCTGCATATCCAATAATGTTTTCTCATTTTAGTTGGTCATGATTTAGTAGTCCACTCATTGTCATAGTTGACCAAAATTAAATAAATACTCATACTTAACCAATATTTCTGCCACTTATTTCATGAACAAAATAAACACTGATAAGCTGCTTCCTGCTAGCACATCCAGCCGGCCCCACACAATCCCACAGACTCTCTCTCGGTACTGCCGGCGGTGAATATTTGAACCAGTCTCGGGCCTCCCCTAGGTCGACTCAGACTCAAAGGAATACTTCGTGCAGTGTAAGCATTACTGGGGGGAGGGGGGGAAACACAGTGAGGCATTGTGTTGGCCACAACCCTCTCGTGTACCATTCTGGCCTTCATAGGTGCTACTCGCGAACAGCACTTGCCCCAACAGTCCATTAAGGCTATACGGGGGATGATCGTTAATCTTTGGTGGTAGCGGCGACCGTATTGGTATTAGTGGATTCGGTGGCCACGGCCGGCAGCTACAGTGCCGATGCCGTCCGCAGTCCCGACGTCTCCCACCTCGGGCCGGGCGTTGAGGTACGGCGGGGAGTGGTAGTCCTGCGGGAAGAAGTCACGGTGCCCGATGCCTTCGACGAGGTCGGCGCCCGACTCCAGCACGCGGCGCTGCAGCTCCTGGCTCCACTTGAACTTGACGTCGCCGAAAGCTCGAAGCGGTGCGAGGGCGCCAAGCAGCCGGCCATGCCGCAGCACCGTGCGCCGCTCGCTCTCCGGGTGCTCGGCGTGCAGGCGCGCCACCTCCGCGGGGTTCTCTGCACAGTGGTCGCGCGACAGCGGCACCGCCTCCCAGCCGGCTCCGGCGCGGCGGCCCAGCACGGCGCGGCTGTCGCCCACGTTGGCCACGTGCAGCTCGCCGTCGCACACGAGCGCCACGCACGCCGTCGCGCCCGAGAACGCCGAGCGCAGCGCCAGCGCGGTCAGGCAGCGGCTGGGCGTGCCCGCCTGGGCCTCCAGCGACAGGTCCGAGTCGAGCCGCGCGAACGCCCCCGCCAGCGCGTCGGCCACGTCGGGCTGCGTGCCGTCGTCCAGGTCTATCAGCTCCTGCCAGTAGGTACGCAGGCTCTGGAAGTACAGCGCCGCGCTCTCGCGGTTAACGTAGTCGTACGGGTGCTTGTGCCACAGCAGCACGGGCGGCACCGAGCGCCTCGCTTCCACCGCGTCTTCGATGTGCCGCAGTGTCGCCGTCGGCAGCAGCGCCATCGCCACGTAGTAGAAGAGGCGCTCGCTTAGGGCCTGCGCGCACGCGGGCCCAGCGTGCCCGTCAAACACGCCCAGCAGCATTCCGCCCGACTGCAGGCACGTGGCGGCCGCACGCCGGTCCTCGATGGGCGAGTTGGACGGCAGCTGGTTGCTCTCGAAGCCCATGACGACGCTCACGTTCTTGCCGTCGAACTCGGGCACCGTGTAGCTGTACTCGCTCGCGCGCAGGATGCTGTCCACGTGCTCGCGGCTCAGGCGATGGGCGGCACGCGTGCTCCTGCCGCGGTGCAGCTGAGCTCCGCCGGGAGACCCAGTGATGGGAGCCGCGAGGAGAGAGGTGGTTGTGCGGAGAAGCAGCCTCATGGCTGGCGGTGGACGGCTTGCGTTGGTAGAGATCACCTGGGTAAAGAGGACAAGAGTGAAATCTAACGTGTACGCGCATCACCATGGTCAGAGGGACGAGTGCCGCGCGTTCACTTGAACAGGGGCACAACTCATCGTATTGCAATGTCGAAGCAAAGGTCAATTAGTTGGTTACAACAAGCAATGAATGTTCCAGTCGTGAACACACAACACACAGAATATGCATATGTATTTATATCAAACTACTCTGCATTACCAAATCACTGTGGAGTAGTGCTCATATCCATTGGCAACCCTCATCTCACAAAGGACATTCCACATTCACATGGCACAAGCCAGTAGTGTCTGCATAGGACACCCACAGATGGCTTCAAATAAAGTGGTTGTCATTATACGGCTTCAGGAGTGAAAAAAAAATGATGATCAAGCTAAATCCCAACTGGGACTTTGAACTCCTAACCCTTACAAATGGCAATTACAATTCCACCTGGCCAGATATATTCTAAATACACTTTACACTGTACCGGCTACATATCAACTGACTGCAATAATATCTTTCTCGTTGAAGAAGCTAGAGGTTTTTTTTGTTTGTTACAATAGCAGAGGGGCCTCCGGACCGAGCTTGAATGTCTGGGCTTCATCCAGATCTGGTCGGGTCCAAGAGCCAGTGCGTTATCAGAGTGGGTGAGACAGGTGAGGGGCGATAAAGCGTGCCAGGGCAAACCCAAGTGACCCTGCATCGTTGCCAATTCTTGTTTTACGAAATGGCCATAAATAATGACAGTAATTATGTCAATCTAGGGACTGCACTGATATATCATAAGGGGAGGAATTCTATATTACAAAGGGCACTTTTGCAATGTTCCCGTGCAAATGAATGCCAGCCTTTGTGGGCAATTCAAATGCTGTTTATAATTTCCTTTAAAATCCACACTGAAATCACACTTTTCGCACAAAACGGCAAACCAAAAGGCAGCTTTTTTGTAAATCCACTGCTGGATGAGGGCCTCCCCACACCGTGCGTAAAGCGGTGGAGAGGGGGGGGGAGCTTATTTAACCATACTTCACCAGTCTGGTCAGTGCGGGATGGTGAAGGCAGGAGGGAGCGATAGACGTTGCAACATAGTGCACTAACAGCCATGTATTTGTCGACATTTCACCCTCCGTTCGGAAAAAAATTCCGTAGCAACCTACAACACCTGATAGGCGTGGTGGGTCACGCATCCAACCAAACACGTTTCTGGGCAACTGAAACCCAACACGGTTGGAATATCTCTCTCTCTCTCGAGAGAGAGATAGTGTGCGTGGTCAATGCTCAAAGACGCGGCCTCGTGTTATGGGACACAAACGTGAAATTGTGATAGCAACTTCGCACCTCCGCATTAGCACGGTTCGGCTACGTACGGTGCGAAAGAAGTTCAACGTGCATTGTGTAGCCGCGGCTTGCGGCGGAGTTATTAGCCGATTTCTACCCTCTTGCGTTGCGCAAGTTGCATCTTACACATCTATTGACCTTGGGAGTTCGGTAAAGCTGTAAAAAAATGTAATTATTGTTCACATTACAATATGCACAAGGACAAGCCTTTTGTCAATCCACCGCTGGATCAGTGAGGGCCATGGGGGGGGTTATCTGACCATACCATACGGGTTGGTGACGGCGGGCAGCACAGATGCGGGAGCATGGAAGAACAGCACAACGATTAATGTGGCTGCGCTACCCTCTGCTGCCCTACATGTGCGCCACATGAAGTAAACGTGGTACAAGTATCGTGGTGCCGCTTTAACATACATTCCCAGAATGATTGTGGAGCCACATATATACCCCGGGGTCAAGTGGGTACGACCAATGGGGGTGTGGAACGTACATCACGAGCAAGGAGTCACCAATTGAAGACACGACTCAAGAAAAAAACACACAATTGTCCTTGTGCATATTGTAATGTCGACGAAACTTTTGTCTTTCAGAGCTTGGCCTATGCAATGCAAATGTTAACAATGGCCGCGACTTTAAAATGTGATGTGAAGCACAGTACGTACACGTAGTGTATGTGTGTGTACATATACACAACGATGAAATTTCGTGAGCAATTTCCAACCAGCGAGGCTTACCGCACTGCATCCAAAAACTCCGCATGCAAATTGAATTGCAGTAAAACATTGCATGACAGAACGCGTTCGCAGACTCGCCTCACTCACTCACTCACCGCTCACTCACCCACGAATAGTCCACGCGGACCGGGCGCGCACAAACAGCAGCGGGGAGCACGCGACGAGCAGGGGGGACGGGCCAGCGGTAACCACGGCAAAGTTATCGCTCACGAGCTGCACCCCTGCGCGGGAGGTTAGGCGGCCCTTACAAACAGCACCCCCCTCGCTAGAGACCGCCGCCGCCGCCGCCTTCCCGCGTTGTGGTGCGAGAGCTCGCGCGCGCAAACCACAACGCGGCCCCTTAAATAAGCGGGCGGCTCGTGAGGCAATCACGCCGCGTCGCGTTGACGTCATCGCGCACGCCGCGTTAACGTCACGGCAACGCGATCGTGTGGTAAAAAAATCGCCTCGCGTGTTGCGGCGACGTCGCGGCGCGTGTTGCCAACAAGTCGCCTCGCGTGTTGCGGTGACGTCACGGCGCGTGTTGCGAACATGTCGTCCGCGTGTTGCGGTGACGTCACGGCGCGTGTTGTGAACATGTCGCATCCCGTGTTGCGGTGACGTCACGGCGCGTGTTGCGGACAAGTTTTCCGCATGTTGCGGTGACGTCACGGCGCGTGTCGAGGGGCGATGTCTTCCGCCCGCGCTGTTTACATCGCGACGTGACGTCATCGCGGCTACGCGTTTGTTTAACCGACAGCGCTTTTCGATGAAGTAATTAGGTAATTTACGTACCGATAAAGAAGGGCCATTAGCCGAAACGTCGCTTGTTTACATCTTTTTTTACCCTTTTCCCTTGTAAACGAACGTGTTGTTTTTGATTACGCAATGACTAGTTTGTATTGGCACGTGTTGTCTGACGTCATGACGTGACATTCCTGTTTAATTAACGAGCCCTGTAATTTTGATTTAAAGCTTTCGTGACTGCAGTAATTCATATTCTTAGTTTTTTCGGCAAAGTATATATTTATATATATTTTGTTATTTTGTTGTTTCTCTTCAACGTGACTTTGCCGAAAAAACTAAGAATATGAGCCCTGTAATATTCTTGGTTCTTTCGGTAAAGGCACGTAGAAGGGAAACAATGAAAATAATAAAAATATAAAACAATAACATTCTGTAATAGTCTTGCTTCTTTCGGTAAAGGCACGTAGAAGGGAAACAATAAAAATAATACAAATATAAAACAATAACATTCTGTAATATTATTGGTTCTTTCGGTTAAGTCACGTAGAAGGGAAACAATAAAATAATAAAAATAGAAAACAATAAAATTATCACGACGTTTCGACTGCAACACAAGCAATCATCATCAGGTGTGAAAACCACAGCAAGAAAATTTGGTACTTGCAGACTTGAACCAGTAATGAAAATGCCACACTTGTGGAGGGGTCTTTAATCTGCTGACGTGTCTACACAATTTCGATTTAAAGCTTTCGTGACTGTAGGGATTCACCTTCTGGGTTATTTCGGTAAAGTCACGTAGAATGGAGATAAAACAATAAAGATAATAATAACGGAATAAAATTCTCACGACGTTTCTGCCACAACACAAGTAGCCTTCCTCAGGTGAAGAAACAGGACTGTCCGGAAGACAGCGCTTGAGTGAACACTGCCAAGCATGGACAGCGTCTTTTAAGCTGTGTGGGAGGAACAGAGCGCCTTGACAAAGGCGTTAACGTATAAATTAGCGTGTAACTGGGGGATTAGTATGATGTTGGTGTGAGGGATTAGCACCACGGAGAGCGACGAGCTTTGTTCAGACGGACGAGTCCATCTATGTACGCAACGGAGGAGGGGGGGAGAGGAGTTTACATATCAATAGTAAATTAGCATGTAACTGGGGGATTAGCATGATGTTAGTATGAGGGACGAGCTTGTGTTCAGACGGACGAGTCCATCTATGTTCGGAACCGAGGAGGGGGGGGGGGAAGAGGAGGAAACGGCCACGGTGCGATACCCTGTTCTGTGTTGCGTTATAACTATGCTATAAACTGGACTACTATACAATACTATGTTATACCTTTCAATCTAAACTACATTGTATAATATCGTATACATAGACAAACCCCACGCTTGAATTATACAATGCGTTACTATACACTACCCTATACTTTAGACTATAAAATATTAGACTTGTAGTATTACACTATGTATTATTCTACTAACCCTACTGTATACCACACTGCTGTATATTCACTATACAATTACGGTACTGTGTATTGCCTCATGAATTATGTTAAACATTACACTTATACTATTTATTATTATACAAAATGCTATAAACTATACTATTGACCGTCGTGTGAAAGGTACTAATAGGCAGTGTCAGCTAATGGACTGCGGTCTGAAAGTCACCGTAAAATACACTCAATCAAGAACCGAAATGGTTTATAACGTCTTTCCAATGGTTACTAAGCCAGAATCCATCTTCTCGGTTGAAATTGTCTCTGTGTTTGTATATGTGGATAGCCTCATGAACGAATCTCTCATGGTAGCCAGATGGCTTGCAGAGAACCTCTGTCTTGGAGAAGTCAATGTCATGTGAGCCTACTGAATTATAACAGTGATCTGCCACGGCCGAGGTGTTGGTCCTACCGTGTTTCAAGTCTGCTTTGTGTTCACGAATGCGGTCCGAGATATGTCGTTTGGTTTCTCCAATGTAGCTGCTACCACAGAGGCAACTTAGTTTGTAGACGCCCGGGTACTGTATGTCTGGAACCACATCTTTTACAGACGGAACCAGATCACGGATTTTATGTACTGTGTTGAATCGGACCTGAATCTTGTGTTTATACAAGATTTTTTAGATCTTTTTTGTGACCCCCGCAATGTAAAATCACGTAGAAGGGAAATAAAAAAAATGAAAAATATATAAAACAATATTATTTTATTGTTTCCCTTCTACGTGGTGGTCACTTTACCGAAAGACCCAAAGAATATGAATCCCTGCAGTCACGAAAGCTATAAATCAAAAATCTAACGACTATTCAGGGTGCGGGGCCGCATTGTGTAATTGGGCCCCGGAGCGAGCATAATCGCCTCCTTTTGAATTCCGTAGTTCACGTCGGCGTGCCCGCGACTCGCCGTTGGTCGGCGCGGCCGCACGTGACCCAACATCGGACCAATCGGAGCGACTGTTGGCGGCCACGGGGACGCCGCGCGTGGTTACTCGCGGCGAGCGGCGTCGTCGGTACCGCGCAGTTAAAGCAGCGGGCGGCTTGGAGAGGAGAAGCAGCAGCAGCAGGAGGAGAGGAGAAGCAGCAGGAGGAGAGGAGAAGCAGCAGGAGGAGAGGAGAAGCAGCAGCAGGAGAGAGGGAGTAGCAGGAGAGGAGAAGCAGCAGCAGGAGAGGAGAGAGGGAGTAGCAGGAGAGAGGGAGTAGCAGGCAGGAGAAACAGCAGGAGAGGAGCAGCAGCAACAGACGGGCATCTTGGAGACGAGAGAAGGAGCAGCAAGCCGGGAGGAGCAGCGGGAGACCGAAGGAGCAGCGGGAGACCGAAGGAGCAGCGGCAGCTTGGAGGAGCAGGGGCACGAGAAGCATCATCCAAGAGCAGCAGCAGGCGAGGAGCAAGCGGCAGCCAGGAGGAGCAGCAGCAGCAGCCAGGGAACGAGGAGCGGACATGCTGTTCAGGCTGTACGCGAGGGCCCTCTGGCCCCGCGGCGTGGCAGTGGCGGCAGCAAGGCCATCGCAGAGGAGGAGCGCGACACAGGGTGAAGCCACGGGGGACTTCGGGGGCCTGGGTCCGGGGTCCTGGGGGGCGTGGGGGACGCGACGGGGGTGCAAGCGGCATTGAGTTGGAGGAGCGACATGAGCCTGGCCTTAGATGAGGCGGGGGTGGCAGGGGCATTGGGCGAGGGACCGAGGCATTCACCCTGAATTGGAGGAGAGGCATTAACCTGCCTTTTAATGGGTCGGGGGGGGGGGGGATTAACCTGGCATTCCAGGGGGGAAGGGGCATAAATGTGGCATTGGATGAGTGGCAGGGAGATGAACTAGGCCTTCGTGGGCCGGGAGGGAGGGAGGGCATTCACCTGGCATTGTAGGGGAGGGGCGGTGTTTGCCAGTTCGAGAATATTCTTTAATCAGGATTCCCCCCTGCAGTTCCTGATAATGCGGGAAAGAGTTCCAACCACCCAGGGTGGTGACTTTGCTCCGAGCTAGCATCACGAGAGTGGAATTAACCCGAGGGTCTCGTGGACATTGAGCTTGAACAATGGAATCGTTTTGATTTAAAGCTTTCGTGACTGCAGTAATTCATATTCTTAGCTCTTTCGGTAAAGTCACGTTAAAGGGAAACAACAAAACAATAAAATATATACAAAACAATAAAACATTTTTTTATTGTTTTGTATTTTGTTTTGTATATATTGTTTTGTATATATTTTATTGTTTTGTTGTTTCCCTTTAACGTGACTTTACCGAAAGAGCTAAGAATATAAATGGAATCGTTGTCACTGACCTGGCACCAGGGTGGCATAAGAGTAGCATAACCTGGCGTCTGGACGTGGTTGACCTTTATTAATGTGGCGAGATGTTAACTACCTCGCCTGATATACAAGGAGGGCGTGGGTTCGATCCCGACTGACGCCTGTACGTTTGAAGTTTGCGTCTCTCGGTTTCTCCCCGTGGTCGCGTGTATTTGTCTCCGGGTCCTCCGGTTTTTCCCTTGACATTCGGAAACAACATCACGCGTTTATAGTATTTCGTTGCGATACATTTCCACACGATAAGCCACTTTGTTGTGCTACAAAGCTCAGTAGGCCTTACCTGGTTAAATAAAAAAAACGTGATTAGTTTTAAGGTACAACGCATGGCTACATTTGTTTTCATATGGTGACACAAACACGGAGAAAAATCCTCAGTCTCGAAGGTGGAATGGCTTTCCAGCTTCTTCAAGGTTACTGTTGGTTAATGTATTTGTTCCAACTCCGTCCTTCCTCTTCTTGTGCGTGTCGTAATAGATGTGACACAGGTCAAGGTTCTTCCCGGACCAGATGAACTCCGGCCGCTCTACATGGACGTGCAGGCCACGACCCCCATGGTGAGACTGGCGGCACAGTCTTGGGGAGTCCACTCCACTGTGATTTACACACGCAAGGGTGACTCTCAATAGGAGTACGGTATATAAGTACACACGGTGTTTGCCTCGCTTTTTCAACAACTTGCTGTCTGCGATTTTTGGTTCATCCGCTGATCGCGTCTGGAACTCTACACGACTACTGCATCGAGAGGGAGAGAAAGTGACGAGAGAAAGTGACGAGATAAAGCGATGAGAAAGAAAGTGATGAGATGTATTATTTTTGTATTTAAGGTATTTGAATGTCATCTGCGAAATTTGCTTTTCACAAGCGTCTCTGGAACACATCCCTCCCGAATAACGAGGGAATACTTTTACATAACCTAGAATAATCGGCGTTATTGTGAAGAATTATAAATTTGTAGACAATGTCTCATTTTTATATCCATCGTCACAAAAAGTAGATCTTACAAAACCCATCGGCGACACCGCCTTCAGGGAGTACATGGTTTCAGCAGCATTGATTCAAGCAAAGCAACTCTGGACCAGTTTAGAAATCTCATCGGATATAGTGAGGTGGGGTTAGTTTATGATTTCCTTAATTTAAATATCAGATTTTCTCATATTTAGTCAGAATTTCGGGTTTATTTCATGCTTGTGGATTTCAATGTGTTACCAAAAAACGTAATTGGTGATCCACAAAATGAAATTACTTTCAATGAAATAATTGCACTTTCATTTATAACTTAAACCGAGAACACATCCTGAGTATGTACAGTGAGGGAAAAAAGTATTTGATCCCCTGCTGATTTTGTACGTTTGCCCACTGACAAAGAAATGATCAGTCTATAATTTTAATGGTAGGTTTATTTGAACAGTGAGAGACAGAATAACAACAACAAAATCCAGAAAAACGCATGTCAAAAATGTTATAAATTGATTTGCATTTCAATGAGGGAAATAAGTATTTGAGACCCCTCTGCAAAACGTGACTTAGTACTTGGTGGCAAAACCCTTGTTGGCAATCGCAGAGGTCAGACGTTTCTTGTAGTTGGCCACCAGGTTTGCACAAATCTCAGGAGGGATTTTGTCCCACTCCTCTTTGCAGATCTTCTCCAAATCATTAAGGTTTCGAGGCTGACGTTTGGCAACTCGAACCTTAAGCTCTCTCCACAGATTTTCTATGGGATTAAGGTCTGGAGACTGGCTAGGCTACTCCAGGACCTTAATGTGCTTCTTCTTGAGCCACTCCTTTGTTGCCTTGGCCGTGTGTTTTGGGTCATTGTCATGCTGGAATACCCATCCACGACCCATTTTCAATGCCCTGGCTGAGGGAAGGAGGTTCTCACCCAAGATTTGACGGTACATGGCCCTGTCCATTGTTCATTTGATGCGGTGAAGTTGTCCAGTCCACTTAGCAGAAAAAACACCCCCAAAGCATAATGTTTCCACCTCCATGTTTGACGGTGGGGATGGTGTTCTTGGAGTCATAGGCAGCATTCCTCCTTCTCCAAACACAGCGAGTTGAGTTGTTGCCAAAGAGCTCCATTTTGGTCTCATCTGACCACAACACTTTCACCCAGTTGTCCTCTGAATCATTCAGATGTTTATTGGCAAACTTCAGACGGGCATGTATATGTGCTTTCTTGAGCAGGGGGACCTTGCGGGTGCTGCAGGATTTCATTCCTTCACGGCGTAGTGTGTTACCAATTGTTTTCTTGGTGACTTTGGTCCCAGCTGCCTTGAGATCATTGACAAGATCCTCCCGTGTAGTTCTGGGCTGATTCCTCACCCTTCTCATGATCATTGCAACTCCACGAGGTGAGATCTTGCATGGAGCCCCAGGCCGAGGGAGATTTACAGTTCTTTTGTGTTTCTTCCATTTGCGAATAATCGCACCAACTGTTGTCACCTTCTCACCAAGCTGCTTGGCAATGGTCGTGTAGCCAATTCCAGCCTTGTGTAGGTCTACAATCTTGTCCCTGACATCCTTGAAGAGCTCTTTGGTCTTGGCCATGGTGGTGAGTTTGGAATCTGATTGATTGATTGCTTCTGTGGACAGGTGTCTTTTATACAGGTAACAAGCTGAGATTAGGAGCACTCCCTTTAATAGTGTGCTCCTAATCTCAGCTCGTTACCTGTATAAAAGACACCTGGGAGCCAGAAATCTTTCTGATTGAGAGGGGGTCAAATACTTATTTCCCTCATTAAAATGCAAATCAATTTATAACATTTTTGACATGCGTTTTTCTGGATTTTTTGTTATTCTGTCTCTCACTGTTCAAATAAACCTACCATTAAAATGATAGACTGATCATTTCTTTGTCAGTGGGCACACGTACAAAATCAGCAGGGAATAAAATACTTTTTTCCCTCACTGTAGCGAGTTAGTTTATGATTTCCTCCATTTAAATATCAGATTTTCTAATATTTAGTCAGAATTTTGGTTTTATTTCATGCTTGTGGATTTCAATGTATAAACGTAATTGGTGATCCACAAAATTAAATCACTTTCAATAAAATAATTGCACTTTAATTTATAATTTAAACCTAGAGCACATCCTGAGTATGTAGGAACGTAACAATTTTCACCAAGATTATTTGATGACTTGTAAAATATGTTCTGGATCTAGATTTCATTCTTGTCTCGTTCCTTTGTGAATTCCGTTAGTGTCAAGGTAACATTTGCAAAAAATATATAGATATAACTTTTTTATCAATCCATTGCTGGATGAAGGCCTACTTATGTATATCTTGCTATGCTGGTCATGAGTGGATTGCAAAAAGGTTTGCCCAGGACATTCATGTCCTGTATATCTATTCACTGTTGGAATGCATGGCTTAGAATCAATGAAACTTGGCATACAATGATCATACATCGTACAATATTTAACGACTTTATGCATACATTGCATATAAATGTGTAAACATCGATGAATTTGTTGCATGCCCAATACGTAACAATGTGGGAGCGTTGTGGCGTACAGACGTCATTAAAAGTATACTATTTGTCCACGGCACAGTGGTTTTGCTCGCCGTGCGATGTCCGTCACGACCCATACTTGACGTCTGGCCATGGTTTAGTATCGGTGGCGAGTGATGTCTGGATCTGTCCCGGGCACCCATCTTCACCAACGTGCACTGATCAGGATGGTGCCGTAGGGTCAAACAGCCCCCACAGCCAACACTGCGTGTGGAGCCATTTATCCATCGGTGTATTAACAAAGGGCTTCTTTACATTATATACAATAAATCCAATTAAGTATTTCTGACCATTATCCTTCAAGACACCATTCCATTACAATTAAATTTACGTTGTGTCGTACATGTAGGGTAAGTGTGGATAATTAGCATTGATTTGTCCTTATCTCCAAGTTGCTCCTCTTACTGGTGCAGCAGTGGGAATAATAGCAAAGGTCTGTTTATCTATCTGGGGGTGTGGATAATGGAGCAGGTAATTGGAGGGTGCGTGATAGTGGTTTCTCTATATGTGGAAGCGCAGCCTTCCGTTGCACATTGAATGAATGCACTGCAGTGAATAAGCTGTATCAAATTTTGATTTCAAGCTTTCGTGACTGCAGTGATTCATATTCTTGGTTCTTTCGGTAAAGTCACGTTGAAGGGAAACAATAAAATATATATATAAAACAATACAATTCTCACGACGTTTCGACTGCAACACAAGCAGTCATCATCAGGTGTGAAAACCAGTGACATTTTTTTCAGTTTCATTTATTAGGCATAACCCTGTGAGCCATGCGGCTCTTGACTCGGGTGCAACCGCAACAAACAAAAATTTGAAGAAGAAACATCTTAAGATGACTACGCGCAACAGAAACATCCAGTAAAAAACAGCAAAGTAGGGTCATGTAAACCAAGTACATAGCAGGTATGCGAATAGAGAGTAACACAATTCAAAGCTTGTATCCGGAGTGTATGGATCGATTTTAATTGGCACTTTTTACGACTAATCTTGCACTTTTTTTATTTCTTCACTCAAAACTTTGAAAAGATACATTTTATATTTAAAATTCTATAATTTTTACCTTTTTTATTTATTCATTTGTCTTTTATTTTTCTATGTTATGTATGTCACGGAAACGGTGTTTTTTTATTGATGAAACCCGACTTAAGGGCTTTTTAGCTCAAAGGGTACTTCAAAATAAACTGAAACTGAATAGATGTAGTGCTACACCCCTAATGTACAGTCTAAAACTCATCAGATGGCTTCTGGAATGGGACGTTTGGCAAAGTACGTTTTACAAGTGTTCGAGTAGGCAAGTAAATTAATTCCCTCCAAACTACTGATTTCTAGGCCAACCGGTCTGCCGTGCACGGTTTACTCTGTTCCACTGTAAATTAATTTCTCGCACATTTTTCTCATTGCTTTGTGTGTGCCCCAGGGTACGCTAATGAGATGCAATGCCACTCTCAATCATTGACACTGCAGTGTACTGGGGCCCCAATACACAAGGGCTGCTGGACATTTACTCCACCTTACAGCCTGCAACGTGGCTTTGCTAACTCACAAGGAATTGTGATTGCCTCAGCTCGGCACTGGTACCGTTCAGTGACGTAAATGCGAATTAACTATTGTGGCCACTGGTAGTGACAATGAAAGTCCCGGATTTGAAGTTTTCGTGACTGCAAGGATTCGTACTCTTTGTTTTTTTCGGTAAAGTCACGTAGGTAAAAAAAATGAATTAAATCACGACGTTTCGGGCGCAACACAAGCGTCCTTCTTCAGGTGTGGACAACTTAGCGAGCAGAACACCGCTTAAGTGTTGACAACTTAGCAAAAGCACACCGCTTTAGTGTGCTGTCCAGCACTTAAGCGGTGTGCTTAAGCGGTGTGCTTTCACTAAGTTGTCACCACCTGAAGAAGGACGCTTGTGTTGCGCCCGAAACGTCGTGATTTAATTTATTTTAATTGTTTTACCTACGTGACTTTACCGAAAAGAACAAAGAGTGATAAAAGTCCTCCGCCTGAAATCCTCCGACAAATCTCAACACTGCCTTTCTGGAGTGGCCTTGGCAGTAGTATTTGCCTGATTGGGTGTTTTTTTAAGTAGTTGGACACCAAATTGTCTGCAGAAAACCCATGTATCTAACTCAAAAAATACTCCACAGATCAATAGCCTACTTTTTCTGCTGCGATCATTGTCTAAAGCGTATCGGTGTCGCACATGAATATCTCTTCGATCCACAAACAGTCTATAAAACTGCAGGCATTCACCACCAAACCCACGACTAAAAAATATTCCACGACCGTTGGAAGAACGCAATTCCCGATTGCATTTTTTAGGTGTACCTTAGCAATGCAGATACTGTGGGGGTTATTGCAACACAATTCCTACCTGTCGAGTCCATAACCTATTCGCGAGCACTGTCCTCTGGCACGATCGTAAGGGAACCGCCCAATGTTTAGCATTGTTACAAATACTTGTGTGTGTGTGTGAATGTCAGGAACGTGAATAAGTGTGGCCTAATGTTGTAGTGGGATACACTAAACCTAAGCAGCTGTGATTCCATAATGAAACGATTCGGTACTTTCATAACAGGACAAACAAGAAGTCTGTTAATATAGGAGACCTGAGACCACAGCCAAAATGACTGCACTTAATGACAACACGCAACACGTTTGGCAATAACACCATGGCCTTAAAAGGAAAAATATGACAGGTAAATGTTTTCGGTAATGGCCCTTCATAGCACATACATAGAGACACCAGAGAGAGTTAGTTAAGAAGAGCTTCTCTGACCATATCAAAACTAAAAAGTTTATTATTTTATGTACCAGTTTTTTTTTCACAAGCGACCTGGCCACAAGTGATAGCTCAACGAAGGTGCAATGAAAGTGGAAATTTATATCAGCCAAAGGCAGGTGTCGGGGTCGGGAATGAACCAACTACTTCCTGCACACCAGGTGAGGGAGATAAGTCCTCACGACCATGGTACCCCATATTGAAATGACATGCCCAGGAATGCATCACTAAGTGAATTATGCTAATGTTGCCATTGACCTCACTACAACGGGCCACCCATAATACAATGTTCAAGAAATATTTTACTATTTCACTTGGAATACAAATAACTTTATTTTAGCATTTTCTTTCATTATTGAAGAGTTTTTTTTTCATCACTACTCATCGGTAACTTCATATGCCTATTCAAGCATTTGTTCATCAGGAAACATGATTTAACTATCATTATTATCAGGCCCCATGGTGTAAATTGCAGTTTCTATCACTCTGGCCTCTGTGCTATGAAGTAGGGCCATTGCCTGAAACGTTGCCTATATTTGCTTCAAAGCAGTGTTCTTTATGAAAGTGTCTTGGTCATTGTGTTTTTGCATCACTGCCAATGCAGAATCGTCAAATAATTTTCACGTAATCGTTCATGACAGCTTAAACATGCAGGTAGAACACAGTGAGAAATACATGATGCACTGCGCGAACTGGGTATGTGTGCGTGTGTGTATGCTGAACTTCGTTCGCACGATAAGTAGCCAACCGTGCTCATTGGAGGTGCGTGCGAAGGACAACAAACTAAACTCTAAAGCAAGTGTTGGCTGGCTTCGGGCTGCTTGGAGGAGAGTTCACTGGTGCGTTGACAGTTTGAGCAATGTGTTCTGGCATTCCCGTGTGTGTGTGTGTGCTTTTGGCAGCGCAGTGGTTTTTAAACTGCGCCACTAGAGTTGTGGCAAATTTGTGTTGTTAAATTCCAGTGGCTGAGCACATGCGTTAATAGGTGCTCTCGAACGACACTTGCCCCCTACAGGCTATAAGACTAGATGGCTGAGCTTTGTATTTTGTATAAGGATTTGTTGCTGCAGTTTAAGGTATCCACCATTCCCATTGACACCTCCTGATTCTTTCAGACATACAGTATACGCTTGCTGCTGAGTCGATCTGCATGGAATACACCAAAACCTCGCCCATCACGGTTTTCTCTTCACAGATTTCACCACTCGTGCCAAATTAACTGAGGTACAGTTCGCAGATCATGCCCTTGTGGCTCGACTATTTGCGGTTGACTTCGAGTTTTCGTACTTGAGATGTTTGGCCAATTAGCAAGTAAGTTGTATGTGAGACTATAACTAGAGCCATCCGTACAAAAGGGCGAAACGCTAAAATACCCAAACTCTAAACTATTTTTATTTTTTTGTTTAAAGCTTTCGTGACTGCATGGATTCATCTTCTTGGTTCTTTCGGTAAAGTCACGTAGAAGGAAAATAATAAAAATAAAACATAATAAAATAATCACGACGTTTCGGCCACAACACAAGCAGCCGTCTTCAGGTGAAGAAACAGAACTATTTTTCAGAAGCCACAAATGATAGCTTAACGAAGCGGCTTATGTGGAAGTGTATAGCATCCAGTTACTCGAAACGCACGTTTCTTATTGTGGAGGGGAAAACTAGAGTACCTGCAAAATAAATCCACTCGCCCACGGGCATAACATGCCAACTCTAAATATACCGCAGGCGTCAGGGTCGGGTTCGAACCCACGACCTCCTGTGTACCGGGCGAGGTAGTCAACATCTCGCCACTGTTGCGCCAAATGCTCTTGTGGGTGGCCGAGCAGCACACATTTCTGTACTACCACCTCACAGAGCTGCAGGTTGGGTGGGTCATGAATTCTGCGCTAGCCGCTAACCTTGCATTTCCCAAGCGCTGCTTTGCAGGCGTGTGCCACCGCAGCCGACCGAGCGGGGCCCCCCCCCGGTGCGCTGTAGCCACGGCCCACGCTCTAACCCGTGCGCGCGTCCCGTGTGCCCGCGCGCGTTTAACAGGACCCGCGTGTGGTGGACGCCATGATGCCGCACATGCTCGGCAACTACGGCAACCCGCACTCGCGCACGCACGCCTACGGCTGGGAGAGCGAGGCGGCCGTCGAGAAAGCACGGCAGGTTCGCCTCTTCTCCCCCCCTCCACCCCCCGCCGCCTCCGTTGTTGCGCGCTGACGCCATTGCTCGTGTGTGCTCGGTGCGATGGCGCCGTGCGATTTTTGCTAAAGGCACCCGTGAAGCGAAACTGCCCACGAGGGTTTCGTCGACCACATCCCACCCCCCCCCCCAACCCGCTTTGTCGTCATTGTTGTTGTTGTTGCTGCGTTCACCGTGCAGCAAGTTGCGACGCTGATCGGAGCCGATCCTCGCGAGGTCATATTCACCAGCGGAGCCACCGAGTCCAACAACATCGCCGTGAAGGTATGTCTGTGTGTATGTTGAGCTGCTTTTTCGCCATACATAGTCAACCGTGCTCATCGGAGATTGCAGCGGATAATTTATTTGACAATGTTAACATTTTTAAAAAAAATATCTTAATAGGTTTAGATTTTTTTTACATTGTCCTTTTTTTTTTACCTAGCCGGAAGTAAATAATGCAGTGGCCTCATCTGGGCAAGGTTCGTTGTTTGTATTTATTTTATTATCTATATGAAATCGTGAGATTTTTTTTTAATGGTAAATGTGTCAACACGAGAGAAGACTTTGGGTAATCAGAGGGCAATACCCGTATCAGCTCTGGTGTCATGAGCACAAGCCCGGGGCCGGCACATTGAGCAGGATATGATATCACATTGCACATTGTCTTGTCTAGCAAGTAGGCTTTCACGACCAATATCCATAATAGAGGTTTTTGGGTTAGATCGCGTAAATATAAATGTGTCGTTAAACCCGCCACCACCTGACACAACTAATTGTAGGCAACCGCCGCACCTTTGACCTAATTGGTCCCTATATGGCGGTCGCAAGTCGAGGCCATCATAAGTCGAAACCCTCGAATCCCATAGGGCGCAGTGTTATACATTGGCGGTTCCGTTCCTGGAAACCCGTTACGTACCGTAAAAAAAATACCAAATTGACCTACGAAAATAAATGAAAATAACCCGAAAGAAATGTTATCGTAACTTAACCCTCACAATCCATTTATCAAGTAAAAACAAACACATTTGAAAATTCTCAAGTACTTCTCTGCACGTGCATCACATTTCCTCTTTTCGGACGTAGCGAAAGGCGAACATTTAAGAGAAATGTAAGGACATTTACGAAGAAGATTAAGAGCGTTGCGAAAGAGACACCGCTGCGGTTGCTGTCGGCGCAGGTGCGGACTGCCGGGCTTTACTGTACATACGCACACGGCAGAAGAGCAAAGCAGCCTCATCTGGCCACGAGCCTGCGCATAATTTGCGCAGGCTCGTCACCAATCGACTCGGCGTCGGTCGTGGTCGTTAGGCAGTTGTAGATACGAGTTTTGGTCGTTATTGGGGGGGGGGGTCTTAATTGCTATAAGAAAGGTCGTAAAGCGGGGGGTCGAAAGTCGGGCCGCCGTAAGTCGGGGGGGGTCACCTATAGTAAGGTTTGTCACGTGAACAAAGCACGCCAATTTGTTACTAGTTGAGCACGCCGGTGTGTTGGAGGTTATACCCACAACATTTGTGGGTTTACTTGACAAACCCCTACTAATTGGCTGTGTCGGGTGGTGGCGTGTTTCACAACGCTTATATTTACGCGATCTAACCCCAAAAACCTCTGTTATGGACATTTGTCTTGTCTTTTGCCTTGCACACGCGTGCACCTACTTTGTACCTGCGTGCGCGCGTGGCAGGGAGTGGCGCGGTTCTACAAGCAGCGCAAGCGGCATGTGTTGACGACACAGACGGAGCACAAGTGTGTGCTGGACTCGTGTCGCGCACTCGAGGCCGAGGGCTTCGAGGTGACCTACCTCCCCGTGCAGAGCAACGGCCTCGTCGACATGAAGGTGCTCGCTCGGCCGGGGAGAGCAGCAGGCAGCACGTACCACGGTGGCAAGATTATTATTATTATAATAATTTACACCTAGCACGTTACACTCAAGAGGTCGCACGGCGATGCATAGAACTAAAAGCAAGTTAGTAAATAACGAACACAATTCTAAAACCTAATATAAGCACGCAGGCTTGTGATTTAACCACGGGTACGATTACCCCCCCTCCCTTGCCTGGTATGTAGGAGGTCGTGGGTTCGATCTCGACCATGACACCTGTATATTTGGAGTTTGCATATCTCTTTCTCTCCCCGTGGTCACGTGGATTTTTCTCCTGCTCCTCCGGTTTTTCCCTACACATTTAGAAGCATGCTTTTAGAGTATTTGGCTGCAATACATTTCCACGTGATAAGCCACTTCATTGAGCTTATGGTTTGTGGCCAGGTCACTTCTCAAAAACAGCTATATAGCTCAGTGGGTCTTACCTGGTAAAATAAAAAGTTTAGTTTTAGTTCGTGCATTAGCATCAGCAGCAGCACCTGCAGCAGTAACAATAGAAGTAGTAGCAACAGTAGCTGTATTGTGGTCACGATTATCATTGTAAGCAGTAACAGCAGCAGAAACAATAACATCAGCATCATCATCAGCAGTAGTAGTTGCATAAATAATATTGTCAGCAGCAATGGCAACAGGAGCATATTATTATCACCACCATATATAAACAAGTTGGTTGGTGCATGTTGGTGAAGGGGGGATTTCCAGGAATGGTTCAAATATCACTGTCCAAGAATGCTAGACATGGACGGGAATCGAAGTAGGTTTTCCGGGTTCAAAATGCAGTACACAAGCCAATGGGCATACTTTAATGATGTGTATTTGGTTAAATTCACGTACGTGTGTAATTGTGAACCATAGTGTCACAATGACTTTTGTGAGCCGTGTAGTAAGGACATGATGACCATGATTTGTACCCACAACCCAAAAACATCCTCCGAGCTAAACTGGTCAAATGCTGCCTTTAATATTTGATCCCTCGATAACATCACAGGGCTTGAGTACACACATGCAACATTGCAAAACAGTTTTTTTTGTTTTTTAAATACTCCCACAACCAAATCCATGCTATGGGCAGTTTGGGTTTCCCTGTAACAGCAAACAACGAACATTTCTCCTTTTGCTAAGATGTGTAAATGATTCCCAATTGTGTTTTCTTTCGTGGCTCAAATTGACATCACTGATTGCTGAAGACCACGTGGTGCCATTCACGAGTGTAGTTTGCCATGTGCCAGCAGTTTTAAAACACTCATCCCAAATTTGAGTGTAAATCAATGTTTAACGGAATTTGTAAAACAAAAAAAAAAATAACAAATTGGGTCTCGCTGCTCAATCGGAGCACCGCCCAGGTTGGTGCTTGTCCCTGTGGCCTTAAGCCAGAAGAAACAGAAAAATAAATCACCATTCACATGGTAGGGGGCAGTCTGTCCATAGCACAGTCCCACTGTCGACTTTCCACAGAGTGTTGCTCCTTTCGTCAAGCCCAAAGGGGGGTAAGAGGCTGTGTCGACCACCCCGTTTGCGAGTTGATGGCAAACTCGCCATATTCTGATTGAGTTTAGCGCTGGGGGACACCGCCGTCTTCAGGCTAATTAAGCATTGCCCAGGGTTACATGAGCTGCTCAAGATTAAGTGAGGCTCATCGCACTGCTGACCTTTACGTGACGTTTGCTGCACTGCCGATTCTTCAGCGAATCTCGTTAAAACTGACCGCCAAGCAAGATCTTCTTTAAAGCTCACCACAGAGCAGTCGACAAGACTTAATGAGCCTGCCGATGGCCGAACAAGGCTTGAAGCCCTGCCGATGGTTATGCGCCCTGTGTGTGTCGGCCCGTGACAGGAACTGGAGGCGGCGCTGCGCCCGGACACGTGCCTGGTGTCTGTGATGGCCGTGAACAACGAGATCGGTGTGAAGCAACCTATCAGGGAAATTGGTGAGTGTTTGTTACACAGCGCCGCAGTCCACGCGGGACACAGGACACAGGCCACGCACACTGCACACCGCACACGGCACACAACACGCCACTGTCTGCATAACACACAGTGTACACTACACACCCTGCACGGTACACAACACGCCACAGTCTGCATAACACACAGTGTACACTACACACCCCGCACGGTACACACGCAAACTACACACAATGCACATTATAAACAGTATGTACACACACACACACCACGAACAACACACGCCCCACGCTCTATGCATACCACACATCACGCAGCACATGCCACACATTGCGTACCACACACCCCACACTTCACACATACCATGCACAAGGTATTGTCTTACGCTAGGGCTGCATAAACTGTGGCCTAATCGAGCCTGCCACACGGTACACAACGCGCCACCGTGGCTTTCAAATAAAAATAATAATCCTTGATATTTGCCACGAATGCGAAATGATTAAACGGACCATCTGGATCAGCATGCAGGCTTGTGGGTGTCGAGTTGGTTGGGCTTGGAGTGAGGACTGCAGTGGATGGATGTATCTCGCCTCATCGAAGTGCTGTATACGTGTTTTTATTTGTGCATCTTTCTCTCGTCCGTCCCTCATGTCTCTTCTCATTTAATAGTTATCCTACATCTGCTATCTCTCCTATCGCTACATATTTCGATCATATTTCACTGTCTGAAATACATCTGTTATACTATCTCTCCTAAAGACATCTCTAGCCCGCCTTTTTATATTATAAAAAAAGTGTTTTGCGTCCAGGGGCCCTTGGCAAAAAAATATAATTCATTGGATGAAAACATCTTAAAATAAAAATGCAATGCAGGATCCCTCCTGGAAAAGAGTCCTATGATGCAGTATGGCTTTCCTGGATATAGATATATATACATATATTATCATAGCATGTTAAGCAATGTTCTTCACTCATGTTCTGAGGGGGGCCACTTTCGCGTATTGGACGATATCAGTATGTGGGCCGCCACACCGCCTGCAAGGGGTGTTGTCACGTGTTGTTGTGTATTATCGGGGGGGCCGCACTAAAGGCCACCAGGGGGCCGCCAGTGGCCCACGGGCCTTGCAGTGAAGCACACCGTGGAAGATGAACAGCTGAATTCATTGTGTTAAATAAGGGGAATCTGAGAATTTCAACTCCTGTTGCTATGCGTGGGTTTTTTTCCCCCGTGGAATCTGGTTTGTCTCATTGGCAAAAATTACACAGGAAGGAGTTAACTAAAACATCCGAAGCATGGCCCTTCCAAAAAATAATCTTGAGACTGAGACACTTACCATGACTCTGTTGTTATTACAAAACTGTGCAGGCATGCACCTACATCACTATGCAGTTACATAACTTTCGAGTTATGTTACAGATAAGCAAGGTTTGGTGTCTTCTAGAAATACTGATGCGTGCTGTAGGAATGTAGTATTTCGACTCCTTGCTGTTGTTTGCCAGCCCAATAATCAATTGAGCTTGTATATTCTTTGAGTTTTATTTATAATTAGTCCCTTTTAATTTCCTAGGAAAGCCGGAATGAGTCCAAATACTCCTTTCTCAGGAGGGCTCTGCATTAACATGATGGGCCAATTCCATGTAATGAGTGTTTGTCATGTGGGAGAAGCCTGAGAAAACCCGCGCATACGAAAGGGGCAACACTCAAAACTGCACACGGATTCAAGAACCCGTTTGCTGTGCTTCCATCTACTGCCCACCATGCAGCCCAATCCTACAACACCTGGTATTCCTAGGCAATCTTACACTCAAGTACTAGCTTCGGTCTGTGCTCCTTTAGAGTGCTGTCACAATATAATTTTCCTATAACTTTGTAATTATATTTCACGCTTCTGCTGGTTTGTGTTTTGCCGTATTTCTAGTGCACATTAAGATTACTTATGAGCTTCCTCAACTGCTGTTCAGTCAACATTAGCCTGCCACGAGTCATTATAATCATTCAGTCTATAATGGTGATAATGCACACGTTTGTCAGTTCCACAACATTATTCAATCATCCATTGAACACTTTGCTATCATTTATAGTAAGTAGGAAAAAAAATGAACGATGAAAGTCACGATATGATACTTTACACGTGGTTGCTATGGTTTTTCTGGATCGTATATTGTACGATATATTGTCGTATCGCCATATCGCGAAAACCCTGATACATTCTGCATGCAGGAAGTTTACGAAATCGTAGGCCAGTTACCATCTGCGCTGTTGCTAGCCACTGTAAAGTCACCATACGGACAGTGGATTGTTACAACCCGTGTGAGTTATCGGTCTTTGCCGTGGCGGTGCGCTGCTGACCAACTCGTTGCCCCGTTCCTGGCATTTCCCCCCCACCGCCGCCGCCGCCACCACCCCACAGGAGAGCTGTGTCGCCAGCACAAGGTGTTCTTCCACACGGACGCAGCACAGGCCATCGGCAAGATCCCCATCGACGTCAACGACATGAAGATCGATCTCATGTCCATCAGCGGACACAAGATCTACGGTCCCAAAGGTCGCGATTGCACGCGAATGCACCGCTCTTCAGTGTGCCTGGGGTTCAGAGGGGTGAAGGTGCATTTGTCAGCCGGTGCACTCTGTCTGTTATTATTATTATGATTCATGTCAAAGGTGGTGGGAACTGCGTGTTTGCCTGTGGCTCAATTGTATCATGGGAAGCGGTAGTTCACCGGTTAGCGCTACGCCGCGCCTAGAACCCGGCGACCCGAGTTTTATTCCCGCTCACGGCCAACAGCAGTGACGATGATCTGAACCAATCCTGGCCTTCCCCCAAAGGTCGACTCGACCTGAAACAAAGTACCCAGTGCGGTGTGTAAACATCGCAGACGGGCTTGGTGCTGGCACACCACACAACCCGCTTGTGTGTCGTGCCGGCCTTTCATAGGTGCCACTGATCCAAAAATACGAAGAAGAAAACGCAGCAATACACTCCGCTGCTCCTGACGCGGATGTCTGGCTGGACCGCCTGAAAGTGAAATTGTAGTCGTTGCTCTGCATTTACATGAGCAATACGAAAGAAGAAGAAGATAGGTGCCACTCGCTAACAGGCTCAGAATATTTATTTATAACGGAGAAAAATTCGATGAGCTACGAAGCTCTTTTTCACGGATGTCCAGTCGTTGGGGCGGGTCGGAACGTTGCAACAGCATAGCAACATGAACACACGATGAAACGTTGTTTTTTTGTTGTGTGTTGTTAACGGCACTCGCCCTACGAGTTTGTCGAGGCCACACGGCCGGGGATCTTTGTCTCCCGTGTGTGCGCGCAGGCGTTGGGGCCATCTATGTGCGGCGGCGCCCGCGTGTACGCGTCGAGTCGCTGCAGAGCGGTGGGGGCCAGGAGCGGGGGCTGCGCTCGGGCACCGTGCCCACGCCACTCGTCGTGGGGCTCGGGGCGGCGTGCGACGTCGCGCTGTACGAGATGGAGGTGAGCGACGCAGCCCCCCTGCTCCCCCCCCCCCTCCCCCGACCATACTCCCCAATCCTTCGCCATTTCTCTACGGCGTTGGTGTTATGTACGCACGCACGCACGTCGAACGTCTTTCGCACCGTACGGAGCCAACCTTGCGAATCGGAGGTGCAGGGGAAGGACTACAAACTAACAAAACAAAAACAGTTCTAAAGAAATAAGTTTTAAATCTAGATGATTTTAAAGGGCATAGCTCCAGTGGATTCTTAATTTCGGAAGGAAGAGCGTTTCAGACGGCCGCAGAAGCGCATCCGAAAGCGCACGATGCAGTGTTCGAGGGTTAGCCAAAAACCCGCTGCGAGAATGACCAGAGTTTGCATGATAGTTTATGCTCCTTGGTGAGAGATCGGGATACTCAGCAGCAAACCGTAGGCGGTACAGAAAATAGGCTGTCGACTGGTCCGTGCGGCAGAGATTGATTAGTGTTGTGGTGCGAGTTGAACATTTGGTTGGCTATCAGCTGAGCGTATCATCTCCCTCCTAGTGTCAACAAAATGAGTACCACCTTTGTCAGAAGTCATCGGCAAGTGTCTTATGCAGTACATAGTCTGGCCTTCATCATGCGAATGTGGATATTCCAAGGTTGGTTCTGAGCTTCCATTGGAGTAGTAAGCGCGACCCTATTCTCATTACAGCGCAGATATTTGATTGGCTTTATCTTGCCTTTGCGAACAGTTTATCTGAGTGCTCACAGGTCATTGGATTAATATTTAATTTCAGCGATTAAAAGTGTCCCTTGACCTATTTTACTTGCCTCTTGAAATCGACTCTTGTGACCGTGAGGTTTTCTGGCTAAATTAAAAAAACTAATATTTTTATGATTGGTGTCCCTAGCCATGACGCATACCAGCAGGAAAAACTGTGATTCTGACCTGTCCTGCGCCTCCCCCAAGTCATCTTGAGCTAAAAATGTTAAACTCATTTCTTTAGAACTGCTTTTTGTGTTAAGTTTCTTGTCCTTCTCCCCGCACCTCCGATTAGCACATTTGGCTATGTACGGTGCGAACGAAGTTCAGCATACAAAGGGTTGTGATATAGTCAATATCAGTATCCAAGAAATAAAGTGCTAGCCACACCATCCGCTCATGCCATGCGTATTGGCCTTAATAGGTGCTCGCTAACAACGCTCACCCCCCAGTAGTGCGCCCGGTGTGGGAAGAGTTTGATTCGGGTCTGCTCCCTCTTCCACCGCCCTCTCCCCCCGTCAGTACGACAACAAGCGAATCGAGGCTCTGTCTCATCGGCTCGTCCAGAGGCTAATGAGTGAGCTCAAGGACGTCATCATGAACGGGGACGCTGAGCAGAGGTACCACGGTAAGCCCCAGCTACCTCAGGGCTATGGGTTTACAGGGCTTGGCACTCGGGTAGGGTCGGGGTATGCTGAAGGTTATTGTTAGAGACAGGGTTAGTGTGAGCGGTTAGTATGAGGGGTTAGTCTTAGTGTTAGGTAAGGGTTAGGACAGTATTAGAATTCGTTTTAGGGTTTGGTTAGGTTTATGGGTTTTTGTTCATGCATATGATGTCAATATGTTCGTGAGCTATATTACACAGGTTGAGGTCTGCTCGCTATAAGAGGGCTTCAGGAGTGAGTTGGTGTAGTTTTACGACTCCTTCGTTGAAGGAGCGCAGACCACAGTTTACTGTATGGTCCATCGTTTGGGTTGTATGGCCACAGTAGATTTAGGGGAAAATTGGGATGAGAATTCACGTAGGTTTGTGTTCGGGATAAGGATGGGGGTTAGTGTCACGATAGAGTTAGGTTTAACGGTGATGTATGGTCGTTAGTGATGGGGAAGGATTATGGCTTATGTTGGGTTAGTGTTTATGGTAGAATTACAGGTAGAGAGAGAGTTACTGTTAAGAGTGTTAGTGTAGGATGGAGTTTGGGTTAGGATAAGGCAAGTGTTTGTATTAGGATTGGGATTTGGATTCAGGCAAATGTTTGTATTGGAGTGGGGTTTGGATCAGGGCTGTATTAGGGTTTGGGTAAGGGTTGGTGTTTGTACATCGTTTAGCTACATTGGCAGAGGCACTCAATGCAGCATCCGTGCACGTTGACCAGTGTGTTATGGTTGCGTTAACGTATTGTCAAGGGTTCGTCTGTGTGTGAGCTATGACGTGCACACGTGCAATGCAATACAGCTATCTGGAGGCAGGGTTGGTGGATGACGTCAAGACGGAGGGACATCGTGTGTGGTGTCCCCTCTGGCAAACCGCAATGAAGGGTTCTTTTTAGGAAACAGTACAGAAAGTAGGTTTCTAACAGAGGTGTTCTTTAGATAGCTGTGTTTAAATGTTATTCCCTGGTATACGTGGCGAGTTTTCTTAAGGCAACATATTTGCTTCTGCATGCAAACAACTAACCGGGCATGATTTCAGAATCTGAATATTTATTTATGCTGGAAGAATCCGGATGAGCTTCACAGATGTCCAGTCGGGGTGGATATGAACATTGCAACAACAAACGGCACAACAACACAGCTGTAGTGCAAAGTACAAGAAAGGAAAACATCACCCAAAAACTCGCAGATAAAACTAAACCATCCCCATGCTACCAGGGCAAAGCCCACTGAGGGTTGGTGGATGACGTCAAGACGGAGGGACATCGTGTGTGGTGTCCCCTCTGGCAAACCGCACTGAAAGTGACCTGGCCACACATGATTGCTCAACTATGTAGCCAAGCATTAAATGTTGAAGCTTCATGTACAATTAGTCTTAGGACGGAGTCAGGGTTGTCTTGGTGAAACAGATAAATAATTGTGTCATACGAGTTGATGCAGAATTATTGTGTGTGTGTGTACTCAAGCGCACGCGGCTGTTGTTTGTGTCCCATAGGTTGTATTAATCTGTCGTTTGCGTACGTGGAGGGTGAATCTCTTCTCATGGCTCTGAAGGATGTAGCTTTGTCCTCGGGAAGGTAAATGCTTTCAAATTTCTCGCACGCACGCACACACACACACACCATCAATTTCACTCATTCTCCATCTGGTTGGGTGTCGGTGTTGCAAGAGGGATCAACTCGACCATGAGAAGGTTGTTTACTCAAAACATGCTCAGTGGTCAATTTGGCCAATAATCATTCTGGGACACGATTGGCCGTAACACATTGTGGCAAGTCGACAGTGGTTGTGCCCTGCAGAGACTGGCCCTCCGCTTCGGAACTTGGAATATATGTATGTTCAACTTCGTTCGCACCATACGTAGCCAACCGTCTTAATCGGAGGTGCAGGGGAATGACAACAAACTGCTGTATATGTACACTCGTGTTTGTGTCCATGTGTAGTGAGTCCAACTGAGTCGCAGACGTTGTCTTGGGAGCAACAAAATTTATTCAGTAATTCAACATAACATAACACAACCTACACTTGGGTGATGAATGCTCATCTAGCCACGCTATGGCAGAACTAGACACGGTTTGCTATCCCGGCCCGGACCACGAGCTGGGTCCCGGACCGCGTGGCTAGAGGCTTCTTTTACCCGACGTGGATCTTCATCACCAGCAACACGAAGAACCCCGAGCCCCTCACGGGGCCCCTGTTATATCGACCTGGGCTGGGGCTGGCTCCACCCCTCGCCTCGCTCACCTTCTAGATCTCTTGAGCTCTTTCCCGAAGGCTCCCGAGAGCTCCTCTTTACCACGTGACCGCCCAGCGGCCCCCGTTCACCGGTGGCCCCCCTCCAATATCATCCGGTCATGTGTCGGCAGGTCAACCAGCGTATCATGCCCCAACGTGTAACCCTGGCTGGCTGACGCCCCCTCTCGCTCCCTCACCGGGAGCCTGCACCGCACACTGTACATGGTGCCTCCGCACTGACCAGCGCTCACCCAAGCCCCGCTAGGGCTGGTGGTACTACGCCCAGTAAGCGGGCTACACATAATGCCAACACATTATCCACCGTGGCTTCGTAAGCCCAGCACCATACAGTGACAATCACAGTCACTGCACATATACAGGGACTCCTCTACTTACGAACGAGTTAGGTTCCAGAGGTCTGTTCATAATTCGATTTGTTCATAAGTCCAACTTTGCTCCTGTCGATTCCAAACATGTTCTAAAGCATGTATACTAAACACTGAGAATGGCTTTAAAAGTTGTTTAATCTCCTGTAGATGTTAGATGCCACTGGTTCTTCACGTTCTGCGGATGTAGATGCCACCACCGCTATCTATTGTGCAGTGGTTGAACTTATGACTCTCGGTCCAAACATGCAAACTGGACATAGGGACAGGTTTGTTCGTATCTCTGAAAGTTCATAAGTCGAGGAGTCACTGTCCACTGGTGTGGGTGTGTGTTCTCCACTGGCTCAGTATTTTGTTTTAAGTGGATATAGATTCATACGATGTGAAATTTTATTTAACTGCAAGAGACTTGGGTTTTTTTAAATTATGCTCTCTAGTCCTTCATAGTCAAGTTTATGATCGAAGACTCGCCTTACGTAAACCAGCTTGGGGTGTGATGCTCATTTCCATTGTTGGTTCTGAGGCAGTGGTGGGAATTCCACATTGCTATATTCTGATATGGGGTCTTTACTGGATGAACAATGCGATGAGCTTCGAAGGATGCCACATAACCCACAAAGACTCTTCAGTTGAGATGCCGTGTACAACTGCAGCAACTTTATATTAAAAAAAGCAAAAATGACAGTTGTAAAATATCATTTTTGAGTTTTTCTTTACATTTCAGAATGTAATATTAATAAGTAAAAGGCAGTTGCAAAAAAATTACGTCGAAACTTGATTGATATGTTGTACTGATATTGCAGCGAGATTGATGTTGCTCTATCGAGTGTGGCCAATCTCACGTTGGGAAGTTGTGAAGATCGCTATTGACTTGGCACAAAACAAGCGCCGATTTAATTGAACCCAGAGAGATGGTGTACTGTGAAAAAAGCTAGACTATTTTTTTTATTTTACCAGGTAAGGCCCACTGAGCTCTACAGCTCTGTTTCAGAAGCGACCTGGCTATCACAAATGATAGCTCAGCGAAGTGGTTTATCATGTGGAAATTTATAGCGACCAAATACTCGGAAATGCACGTTGATTTTAAATATGGAGGGAAGATCCCGGAGAAAAATCCGCATCACCATGGAGAGAGAGAAAACACGCAAACTCCAAATATACAGTTGGCATCGGGGTCCGTACCGAACCCATGGCCTCCCGTATACCAGGCGAGTTAGTTAACATCTCGCCACTGCGGCACCCGTGGGGAGGGGAGGTGACCACGTGATCTCGCTGCCGTGTCGTGCTCGATGAGTGCGGTGCCACCCATTGACTCTTGACCCCCCCCCCCCGCGTGTTAATGCGGTCGACGCGTTTTTGCGCAGCGCTTGCACGTCCGCGTCGCTCGAGCCCTCCTACGTGCTGCGAGCCATCGGCACTGACGAGGACTTGGCTCACTCCTCCATCAGGTGAGCCCCCCCCCCCTCCCGTGCACAAAATGTTTGTCACAAATGAACCGCCAACACCTCGCTGATCTCGTCAAGGAACATCAACCATCACGCGAGCTCCGGTCTTCCTCGCAGCAGCGGCTTTTGCCAGCTGGCCATCGAACAAAGACGGCGGGTCGCCGCATCGCGAGCTTTCAGACGCGCTTCTGCGGCCGTCTGGAACGCTCTTCCGAAATTAGGAAACCACTGCAGCTACGCACTTTTAAATCCAGATTGAAAACTCATTGCTTTAGAACTGCTTTTTGTGTTTAGTTTGTTTTCTATACCCCGCATCTCCGATTAGCACGGTTGGCTACGTACCATGCGAAAGAAGTTCAACACGCGTACGTGTGTCATCGTGCCCAGTTCAGCCTGGGCTCAGGTCCCAGGGGCGATCAGAGTGGCTCATGCTGCACCCTGAACACTTGTGATGTCACTGGAGCAGCGCTCCTAAAATTCTCTCTGAATCCCTTGTTCCCACCAGAAAATGAAACGGATTCTCATTTATTCCAGTGACTGTCAAAAATAATCAACCGTTTGACTTATCACGTTTACGTTATTTTGAGCTTTTTAAAATTGTCCGTGGTGTTCGGTGGTGTCTTAGTTTATATTAATTTACTCTTGTAGGTTTGCGACTTAAATAAGTTGTCATTTTGCGTAGTTTTGATTGCACTACTTAACATCAAAGGTGCCGTCCTACTTCCACACCCGCCCACACCGAGGCACCCCACACTCGCCCCTCTATCTACGCCTTCTTCGTCCTCTCCTTCAGCATTGCCCGAATCGTCTCACGCTTGACTTGAAAGAAATAATTTGAATCCTTCTCGAAACATTCTCTTGTGCAGTGGCTTTCAATGGTCTCCGAGCATGCAACAAATGGCTCCGCGAAAGGGCCCGTCGTGGTATAAGTGCGGTGTTGTGCCAGCCAAGACGGATTGTTCGTTGAGCACACGGCCGAGGGAGTCTCACAGACGCGCAGTGCCGTGGTGCGTGCTCCTGCCGTTGGAATGCCATCGTCTCCCCACCATTCTCTGATCGTGCGACAGGTTCGGCATCGGGCGATTCACCACGAAGGAGGAAGTGGACTATACGGTGGAGAAGTGCATTCATCACGTTCACCGTCTGCGCGAGATGAGGTGAGCACCGCTCTGTGCACACACACACACACACACGGCCCTTTGTGTTTGTGTGAGCGAGCGGAGTGGTGGCACGGCGGTTCTCGCACTGCACTACAAGTCCCAACCAAGTCCCAACCAAGTCCCAACAAAGTCCCGACCGTGCACCTCATCAGTGGAAAGTGGTTTCTGAACATGTCCCAGGCCTCTCTTAGGGGTGTCTCGACATTAAACGAGTGCCTGGTACAGACGGGAGACAGGTGTCGTGGGAGTAATGTGAGCAGCACCACTGTCATGCTGGCCTTAGTAGGTGCTCACCGTTCATCGAGCACCTCCGATTAGCACAGTTGGCTCTGTACGGTGCAAAGTTGAACATACATAACGGCACTTCCTGCTGCAATCTGCAAGTCTAAAATGCGGGTGTTTGTGCGGTAGGGGCGAGTGCTGCTAACACGTACTTGTTGGGACCAGCATGCCAGGCACGGGAGTAGTGTTGCTTGCACCACGCACACTCCACCTTTCTATCCCCCGTCGCTAATGTTTACACGCAGCACCAAATACTCATTTGAGGCTGTCAATGCAGAGGGGGCCCAGGACAGATTTGTATACCGCTTGTGCAGTGACCTCACGTCGCCAAGATTGTAGCACAGTTTAACACGTAGGCTTTTGCCACCAATATTATCCATAATCTGGCCGTCGCCTGATGAGGCTGGTTGTAATTACCGGTGAAACGACGTTACTCTTAATTGTGAATGTTGTGGGTTCGCTGTCCAATACACCGGTGTGCTGGCCTAGTAACGAACGAGCTGTGTCGGGTGGTGGCGGGTTTAACGACACATTCTAGCACAGTGTCTTGCAGGGCTTGCGGTCTAAATGTTAAGCGATTCATTTTAACCTTGCGATAAAAGCATGGCCCTACTCTGCCGGGTGTAACGTACAAATGCAGATATGCGGGTACGATCCATCGGTGTATGAACTGGTACGTGTGGTCTGTTGTTCCCAGCCCCCTGTGGGAGATGGTGCAAGACGGCATCGACCTCAAGAGCATCCAGTGGACCCAGCACTGAGTGCATGTCCCCTGGTCACCCCCGCTGGTCACCCCCTCCGCATTCCCTGAGTGACACCCATTGGGGGGGGGGGACATCATCAGTGCCGTGGTTACGGGAGACGCGCACCCGTGGATATGCCGCAGGGTTTTCGTCCTGCGCTTGGTGTGGGAAGTTCACGACCGACTTACCCCACGTTGCTCTGCTGTGCGGATGAGTCAAAGTCTAGGTGTGTCTCCACTCCATAGGGTGGACCTCGTTCCATTGTTAACAGCTATGCGATAGTTATAGGGATTTAAAAAAAAAATTCCCTGAGTGGGGGCCCAGTCTATGCATAGGATAGCCACTGTTGATTTATAACAGTGTCACTAATTGTTTTGGACTCTAGTGAGATGATGGGCCAAGTCAAACCCAGTCTGTTAAGTTGACTGTTCTCTACAATGCAACCCCCCTCTGAATATAATCCATATATATACGTTTAGCTGTGATATTCGGCTGCAGAAAACACTGGTTTTCTGTAAAATTTAAAAGTTAGTCACCCAACCAGCTTCGTTGCATGCTTGGCCTTTAAACCCTTAGTATTGGTTGTGCCAGGGACTGGTCACAACCACTGTGCATCTCAATTATCATCATGGCTTTGATATGCGGCATGTTGCTTCTCGATAGACTGAAGTTGAATTTTGTCAAAGAATGAAAGGGGAAGCCAAGTCAAAAAAAAAAATACTCTTTGCAGGAGTGAGCCTTTGAAGGCTTAGAGTCGGACATTTTCCCATGAGATAGGATTGCCTTGTGCTGTACAGAGAGAGAGCTGTATGCTACTCACTGCGCACAGACAATAGTCAACTTCGCCAATACGACAAAGGACTTCTTCGTAAGGCTCCCTGGTAAGGTGCGCCACTTACCGGATTGCTTGGGTTTTGCTGAAAACTGCACCATGTAACCCGAGTTGAATGAACGAAATTTTCGTCACTGCTAAACTCGCTTTCGCCACTTGCGCACATGTAAGCATTACATTTACGGAGCACACTGTTCATTGGTGCAAACGTAAAAAATGGAAAATGGGGATTAGTGGGGGTGGGAATCAGTGGTGCCTCCATGTTTGTTTAAGTGAGACAACAATACCCAACAAATGCACTGGGATGTGTTATGAAGTGATGGATTAGGTGTTGAGGAGAGATTGGTGGTCAATCACTGCACTAAGCCAGGCTGGAGCTGGGTTTAGGGGAGCGGGTGATTGAATGTATGTACATACGTATGTTGAACTTCTTTCACATCGTACGTAGCCAGCCGTGCTAATCTGGCGAAGGACTAAACTAAACACAAAAGGCAGTTCTAAATAAGCGAGTTTTCAATTGAAGATGTGATACGGGAACGGTGCCCTTGATGGCGGGAGACTTCGTTCCACTGCAGTGCAGACATCACCACATCGCTTGTGGCGCCTCCATTTGGTACGCGCAATTCCAAACCTGTAACAGGGCCTTGCAAAAACATCGGCAATTGGTTCTCGGTCATATAAAAGATACTCGTGTTCTGTTTGGCATCATCGCTTGTTTTACCGTCGTGGATGAAGTAAATAACTTAAAATCTCCCTGATTAAACAAGCATCTAGTGCCGTTGAACCAGTGATGTACATTCCTCTTGGGGTAGTTCTGTCCAAAAAACAACTTCTTACGGCTTCTCACAATGTATTGACCCTGGACTGCAGGGACGATGGTGATGTAAGTTAAGTCCTACATGGACTATCAACTTTAATAACCATGATCTGCAGGGATGATGGTGATATAAGTAAAGTCCTACATGGACTATCAACTTGCATCCTTTCCGTTTGCGAGATGCGTGCCGTGCCAACAGCGTCATTCATCCAAATTGGCCACCAAAGAGCAATTGGTTATTTTATAACAATGCATCTTAAAACAACTCGGCACTCCCCATCAGACCACCTTTCCACGTTTGGCAATGTTTTTCCGTAAAAATTCACGAGCACGTCGATAACAACGTCCTTTTCACTCGCAGAGCTACGCGAGAAGTGCCGGACAGACTTCACGGAAGCCACCGGTGCATTACTTTATGCATTGACGTCTGGGTTTGGAAAGCAGTGCAGCCACGGCTGCCGGCCTCGTGTAAAATAAACGGATCACAATATTTATCCTGGAGAAATCTATGAGCTATGAAGCTTAATTGTCACAGATGGTCAGTCGGGGTGGAGTGTACGACTTTGCCTCTCAACTTGGTGCTGGTGGTACAGCTGTCTGCAGGGAATCTCATTATTTGGCCATCGTTGCGCTGCTGTTACAGGAATGTATTTGTCGTTTGCTCGTACTTTGTGAATTTTGATTCTTTAGCGAAATGTCAATGTATTGACGTTTTTTTTGTGAATAAAAACAACAGCTTGTAGTCGCTGTGCATGAAGGTGTATTAAAACATTTTGTACAAATACAAAGTGAAACCAACCGACGCTAAACAAAACTAATCACAAAAATGTGCAGACAAGCGACAGGAAAGCATATCAAAGGGTATTTAAAACGACACCTTTAACATTTTACAACTTCATATTCTTGGTTATTTCGGTAAAGTCACGTAGAAGGGAAAAAAATATATAAAACAAAAATTATCACGTTTCGACTGCAACACAAGCAATCATCAGGTGTGAAAACTACAGCAAGAAAATTTGGAAAAAAAAGCTTTAAATCAAAATTTTACAACTTGTTAATCAACACGCAGCGTTGCCTGATGGGCAAGGTCCATTGTTCATATGTAGAGCGATCTTCCCCTTACCCCCCTCCCCCCAATATATCCCCACGACTGTTGGTGTCTTGTCATGAGATGAGACATTTCCATTTGGAACTTGCAGTGAGGAGTGTGACGTGAGCTCATACCCAGAACATGACTTTACACGACTGCCTGTCAAGAAGTTCATGCAATTCAGTCTACACTTGGCGGTGCATCTTTCATGATGCTCTGCAAAGTGTTTCATGAGCAACTGGTCTGAAATTTGAGTCTTCCGAGCTTGAATAAGCTGAAATAAGTAAAGAACAAAATATATGCATATGGAGGTTTTTTTGCTCATTGTTGCCTGGGCTAACACGGTGGTGAGATGTTAACTCCCTCGCCTGATATGCAGGCCGTGGGTTCAATCCCCGACGCCTTTATATTTGGTGTTTGCATGTTCTCCCCGTGGTTGTATGAATTGTTATCCATGTCCTCTGGTTTTTCCCTCCACAGTTAGAAACACGCATTTATATTTGCGTGCCATAAATATCCACACGATAAACCACTAAGTTGAGCCATCATTTGTGGCCAGGTCGCTTCTAAAAAAAGAGCTACATAGCTCAGTGGGACTTACCTGGTCAAATACTTTTTTTAGCTTAGTTTTAACACCAACTTGCTACACATCCGAAGGAAGTTTATAATCGTGGATGAGTGAAAGCCCCAATTTGAACCCTGGGTTTCTACAGTGCTGGCTCAGTGCTCAGTCGCTGCGCACGCTAAGCCACCCAGCCACCTCGTGAGGATTCTCAATCTTCGGTATGATCTCTGAAAAGAAAATATTAACTTGAATGTCATTACACACCCAACAACCTAAGTAATCATTTGTTCATCACTTGCCATACTTAAAACTCCACCGTGGAATTTCCCATCGTGAATCTGCTGACTTGAGTTATCTCCAATTCTGTTGGCTCCAAATCGTCTTGACACGAGCGACACGTTAACTCCGATGTTTCTGGCATTCTGCACTTAGAAAGATGGTATTTACTCAGGAAGGTTTTAGACAAGGACAGAAAACGTCACCGAAGTCCAGTTTACCCAGGATATTGTCAGTGTGCCCTGTTTCAGTCAGCAACGGAGCGCTGCTCATTTGTGAAGGTGGTCCGACAATCGTGTAAATTTAATATTTGCATGGCCAGGGCCAGTCTAGAGGACAATCACTTTTATTTAACAACAAAGTAGTAAAAACTAGATTCGAAGCTTTCGTGACTGCAGGAATTACTCTTTGGTTCTTTCATGGAGAAAGAAATTAAATTTAATAATAGAATACGACGTTTCGATTGCAACACAAGCAATCATCATCAGGTACAAATGAATGAAAAAACAGTAAACTTGAAAATATAATGCAATACAACAACAGTCGGCCAACAAAACAGTCAACATCCCACCTGGTTACGTTCCTCCAAAGATTGCTAAATTTGAGAGAGAGACAACAGACACGGAGACACAGACAGACACAAAGCAGAGAGAGACACACATAGGCACACAGAAAGACGCCTGTGTCGAGGCCTTAAATAGAGAGTGGGTGGGGCAGAGGGCGGGTTGTGTGGAATTCCTGCCCATAGGGGACGGACAAGCTGGACACTGGACATCTAAACAAACAAGCATGGAGCGTTGCACTATAGAAAGCAAATTTAGTAAAAATTAGGAAGTGAAATGCAACGCAACACAGAGAGTCGGTTAGCACACAGTTAACGCATAGCCTGGTTGATTACGTTCTTCCAAAGATTGCTAAATTAGAACTTAAGTGTGAAACAAGCACGGCAAAACCCTCCCCGTAGAGGTGGTTCAAACTAGATTCAAAGCTTTCGTGACTGCAGAAATTACTCTTTGGTTCTTTCGGTAAAGTCACGTAGAAATAAATTTAATAATAATAGAATACGACGTTTCGATTGCAACACAAGCAACCATCATCAGGTACAAATGAATCAAAAAGCAAACATAGTAAACTTGGAAATATAATGCAATACAACAGTCGGCCAACAAAACAGTCAACACCTCACCTAGTCGATTACGTTCTTACAGCCAACATGTTACCTATAAACATCTCTTATTGCCCCAAGGGGAATGTTGGAGTGGCCGTGTAGCTGCCCCACACCTCGACCCCTCCTGACCCTGCCCACCACTGCTGCCACCCGTCACTCCCACCCCTTCCCCAACCCCCACGCAAACCAACCCAACCCTGTGTCTGGAGGAAGGGGTGGAGCCTAAAGGAGAATGGGGAATGGGTGGAGCCGAAAACGGAAAGGCAAGGAGCCGAAGAGAAAATAATTTGAGCCTAATCAGGAAGGAGTGGGGCCTACGGAGGACTTCCATGTTCATTAAAGGTCAGCAGATTATAAAATTCCAGCAGCAGGCAGCTTACCTTTAGTGCCGCGGATGCAGCAACAGGACTAGTTTTGTTATTACCACGAATAGTTTATTTTCGAGATTAGGAAGCTACTGGAGCTATGCACGTTTAAATGAAGATTGAAAACTAAATTCTTTGGAACTGTTGTGTTTAGATTGTTGTCCTTCCCCGCACCTCCGATTAGCAAGGTTGGCTACGTACGGTGTGAAAGAAGTTCAACATACATTTGTATATTCAGCAGAGCATAAGTGGCTCTTCAGACCCTTAAGTTATGACGTGCTTACCAAATGACAAATTTATCTGAGTTTTCAGAGGTTTTCTAAATACACATCACCAATTTTACTATAAAGTCCGTGTAAGGATGCACATATTACACTTGTCAAGTGAAGAGTTTCCCCAAATTGAACATTGCAAGAAACGTTCATACATTTGTCAACATTGGACCACAACAAAACGATCACACAGCGGACAACGACGTCAAAACTATTAACATCCAATCACAGCCGATAGCACTTGGCCAATATTTAGAGAAATTGTCGTGCAGCTGTGGTGGAAATCGATCCACAGATGTCGTACAAGTCAACTCCACGGCAAATCCACCGACTAGCAGCAGCCTACACCGTGTGGTGAGGTCAGTATTGTCTAACAGAAAGGGGTAATCGCAGCGTCTCCAAGGATGGACGGGCCATGAGTAATTGGCATCTGGTGAGAATCCAGTAAACTAATGGCATCCACAAACAGTGGCAGAGGATTGGCTACACTTGGTGCTCCACCAGTCACAATCATCACACAAAGACATGGGCTCTCATTAGTATCTCTCATGCTGGCTCGGACACTACCTGCATTAACACGGTCAGTGCAGTCCAGCCAGGTATCATGGTGGCTGTAAAAAGTGGGCTATTTGTGTTTGGTGACAGTAAGATTCCTCAAACAATTCAGATTTCCAAATGGAGAGATACTCTCACAGTCGACATCCAACCACCTCGAGTATTGGTGGGGACTGTGCAACTGCTGAGGAATCTGGGTTTCATGACAGATTTCTTCAACATTGAATATTTCTGAATGGTAAAATATTCCTAAGATTAACCTGGGAGATTGGGTATTGATTGTGGAATCTATAAGAAATAAGTATTTTTTGTAACTTTTTTTTTTAAACACGCTTTTATGAAATGTACCGTACTAGTAATGGAAGAACTCCACTATTCCAGGAAGTGGCCCCGAGGTTTGCCATAACGTAAGGGGACCGTGGTGATTTACAGCCAACGTCAGTTGAGCGTGGACAATTAGACCCAAGCCGAAACATAACATATAAAAAAGAATGTTAAAAAAATATAAGTTTTTTATTTTTTAATGATAGAATATAGTAGTGTCATCAGTATGACATAAGTATGCTACGTTTGCAGTCGATACCACATTGGGAAGTGGGCTAAAATTGAGTTACGAGATTTGAGGATACAACAGACAGAATGAGTTAATAAAAAGCGTATAAAAAGGAAACAACTAAAAAATGTGTTGGCATCACCACATTGCTTACAGCGGTCGAGTCAACTACAACGATTTGCCGTAGACGGTGTAAAATTCACCTTAGTTAACAAACATAAACACCTGCTTTAAGAGCGGTGTTCTCGGTCACGTAGTTGAGCGTTTCTGTTGTTGGAAACGCCCAGACTTGGTTGTTGGCTTTCACACCGTGGCACAGAGTTGGGGAGAGGAGGCTCCAGGTTCTCATCGTCCGCTAAATCAGGAAGCGCTCGTCCACCAGGGTCTTCTTAACGAGGTTTCTTCGTGAAAACGACTCGCGAATTGACCGGAAGAGCTAATCCACATGGACACACACACACACACATCAAGAGTTAGATCAAAGGTCAAAGTGTCTCCTTGATAACTCGTAAGTCAGCAGCCACTTCTGTTGACTGCCCTTGAGTCAATGGTGGAAATTCCACATTCCTATGGCATGAGGTCAGTTATTCATTAGGATAAACTATATTGATTTAACACAAAGGAATACAAATTTAATTAACTGGACGAATGAGGGGTGGAATCATGCTACGGCCAAGATTGTAACTTTTAAATTATGAATTTCCTGTTATAATCATTAATACGGACGCTTAAACGAGCTACTAGAATACGGCGTAAGGAGGCCCTCACAAAAGGTACATTTGATTCACGATTGGCTGCTCACCACTGTTTTGTTCACTGGATTTGAATGAGCTCTCCACTGTAATTGACTGTCCCCCTGCTGGTGCAGTGGTCACACGTTCCACACCTTGCTGCTCTTACTGCCCACGGCAGACAGGAATGTGTGCTGTTGGCTGCAAAAGCAGACGTCGTGCATCCCAATGTCCCCAGACTAATATCTGAAGAGGCCGCATCCCCGAGTTTTGCCGCACCTTCTGAACGACGAAGGTGATGATGGTGGCGAGAGTGAAGTCCTGCGTGCCCATGTCGATGATGCAGAAGAGCAGCATGTCGAGCAGCAGCAAGGTGGCCTCGTGGCCGTAGTAGAGGACATTGCTGAACGAGTGGGACTCATCTATACGGCACAGAGCAAGCGGGGACGTTTGACACCGCACAGGGGCAGCAGACACCACACAGGTGACACCACACAGGGGCAGCAGACACCACACAGGGGCTACAGACACCACACAGGTGACACCACACAGGTGACACCACACAGGTGACACCACACAGGTGACACCACACAGGGGCTACAGACACCACACAGGTGACACCACACAGGGGCTACAGACACCACACTGGTGACACCACACAGGTGACACCACACAGGTGACACCACACTGGTGACACCACACAGGGGCTACAGACACCACACAGGTGACACCACACAGGTGACACCACACAGGTGACAAGACACTGGGGCTACAGACACCACTATAAGACACCACACATGGCCTATAGACACCACACAGGTGACACCACACAGGGGCAGCAGACACCACACAGGTGACACCACACAGGTGACACCACACAGGTGACACCACACAGGTGACAAGACACTGGGGCTACAGACACCACTATAAGACACCACACATGGCCTATAGACACCACACAGGTGACACCACACAGGGGCAGCAGACACCACACAGGTGACACCACACAGGTGACACCGCACAGGTGACACCGCACAGGGGCTACAGACACCACACAGGGGCTACAGACACCACACAGGGGCTACAGACACCACTATAAGACACCACACATGGCCTATAGACACCACTATTGGCACCGCACAGGAGATACAGACAACGCTATAGATACCATAAGGGCTATAAACACCACAAAGGAGATATAGACATCACACAGGGGCTATAGGCACCACTATAGGGCACCACACATGGCCTATAGACACCTCTACTGACACCACACGCGGGATATAGACACCACTATGGACATCTCACAGGAGCTGTTCAAGTCAAGGCTTGAGACTTTGTCTTCTCATCCGCTAATGACTGCCTGTCTCCTTTCCCTCCATGAAGCGTACAAATATTAATAATCCTTTCCCCAGGATGCCCATGCAAAGCACCTCGTGACAAATTGTTGTAAACAGCTGCCGTACGAGGTCGATGCCATGATGGTTATTTTTACTGCAACAGCCGAGCGCGCAACTGTCGGGTAACCGGGGGGACGTGCCGTTATACAGGAAGCTCTTGTCGAAGGTCTCCTGGAACTCGATGCCCGTGAGGCGCTCCAGCAGAAGCTTGTCTCGGATCATGTAGTCCACCTCCTTGTGCGCCTGCAAACGGTAGCGCACGCGCAGAGTCACTCGGCGGCGCCGGGAGAGGCCGACGGCGGGGTCCGACCTCCCTGTGTACGCACCCACGGCTACACCGGGCAGCCAGTGTGTGGACTACGGTTGCAACCTGTCCTGTTTTCCCCAGGGTCGTCCTCTTATCGTTGACGCTGCTGTTCTGGAAAATCTTTAAATCTTCCCTGGGCATTGAATAGGCCGGCTTTTGTCAGTTGTGTGATAATGCACCACTTAAGGCGTGGTTCTCCCCTCTTCTTCCACTGTTGAGATATTCTTCTTCCCATAGCATGTCCTGCTTTGTTATACCTCAGGAGGTGGTCAACCAGAGTGTAAACTCACGGCTCCGGTTTGAGGAGCCAACAAAGTCTGTCTGCAGTTTTCCCGTCTCGTGTAGATGAACTGAGTAACAGGGTTGTAATGACAGTGGCTTCCTCGGTACTTTATTCCACCAGACTGCCACATGCAGGCCATGCAGCTTCCCACTTGTCTGCTTGGTGTCCAGCAGCGGTGCATTATCCTCACAAGTTGCCCTTCGCATCCCCATGGCCAATTAATCTAACTGCACACATTTGTTGAGACTGGAGAACGCTGAGTTATCATCTCAAGTCAAAATAAAAGCACGGTTACTTTCTGTCACTCGAGAAAGAAAACAAGACGCAGACTGCCCTTTTCCAGGATATATAACTTAGAGCGAGGGAGCCTTTCCCCCAGAAATTTATGAAAGACTAACGGAGGAACTTGCTGAGAGTGAGACTTGAGGCTCAGTGTGACCTTTCTGGGTAAATGCGTACGTGGTCAACGAAGGAACACAGGAATCTGTTCATGGTCTGGTAGGCTCGCATGCTCTGCTCCATGGGACCTCCTTGGGGCCCGGCCATTCGTGGCGGAGCTGCCATCTGTACCACACACACACACAGACAGCTATTTAGTCTAGAGGGCAGTGGGGGCAAGTGCTGTTAGCGTTCACTTATTACAGGTAGTACTGCACACGGTGTATCTAGCACTGTCCAGGGCCATCTTTATTTCCACATTGCTGATTCTCATACAGAGTGTCAGGTACTCAGTTAATGCTAAGTCAACCTAGGGGTGGTCCAGGGTAGGGTCAGATGTTACTTGCTACACTGGCTGGGAATTGGCTTGACTGCTCCCAACACACAAAGACAATATCCCCCATATGACCAGTAACAGACTTTTGGGGTAAGTGCTGTTAGCGAGTACTTATGATGGCCATCATGGCAAATATGAGTGGCTAACACCATGCCCGGCAGCCTTTGTCTCCCAAATGCTGATGTTAGCACACTGCACCAGAGGTGCTAATTTAATCTAGGGGAAGTCCAGGACTAGTTCAGATATTCCCCACTAATGTTGGCCGTGAGCAGGACTCGAACTCAGGTTGCCAGGTTCGCAGAGCAGTGTGCGAACCACTACTGCTCCCTATGTACACACCCGTAGACAACTAATCACAGACAGAAGCATACAAACACACGACCTTGCATATGCACACCTGCACATTTTCAACAAAATGCACAGACTCCAACACGTCCACATACAATACAATAACCGACGTTCGCCACCGAGTGGCGGTGACTTCACCAGAAACACACGAACATACCCCAACATGTGTTTGCGTTACCACTGACAATGCAGCACTGCTTCAAGGAGACGCTTCCATTCATTTATGTAATTATGTTCACGTTAAATAAGTAAGATCTGCACGTAACAAAAAATTAAACTTCACTTTAATTCAAATTTTAAGCAATTTTAGGCTTGGGTACAAGTGAGAATGAGCAAACAAGACTGATGGTATAGAAGAAACCACCGGTACAAATGAAGTATAAAGGGTGGACAGTATATAATAGACAAGTAATTATTCACCACCCTGCAATCATCCAAATTCCTGATTCAGGGTCACAATTTCCGTCTCAGAATCAATTATTTTTTTGTCTGGTTTATTATGGTGCCTCCTTTGTATCATGTCTTCCCATTTCTGTATTATTTTCTCTCATTCGCTGCAATAACCAATGGTAACAGCAATTGCGAATAAATCTTAAGTAATGAAATCTCTTGCATACAATTTGATGCATATTTTGTGAACGTAGCATACGATTATTTATACGCCACGCACAAATCAGAATCTTAATTTATACTGGAGAAATCCGATGAGCTATGAATCTCTTTTCACAGATGTCCAGTCGAGGCGGGTCAGAAAGTTACAACAAACAATACAAAAAACGGCAAGTACAGTAAAGGTTAGCAAATCACCACAAACAAAAATCTAAATAAAGAAATACCAGTTCAAATTATATAAGTACATGCATTCCCAAGCTCTAGCAAGGCAGCAAAACAATAGCAAAAACAGTCCCAGACTACAGCAAGACAACAAATGAAGTATAAAGGGTGGACAGTATATAATAGACAATGATTCACCACCCTGCAATCATCCAAATTCCTGATTCAGCGTCACAATCGCCTTCTCAGAATCAATTATTGGACATTAAAATCGAACTATCGACACACGGGTATGGATCAAAGTTACAAATCGCATGGCACTTGCGAAACAGCACAACGTGAACCTAACGCAAAACACGAACGGTCCACGCAGCTGGCTGAACGTGACAATCTGGACATCTACAAACACAGATTTATAATTCATCGGATTCCTCCAGTATAATTACATATTCCATTTCTGAGATGGGAGCGATTTGGCGCAGCGGGGAAACCGTGGCACGTGCGGTGGGGGCGACGGGCGGGGGTGACGGTGGAAATGACGCACCATGGCCAGCGGCTGGAGGATGCGGTCGTAGTGCAGGCGAGCCGCTTGTGTGAGCGCCACCTCAAACGTCTGCAGCTCCGTGCCGGGCACGAGCCCCCGCTGGCTACACAGGTTCTCCTGCGGGATAGAGCGAACGCGTCAGGTAGCAGGGGAGTGGAGGGCAGCAGGCATTTTTTTAGTCGCGAGCGGTAGAACCGGGGCGATTCCTGTGGGAATTGTATCCCAATCCCCGTGATTCCAATGCGGGCGCGATTCGTGTAGGAATCACGATTTCCATGTTAAAATCTCCAGTTAACTGAATGGGATTCTGACAGCATTACCAAATGGATTTGAGATGGATGGAATGTATGTATGTATGTTGGACTTTCACACCGTACATAGCCAACCCTGTTCATTGGAGGTATGGGGGAAGGACAACAAACTAAGCACAAAAAGCAGTTCTAAAGAAATAAGTATTCAATTTAGATTTGAAAGTGCACAGCTCCAGTGGTTTCCTAATATCAAAAGGAAGATCATTCCAGATGGCCGCAGAAGGGCATCGGAAAGCGCACGATGCAGTGACCATCTTTGTTAGATGGTTAGCCAAAAAAAATCTGCAGTATATACATGGAAATTTGTCACTGGATTACCCTTCATTTGAATGGACTGCGAGGAACCTCCATTGAAATTAGCTAACATTCTACGCATGATTCCTAGGCTGTCAATCCCATTCATGTGAATGGATATGCATACATCACCATCGTCCATAAAAATCCCTATTAAATTCAAGAGAAATTCTGGGATTGCCATCAAATGAATGGGATTCTATTGAATTATCTTTAAGATGTTGCATAATCCTATTAATGTCTACATTTAAATGCAGTAAATATGGGGACAAAGACCATAAAGAACAATGCTCACAGCAATGAGCTGTGCACATTGTAGAGTGCAGGTGGTGGGATCTGTCCGCCACCTGAGTCTATGAACCCACACACAAGTGGGTCTGGCTCATGACGTCCTGGTGGTGATCATTCGGCCCTCTACGTACCCTCAAAATGCATCTGTCTAGACACTAGTGCCAGGGTGATGTTATTGCTACTTAGTGGTGAATGGCAGCTTCTGACATGCCTATAAGTGCGTGTGTATATTGGTGCATGTTTTTGAGTGTACGTGTGTGTGTGTGTGTGTCAGCGTCTGCTGTGCTAGCCTTCGTAGGTGCTCACTAATAGCACTTTCTCCTATAGTTTGTTAAGGCTATACGGGGGATCTTTATTTTTGTCAGCGTGCACGCATGCGTGCGAGCGAGACCTCTTCCTTCTTAAGATTGGCGTGCATGTCCTCCATGTTTGTGTCGGCGCGTCCATGCACAGAGCGCCCGTGGATGTAATAGCCGAAACAGCGGTTCTCCAGGATCAGGATAGAGATCTGCAAGGATCATGTGTACACGCACCGCACACAAAGCGGCCACAATCAACATCACTCACTCGTTTCTCCAGCACTCACAACACGTTTACTTTGATATAAAGTTTCCGATAAACCGTATGTAATTAAGGACATGTACGACCTGTATTGTCAGGCGGTATGTTTATTGTTGGAAGTGTATTATGCGTCTAAAAACGTGAAGAAAAAGAATTAAAAAGTAAAAGTTCACTATAAAAAGTTAAGAACTACTGTAAATCTAATCACTATCAGTAACGCAGGTCAAATAATGGTAAGTGATTGATGTTCGACTTAAAAACAATACAGAGATAGGACATGCGTTCTAAAGAAGAGGGAGGCAAAGCACTGAGTGGCAGTTCAGCAAGGAAACACTTTGAGACGGACAGAGATGAGTAGCACGAGTGGATTGATGCACATTTGTAATGTGCGAGACATTAAGAAGAACATTGAGAATTCTTCTTTGGTTCTTTCGGTAAAGTCACGTAGAATACGTAGAATACGCGACTTTACCGAAAGAACCAAAGAAGATGAATCCTTGCAGTCACGAAAGCTTTCAATCGAAATTTAACATTGAGAATTACCAGCAAAATTGGCAAAGGAATGCCAACTGAGCAGTGATAAGAGAATGAGGAAAGAGAGGAAGACCGCACCCACGAGGTATTCTCCTGTAGCCCACTACCCTCCCTCTGGGACAGCCACTCACGTTGCTCATAGAGCACAGGTCCACAAACTGGCGGATCTTGTCCTCCACAAAGCGCTCGTAGATTATGGTGTTGAAGATGACCTGGTAGAGACATCATTTGCATTGCCATGAGAACGCATTCCCCTTTGATTAGGGAGCCAGTTTTAGTCCCGCTCCGGGATGCGACAGAGAGTGCTTAGCCCAACATTGTACTTTGCATGGGCCTGAGAAGTGCGTCCTCAACTGTGGTGAGCATGATGGCATTCGCCAACAACTACATCATGATAAAAAATCAGGTAAATTTGGCTTTTGACGTAATTCACAATATTCCAGCTCTAAGGATTTAAAATGTTTTGTTTGCCCACCATGCAACAAATACTCTTCGTAGAACCTTCAAAAATATACCACCTCATGTAGATAAAAGAGACAATGACTCCACACGATAAAATATATACCATATGAAATTTAGTTTGCAGTTAATATCACTAAATTCTAGCTCTGAGATGGTCAAGAGGTGGACATCATCTAAAGCAGGGCAATTGTAAATTGCAGCACCCCCAGCATGGACAAGGCATCAAATGACGGGGACTCGGAAGTAGTTCTTTGATGTAACCTTCAACGGACTGTTTTATAACACAGGGTGAAGCACTTGTCCTCCAAAGGGTTCAGAATGGTGACTGTGTCTCGTGACCCGATGCCAACAGTAAAAAAAATATATATTAAATAATTAGTCATCTTCTCAGAGCCATTACAAGTGTAGTGACTGTGATTGTCACTGTGTGGTGCCGGGCTTGCGAGGCCACGGTGGATAATGTGTTGGCATTATGTGTAGCCCGGTTACTGGGCGTAGTACCAGCCCTAGCGGGGCCTTGGGTGAGCGCTGGTTAGCGCTGAGGCACCACGTACAGTGTGCGGTGCGGGCTCCCGGTGAGGGAGCGAGAGGGAGTGTCAGCCAGCCAGGGTTACATTGGGGCATGATACGCTGGTTGACCTGCCGACACGTGACCGGATGATATTGGAGGGGGGCCACCGGTGGACGGGGGCCGCTGGGCGGTCACGTGGTATAGAGGAGCTCTCGAGAGCCTTCGGGAAAGAGCTCGGAAGATCTAGAAGGTGGGCGGGGCGAGGGGTGGAGCCAGCCCCAGCCCGGGCCGATATAACGGGGGCCTCCCCGTGAGGGGCTCGGGGTTCTTGACTGTTGGTGAGTGAAGATCCACGTCGGGTTGAAGAAGCCTCTAGCCATTTGTTCCGAGACCCAGCTCGTGGTCCGGACCGGGATAGCGGGACCGTGTCTAGTTCTGCCGTAGCGTGGCAAGATGGGCGTTCAACACCCGAGTGTAGGTTACGTTATGTTGTGTTGAGTTGATGTAATAGTGTTGATCCCAAGACAACGTCTGCGACTCAGTTGGACTCACTACACAAGTGAATTCTGGGAGAGTTCTGAACTTAACTGTTTTTGTCTCATGACGTCCAAAGCACAAAAGTTATGTTTAAATGGGAGAAGAAGAGAAGGCTCGCGAATTATCACCTGCACGGCGCCAACAACGAGCCATACGGACGAAGCGACTCCAAAACGCAGGATGCGGCTCCATGAGGCCTCATCAGCATTCGGGGCTGGCAGCAGCGTAACTCCCAAATCCCGTAGACCCAGGTTCTCAAAGCCTACGACCTGCAAAATTAACAAAGCCACCCACAATGATCATCATCACCATTATAAGTATCTGACACCATCATCACAGTCACAATCACCATTGTCAACACAACGACCATCGCTATTACCACCAGAACCACCACAACATTAATACTGCCATCGTCATCACCATATTAATCGTCGTCATCATCATCATCATCACAACCACCATTGTTAACACCACCACCACATCATCATCATCATTGCCACCACTACAACCATCACCATCCCTCTGCAACTGCTCACACGAACACTGCCACCGCTTAGTGGAAGGTCAACAGCACCCGTGACACGGTGAGACCGTTACTCTGCTTGGTACGAACAACAAAGTCACCTTGAGGAAGAGTAGCACCGCAAAGAGCTGGAGCATGGGGCTTAGCTTGCGCACCGTCTGCAGCTCGTTCCACTCGTTGGCCACAAAGAACGTGCGCCAAACGCTGACTCCGCGTGCAGAAGCGGCTTCCGCCCCTGCAGCGAGATTCGCTCGTTATACAACGGCCGAGTGACGCTGCGGCTCGAGCGCTCGACAATTTTTATCGGAAGGTCACGAGTTCAGATGATGGTAAAGTGCAGAGTCAAGCCTATTATCATCATCATCATCCCCCCAGGATCGGTGAAACTGGCACCACATTTTGCGGGGCAGTCAAGAGGAGGCCACAACACAAGTCGTGAGAATTTTATTTTATTATGTTTATTTTTATTATTTTATTTCCATTCTATGTGACTTTACCGAAAGAACCAAGAAGATGAATCCCTGCAGTCACGAAAGCTTTAAATCGAAATTTAAGAGGATTGTTTCAGTGAGAAATTTGGTCCCATCAGAGGTAGTGAGGAATTTTCACCATTGGCTCAGGACCACCGATGGAAATGACTGCTGCCCTATTGTTTGTTTAGCAAAGACACTTTGAATTAACGTAATACACAGCAAAGGATGAACAGAGTATTTTTTACATATCTTGTGCATTCGGGCTTCGTTAAACCATGTAATACTCTCATAAAATAATCATATTCTTCAAAAACATATTATTAGTCTAAACTCAATAAAGGCAGATGGCTAAAAGTGTGAAAGAATGTCACACTCTCTGGTGGCTGGGTAGCTCAGAATGGTGATCGTTATATGACTGACCAAGCACCATTTAAATTCTAGGTTTCAGCCAACTGTGATTAAACTGGGTTCTCAAGTGTAGCCAGTTTATGGTCTCAACCTGGTCACAAATGGATGTATATTAATAAAAATCACAGGACATATGATTTTATACTAAATATTTCAAATTCAAGCCCTGACTGAGGATGACATTTTGATTTGTGTCATATAATGAACGCTATTTTCAGGGCTTAAAAGAGTGAAGTCTATTATTGAATGAAAGAGACCTCATAAATAGATTTCCAACAGTTCCGTGACATCTTGCTGGGCCATTCCCCCACATGATGTGACGTTACGAAGTTGACTGTGAGAGTTCCGGATAAACATTCCTTTGTTGTGCGACACAATGCCATACACAACTGAAACATAATTGGGGTTTTACACCGTTGGAACCTCCTTTGCCAGTAGCAAAATATGACAATTGTTTTTTTTACCCTTTTATCTGGCAACAAAACTGACACCTTTTTTGACAGTTAAAAAGAACAAGTCAGAAGGTACCTTACCCTGTCTAGCTTTGCCTTTCGGCCGCTCCCAATCAAAGAAGAAAATGTCAATGGAGACCTGTGTGGCTATCAGGTGTAGAAATTGAACTGCCTGTACACACACACACACACAGCAATAACAGCAGCGATGAAAATGACCATGCCATCACTATGGAAACTGTGCCAGGCTAGGTGCACATTGGGGCCAAACCTAGCTGGAAATATTCCAGAGTCCAGAAAAAAAATATGCATTCTAGAGAACATGGAAGGTGGCCGGTTGACTCATAGGTCTGAGCACTGGCTGAGCTGCCACTGCAGAGGACCTGGGTTCGAATCCAGGCAGCTGCTTACGGTTAAACTTGGTTCTCAAGTGTAGCCAGTTGTGGTTACAAATACAAAAAAAACTCATAAATATCACTTTGTCATGCAACATTATGTGGCAGAGTAAATTGAAAGGTGTACCATCTACATGTTACAGGATATGCCGGTCATTTGAAGGATTGTTCATAAGTCTGCCGAAAAAAATATTGTTTGTGGGCCATTCTATGACACGCGCTGCGTACAGCTCTGTCGGTTTTCCAAAATTAATTCAACTCATGACATAATGCCAATGGCACAGTTGGAATTAATTTAGAAAAAAGACCAGGAAAATATTTTAAAACGTAAACACTCAATCTCTGTTGCACCAAGTCAGAAAAATACTTGTTATATTTCCCACTGCAGGAATATCGTTGAATGTCGAAATTTACCAACACGGTAAATTAGATGAAGGTGAAGCTAATGTATAATCACTAAATTGTAATATACTAGACATCAGCATTCCAGGTATCACAGTTATACTGAGTATCGTTAAAGAAATACTTCATCATGGCCATCACCTGTATTACCCGCTTATATGTGACTGGAGCTATCGTTATCAGCCATGGTGGATGAAGACCTCCCCAAGCCTAATGGGATAAAAATACGTTACTGTACTTCACCACGCCAATCATTCAGAATCATATGACCTCAGCTCCTTCGCAAATATTCAGACGCAGTTAGCAGACTATTGTAAAATATGGTATATACAAGAGTACGAATTGGGAGTAATTACTAGTCATTAGGAGTAATGTATTGGCAGTTGCCCCAAGGCCACTGCCATAACAATTAGGGTTTTTCACTAACCATTGAAATGACAGCGTCAATGTTGTGCATCGTTACATCACAGCGACAGCACTTCCAGAATCGTTATGTGGGCATCGTAACACCAAAGGGCATCGCTCATCCTAGTGTCACAGCCACAGAATGCAAATGCCTGCAGAGAGACACTGCGCAGCCCTAGTACACAGGTGAATGTGCGAATGACGGATGCTTGCCGTGCCTTGAGAGCGAACGCGCACGACAGGTAGATGATGAAGTTCCTCTCTTCGCTCGGCGTGGGCAACATCACGGCCACGGTTTGTTGGCTCTGTTTGGGGGGGGGAATCGCAGTTGAAGGCCATCGTGTGCTGCATTGCCACTCAAAAGCAGCAGCAGAGCAGTGTCATATGATCATATAATAATAATAAAGTACTTCCATGCAACATTTACAGCCCTATTGTCAATCCACTGCTGAATGAGGGCCTCCCCAGGCCACGTGGTTGTGGGGGTTATTTGCCCAAATTTAATGACACTGGTCGATGTGGGAGCATACAAGTACAGTAAAACAAAAAAATATCTGCACTGCCAACCTCATAGCCCATCAGCCCTATGACAACCTGTTTTTACATGGTGGTCACCCATCCAAGCACTCCCAAGCTAAACTATGCTTCGCTTCTGAGATCTGATGGGATTGGGTGCATTCAATCACCATCATTATCACGACCCCAATCACCATCACCTACAATACCGCTATTACCACCACCTACACCACTATCAATGTCACAAAACTTTCATTATCACCACAACCATAACAATAACTTCCTACCCCACAATCATTATCACATCACCACCACTAGCAGTGTTGTCACTATCACCACCATTACAGTGAGGGAAAACAGTATTTGATCCCCTGCTGATTTTGTACGTTTGCCCACTGACAAAGGAATGATCAGTCTATAATTTTAATGGTAGGTTTATTTGAACAGTGAGAGACAGAATAACAACAACAAAATCCAGAAAAACGCATGTCAAAAATGTTATAAATTGATTTGCATTTTAATAAGGGAAATAAGTATTTGACCCACTCTCAATCAGAAAGATTTCTGGCTCCCAGGTGTCTTTAATACAGGTAACGAGCTGAGATTAGGAGCACACTCTTAAAGGGAGTGCTCCTAATCTCAGCTTGTTACCTGTATAAAAGACACCTGTCCACAGAAGCAATCAATCAATCAGATTCCAAACTCTCCACCATGGCCAAGACCAAAGAGCTCTCCAAAGATCAAAATGGAGCTCTTTGGCATCAACTCAACTCGCCGTGTTTGGAGGAAGAGGAATGCTGCCTATGACTCCAAGAACACCATCCCCACCGTCAAACATGGAGGTGGAAACATTATGCTTTGGGGGTGTTTTTCTAAGGAGACAGGACAACTTCACCACATCAAAGGGACGATGGACGGGGCCATGCACCGTCAAATCTTGGGTGAGAACCTCCTTCCCTCAGCCAGGGCATTGAAAATGGGAAGTGGATGGGTATTCCAGCATGATAATGACCCAAAACACACGGCCAAGGCAACAAAGGAGTGGCTCAAGAAGAAGCACATTAAGGTCCTGGAGTGGCCTAGCCAGTCTCCAGACCTTAATCCCATAGACAATCTGTGGAGGAAGCTGAAGGTTCGAGTTGCCAAACGTCAGCCTCGAAACCTTAATGACTTGGAGAAGATCTGCAAAGAGGAGTGGGACAAAATCCCTACTGAGATGTGTGCAAACCTGGTGGCCAACTACAAGAAACGTCTGACCTCTGTGATTGCCAACAAGGGATTTGCCACCAAGTACTAAGTCATGTTTTGCAGAGGGGTCAAATACTTATTTCCCTCATTAAAATGCAAATAAATTTATAATCGCATCAACTGTTGTCACCTTCTCACCAAGCTGCTTGGCAATGGTCTTGTAGCCCATTCCAGCCTTGTGTAGGTCTACAATCTTGTCCCTGACATCCTTGGAGAGCTCTTTGGTCTTGGCCATGGTGGAAAGTTTGGAATTTGATTGATTGGTTGCTTCTGTGGACAGGTGTCTTTTATACAGGTAACAAGCTGAGATTAGGAGCACTCCCTTTAAGAGTGTGCTCCTAATCTCAGCTCGTTACCTGTATAAAAGACACCTGGGAGCCAGAAATCTTTCTGATTGAGAGGGGGTCAAATACTTATTTCCCTTATTAAAATGCAAATCAATTTATAACATTTTTGACATGCGTTTTTCTGGATTTTGTTGTTGTTAATGTCTCTCACTGTTCAAATAAACCTACCATTAAAAGTATAGACTGATCATTTCTCTTTCAGTGGGCAAACGTACAAAATCAGCAGGGGATCAAATACTTTTTTACCTCACTGTATCACAAACACCTGCCACCATGAGCATCAACAGTTTTCATGCCACTACTTCTTTGATCACCATAACTTCTACGATAACCTACATTATTTGTTGTGCAGTGTCAATGCTATATAACATTCCCGGTCCACTATCAGTGCTGAAAAACACTTTTGAGTAAAATCTCAGCCTGTCTTCTTGCTCAAATGAGCAATGGCGTCATTTTAACTCCACCGGTGGCTCTAAGCCAAATCAGCGGCAAGGACCAAATTTATCCACGGGCCACAAACTGTTATCTTTCCTACAAAGTAGTACGAATTGTATTGACAAAAGAGGGACGATGGGCTAATTTGACCGTCGGACAAGGATTTGAAACCTGCAACCTTCCAATTGAAAATTGAGCACTCTGATAGCAGCACCACAAACGAAGAAGCATTCGAAATCGCTCACTTGCCATTGACAGATATAACTCCCGTGTCGCTCACGTGCCCTGGGAAACACAAACTTAAATGATGTTATAGTAGGTTTAAACAAAATGGATGCAAAAGAAGTGGACTTGCCTTTGCCGACTGAGGTGAGTTAAAGTGCAAGAGCAGAGAGGAAACAAGGACACCGTTAAGAACTTGGCAGGAGATGATGCACTTAGGAAGGCAATAGCACAGAAAACAGGTAGGAACATTAAGGTGTAAGTGTTCGTGATAGACAATGCATGACCCCTCTTAGGGCACCGTTCCCGCTAGCATTGTCCTGGACCAAGCGCTGGTGTTCATTTCAGTTCTGCGCAGTAAGATACGACCGGTGTGCTAAGTGAATATCAATTACCACCAACCATGATTTATATTTGTCCAGTTATTCTCCAGCTCTCTCATTACAGCAATAAGTGTCACCTTTCATTGCTCCTGAGATGTAAAATGGTTTGGGCTAAAAGGTGATGCTCATCTTACACTTGTTGAGAAAAATGATTCCATCTTTATGAATACAGCAGAGTATCGGCATTTGCTAAGGACAGCACTTTTGGAAGCAATAGACACCCAACTGCAGCACAAAAAAGTTCCAGCAGTAGACAGTCCAGCAAGTAGGTTAACTGCTGTATATGTGCAAAGTTTGATGCCAACCCGTCCGATGTGTCAGTTTTCTCCAGATGCTCAGTCATTCACATACGGGAATATGCATTGTACAAACATGCCAAGCAAACAACTTCTGTTTTCATCCCCCTATTTCATTTTCACGAGAAAAATTTTGTGAAAAGCCACCACTGGTTATCAACTTAGTGATTATTCATCCCGTGACAATTCGGTCAATTGTCACAATTCTGGAACAAATTATTTTCATTTCGGTTCATGCATAATTTGTAGTGGCTCCAGGATTTTGCGAACCGAATACATGACGCATATACAAATGAACAATAATCAATTCATACATCAAATATTTGGTGAATTATATTGTGATTGTATGAATGAATTTAAGTCAATGATTCAGTACATTATTACATACCTTGCCCTAGCTATATCTTAGCATATACATGGGGCAGCTATGTACATATGTAGCCTTGGCTATATCCTAGCATATACATGGGGCAGCTATGGACATATGTAGCCTTGGCTATATCATAGCATATACATGGGACAACTATGTACATATGTAGCCTTGGTTATATCCTAGCATATACATGGGGCAACTATGGACATATGTAGCCTTGGCTATATCCTAGCATATACATGGGGCAGCTATGGACATATGTAGCCTTGGCTATATCATAGCATATACATGGGGCAACTATGGACATATGTAGCCTTGGTTATATCATAGCATATACATGGGGCAACTATGGACATATGTAGCCTTCGCTATATATGTCGATGCTCTGTGTACCCAGCCATGCATAACGTGGTGTAAAAGACATCGCATTGTTATTTCTGAATGATTTCTAACCACTCAGGAGCTCCCACCTTGAAGATGATGAGCCAGTAGAGACCGGTGCCGAACGTGACGATGAAGAAAACATTGGAGAGCGCGCCCGCCAGGATCAAGAAAAACTTCACGAGCGACTGCAATGTACAACACCATACATCATCAACGTAACAAGAACTGATTTTTCTGTTTAGTTTGTTGTCTGTCCCCCGCACCTCCAATTAGCACGGTTGGCTACGAACGATGTGAAAGAAGTTCAACATACATATAACACTGCATGTTCCTATTGTTAGGGCCACCACTCTCTACACAACTGGTAAGCAGTGCAATGTAACCAGTACCTATTCAAGTTTAAATGGATATTTTGAAATAAGTAGGAGCCCTAGATTATTTATTAAATATTGATAACAATTGACATTTAGACTAATGGCCTATGGGCCTCTCAAAATCAAGTCAGATTAAAGTGTTTCCCTGATCAAACAAGCAATGGGATTGCACCCATATGTGACAGCAGCCCATTAACAAATGGAAGTCCACATTCTCATTAGAAGCAGTTATCTTAATGGGCTTTACATATACTCCCAAGTGTATACGTAGCAACTTTTAGACCATGTTCAGCTTTATTTGGCTTCTTATTCTATATGTGGCCTCAAACTAATACTAACTCTGCTTTAAGGGCCCCACATTGTTTGGTAATGATTTTGGTTTATATCCACACTGGAGTGGCAATGGAGTGGCAATGGAGTTGGTTTATTGTACCAACGTTGGACCCTAACGCCTGCATATTTGGAGCTTGCATGTTCTGCCCGTGGTCCTCCGGTTTTTCCCTCCACATTTAGAAAAATGCGTTTAGAGTACTTGGCTGCAATAAATGTCCAAGTGATAAGCCACTTCGTTGAGCTATCATTTGTGGCCAGGTCGCTTCTGAAAAAGAGCTATATAGCTCGGTGGGCCTTGCCTGGTAAAATAAAAAATAGTTAAGTTTATTATCCTATTACCAGAGCAACCAAGCTACCCCCTAAGCCCTCCACTCCCTCTGCAGGGTCAGACACTCACGCTGAATTCCACCATCTGCAGGCCGGCTCGACGGCGCCACCCGGTAGTCTGCATCATGGCATAGAAGACAGCCAGGCTGCCCAACACTCCCAGCGCAATCTGTCTCGTGAACAAACACGCACAGAGATGTTGACCCCCATAAGATGTGTATGCCTTCGGGGTGGGGAAAGTGCTGTTAATGAACAAGGCACGCATTAAACACATCCACCAGGTACTAATTGGGTTGGTTTCAGATACCACTTGGCACCAACAGGGGCGGAGCCAGGGGGGGGGTGACAGGGGTGACATTCTGCGTGTAAGTGTACAACACTCGGTCTGGCGGACTCTGTGCAACTGCATTGTCAGAGTGTGTCGCCAACTGATGGCGTCTAGTTCAAAAGCCTGACTCTCTAATCATTCTTGAAATAAAAATTTGTTGAATGTCACCCCGGCCTGAAATCCTGCCTCCGCCCCTGGGCACCAATATGCAAGGAAAGGATCAAGCTCAGGATATCCAAATCGGAGCATTGTGCCACTGAAAACACACGCACAGATACCACAACAAGGATGCATACAAAAAGTAAATGCGCACACACACACCACACATAAATTAACCTGCACGCACACACACTTGGACACAACACGAACGCAAATAACTGGGTGATATTGATCAGAGGTCATTGTAGGCAAATATGACACTACACCTTGTCATAACTTCCTTACTTTTGCCGAATCCCAAATATCTCGCACAATGAATACCCCAACTCTAAAGTCTGCTCTTATCGTCCAATCATCATTACCATCTGGCTTTCGATCTTATCCCTGGCCACAGATTCAGTAACCTGCCCTCTTCCATCCTGTACATTGCCTGACTGTTTGCAACCTCCTCGTCCTGATTACATCTACAATGATTTCCTGTCACATTATATTCTGACATTGCTTTCTTTACTCACTTCTGTCTGGAGCTTTGCATCTGCTTGACTCATGTTGTAAACAACAGAAAATGACACCTTTGGGAAACAGAAAAAAACATTCAAGTATTTGTAAGATCAAAATATTACAGTATATGAATTATTGACAAACACATGCATTGTAAAACTTACAATTCACAATTAATATCATCACTTATCATATTCCAATGTTGCATCAATTGGATTTGTACCAAAAGGAAAATAACTGTGCTTCTGGAAACCTTCAATCAGCCGAGGATCACGTCACGTCAAGAAACAGCTTCAGAACATGACGTACAGAACTTACGCTGAAGTCACTTCATATCGATATCTTTCGCTCAAAACCTTATGGCGCTACATATCAGATACACGTATTACACTTTATAGCTGCACAAGGCCAAATCAGCAGAAAATCGAAATGACCTATTGTCTTTTTTGTGCGCTTATTGGTGACTGGACTGAGACCATTTTAATCTCACTCCACTAGAAAGCTCAGGTGACAGAAACCAATATTCGACCTTAGAATCTCACTGGAGATGGCTCATTGCTATGAAAAAACTGTCACTCATTCACACTGTTACAATATAACGAAACGAGCGTATACCGGCTTTTGATGCCCAGATAAGCATTCATTACTATGCAAAGTAGAGAGTCTAAAAGGAAGATACAATAAAATCGCATAAAGTGCTAGTAAATTAAGTGGTAAATTGTTCAAACGTTAAGAATAATAAAAATACCTTTAAACTGTCATTTGAAGTCTTACTGAATTTAGTGTAGTCCACTGTGATGAGGGGAGGGTAGATTGTTCTATTGGCATTGTTGGTCGGCATCGTGATTCTGGCAGAAACACACAGAAAGCCCACACGCCGGTAAACATCCCACATTCTTATGACAGTGGTGGTCTGTCTCTCCACAAGACAAACACTGTCTTGTCCATGAAGCTTATGAAGAAAGCCACAATCTGAACACTCACCCATGGGATGAACACCAACTCGCTGCCTCAACACACTCGCACACAAACCCTTCGGCCCACAACACACAATTATCCACAGCCAAAATATGAACCAAACAAGGATGCCATTATTCCTCCTACTGAATCTCTTCCATATGCAAGGTGCACGGTGATGGCTGGACGTATTAATCCAATTGAGATATTCACGCTGGGGGGATTTCAAACTCCTCGTGTATATTTGCAGCTAAGGATGAATTATACAGAATTTCAGGAACGTATCTGTAATGTTTTATTTTTAGGAATAGATTTGAACTCGCACACTGCTCCAATCCAGGTGCACTTTTGCAGGTCGGGTGCATTTCCTCTGTCGCGTTTTCGCCACGCACTGCTGCGGGTGCCTTCAGGAGCTGAAGACATCCGCAGCAGTGTGTGGTGAAAGCTCGGGAGAAGAAATGCTCAACACACGGCTCCACCTGGGAAAAACACGTGGCTTATAAGCTGCTGCAAAAGCATTCGTGGTAAAATTTAATTAGCGTACTGCTTTGGATGGATGCTGATTTGGTAAAGGGTGTTGCGCTGCATATTCCGTTTAGAAATAGGCACGATGGGCGTGTAAACTCACGAGATGGTGATGGAACTGGCATAGTTTATGGTGTTTGAATCAGTCAAAGCGTCCACCAGAAAAAATCGCCGCATCAGCATCCACTGAGCTTGATCGCTTTCTGCAAATTACATATACAAATGCAAAGACAACACAGATAAGTATTAAGCTTGGAATTAAACATGGGGAGAAATTCAGCAGGTGTGAACTGGGGGGGGGGGGGGGGGGGGGCAGTTCTCAGAGAGTGCGTTGAGTACAAATGGAAGAACAACTTCCAATTGAGTGGTCAACCGTAGGGGTTGACAAGAGACTTTAATTGCTGGAACAGGGGGCAGTAAAATATGATGTGGTCACAGCATCAGCCATGAAGGATATTGTGGCTCATCCAGGAGTGAACAGTCAGTGGAGGGATCAGAAGTTTGGAGTGGTGTATTCGTCTCATTTAAAAATGTGGGAGTCTCGTGAATTGAACATTACGTTTGTTTGGAGCTCTGTCCCCTCTTTGCAGGTTGGAATTGAGGACTGGCAGCGCATACATATATTCCTTCCCGCCCTGCGTGAACTGCAAGTAGGGATCGTAAAAAATTGGCTCCGGGAAGAGTTCCTGTAGAGTTATCCGCGACAGAGTGCACTGGCAGATGGGTAGAAAAACACACGCAATCGGACACATACAAAGTGAGTATAGCATATACACACTAACACACAGGACGCATGAAGACCTGAGGAGACACGTTACTCACAGACTGTGCGTAGGCCGTGCCGAAGGTGTATGCCGCATCCAGGCGGCTTAGGGTGCCGGGACACAGCTGTTTGTGTGTAAAGACCAGACCAGAAAACACATGTCAGACACTTTGGGAAACAACACACATTATGTCCATATACTGAACACTGTTAATTATGCAGACAGACTGATGTGATTTAAAACTATCTTAGCCATATTTTTGGTTCTTTCGAATTGATTCACATAGCTAGAAAACAAAAATATAAAATAAAACCCATTCAAGGTAAATTCAAATTGTGGTCATATGAGCATGGAGCAATGTTTGAATAAGAGGTGGAAATTCCTAATTTCTATCATGTGGGCCCATCTCTCCAGAAGTTGACCACTTTTTAACGCACACAAAGTTACAACATTTAATTGGCCCTGGAGGGACAAAAGGCTCGCCAGATCCTTGGAGATTTTACCTCTTGACCTTTACATTTCTGAGTCCAGCCAGCTGGATAAATCCAGCATACCGATTATCAGAGATGTGCATGGCAAAAAACTGAACCCAGGTAACAGACTGAAGTGTAGTGCATCAATAACGATGGCCAGAGATTGAACCTACGCAACAGAAGCTGTAGCACAGCATGAAAACCAGTGGGAAGAGTTAAACCTATCAATTCACTGTAGTGCAGTGCTTTCACCACCATGCCATTACAAGCCATATAGCCACCGAGTAGCAATGTATAGTTTAAAGCACCACCAAGGCAATGGTTCACCTTCTCACCTGCAGAAGGCCGCCAGCAGCCGATTTGTATCCCAAGAATTTCCCACGAATGTCATACATACCCAACACCAGCCGCAGTTTGCTCTCCTGGCACAGACAGAAACAAGGAATTAAGTTTTGATTTAAAGCTTTCGTGACTGCAGGGATTCATATTCTTGGTTCTTTCGTAAAGTCACGTAGAAGGGAAACAATTAAATAATAAAAATATTATACAATAAAATTCTCACGACGTTTCGACTGCAACACAAGCAATCATCATCAGGTGTGATTTTTTTATATTTTATTGTTTCCCTTCTACATGACTTTACCGAAAGAACCAAGAATAAGGAATTAAGTCTCTAGGTTGTAAGGCACTATATAAACACCAATGGAACACAGCATGTGAGCCACTACTTATTGATTCCTTTTTAAGTGGCAAAGGTCAACATTCTTCAGAGTGCTGTCGACAACATTTAGTGTATGCTCACAGTAAGACACCTCAAGCATGTGAATAATCACAATAAACTACTAGGATTCAGTATAAATACCAACATCTCTAACAGCCAGCCAATAACTAATGCAAGTTATTAAAGATTCTAAGAGCAAGTCGAGACACATCACAAACTATCCTGCACGGTCCGCTTGTTTAATGCTGTTATTTTTTTTAAGTTGTAGCACTATGCCAATATTGTTATTATATTTGTATTAAGTATTCCTCGAACATGAGATGAGTAATTAAATGGGATCTCGCCTGGTTTAATAAAAGATCTTACAGCAAAATAGGTCAACGTGTCTCCGCCCCTGCTCAAACTAGTATGGGATAGTACTCAGCCGCAATGGCAGCTTGGTGGAGGAAATTCTAAAATCATGTGGCAGGGGCCAAAATATTCACAAGACAAATATTGTTAACTTCCCACAAAGGTAAAACAAGATAAATGTGCAGCCCTGTAATTGCTTGGCCTACTCTTCCACACCGACCAGATCTCGTAGAAAAGGTGGGAGTCCCCACATTTTACCCATTACACGTGACCTTACGATCAACGAAGTAATACTGCTGGGTGGACAAAGGGGAGGGGGGATTTAATGAACTTGTGACCCCTGGATTGAGTGTGCTATTATACCGAGGCAGCATGCGTGACTCTAAAAGGTGCTACTCAATTTATCTACCCCAAGGGGTAGATGAGGGGCTGAGTCAATCCCCTATGGGGATTTGAACTCAAAATCTCTTTGATCGTTGAGTCGAGCACTCTAACAGCAGCACACACCCAACATCCTTAATACGCACACATCCGCTGACATTCAATGTGCTCTAGCGATGAGATTCACGAACCCCTGATCCCCGTAGAGAGAAGACCACGGGAAAATCGGTGGATGCGAGCACGCTGGCTGCGGTGTCACTCATGTAGTAAATCCACGGGCGGTTCTCAAACCTGTGACAATAGGAGGGGTCCGATCCACAATCAAAGACAGAAAACATCCGAGCCATAATTTTCCGATAGTGCACGTGCGTCCATCTATGCATGTGAAGAGTCACACGCGTGCCCGCCTGTGTTAAAGCAAAACCAGATGTATTTACGGACTTAAAAAGATTGACAACATTTTATTTACATTGATGGCTAAATGCCTTTAAAAGTATTGGCACCATTTGGATTTAATTCATGAAATGTTGCATCCATCGAACCACGTCCATGCATTTCACACCGTCCATATTTTTCTGTATCACATTGACATACTTAGCCATACCACTTTTGATTATGAAAGCCAATGGGGGTTGGATGGCAAAGCACTGTTACTGGTCTGGGTAATGAGCTGTGAAAAATCAGCTCAGGCTGTTGGGGGCTTGTCCTGCTGTACACACATGTACAATAAGTAAGATCAAATTATCTCCAGTGATATTGTTATTATTATTTTTATTATTTAAAAATATATATTATTTGATCGATCGACGTGGCTTTACTGAAAGACCCAAGAATACAAATTATCTCCCTTGTTCAAGCGAGCATGTGACAGTGGTGAAAGACGCCACAATTATCCGGCAGGAACCAGTCGATCCATGGGGCAAGCCAATGTTGACTTCCCACAACGTGCTACTCATTTAATCTATCACGGGATGAGATGAAGAACTGCACTGACATCCCTTGATGGCGAGTTAACTCACAACCTTGTGATTGTGAGTTATGCACTCTAATCACAGCACCATCCCACCGGTCATGTATCAGGTACAAAGCCAGTAAAAAAAAAGAACACAAAAGCATTACATTTCAGCACCTATTCAAGCACAGCTGCACCAAATACGTGAAGGCAGAAGAGCTTCAGCCCATACTTCTTGTTCTCACCAGGTTTGGATCCCATGTACTTGCTTGAGAGATGGTGCAGTGAGGAAAAAATTCGCACAATACACATACAAGGCCCCGACGTCCATGAACATAACACACATGTTGCCCAGCACTTGACAGGCAGTCCGGTTTTGGTATGTCTGCAAAAAAAATTACAGTGTTATACAAAGCAATACGCCAATGGCAAGGGCACTTGTGCTTTAACAACTTGTAGAAGCCGTGCCATTCATGCTGCTGCTGCTGCTGCTATAAGCAAATCTTTGAATTCGATGTGGCTGAGTGGCTCAGCTCTAAGCAAACACTGCTGAAATACTGGGGATTGAACCCAGGAATCACCAGCCACCCACCATTATGCAATACAATAATTAAGCGCCATTATCAATGTTAATAACAAAATAAATAACGCGTCCTTCCCATATTTGTTTCTTCACATATTAAAAAGATGCATTTATTTATTGTGATTGACATTATCAGCAACAATGCCTAATTGTTATTCTCTGTTATGTATTATAATGTTTCGCATCAAACCAGGACCCATATCTTACACGAAAGGGTTCTTTCCCTGAACGATCAGGTAATTCACCGGAATTGGTTCAAGCAAGCTTGACTGCTGATGAAACGATTGTAAAAACCAGTCCAGATGCACTCCTTAAGGATTGTGTAATAATTCAAGAGATTTTCAAGCAAGTGTATGCTAAGCATGGAACCATTTACACCTTCCCCCAGTGAATCAATGAACTGTGAAAATTCAGGGCCACCATTCAATTCAATAAATAATTATTTCGCTCCTTTACTCTCTCATTTGTATTGTCGTGTGTTTATATATTCATATAATTTACATTAATCGTGAATCGTAAATAATAACAAACCAAATTAAATGCACGTATTTTTTTTTTCACAAATGCAGTTAATTTAATTTTAGAAATAGTCGTGGAAATTCCACATTCCCAAGATGGGAATTAGTCTTTCCATCGGTTGACCGCTGTGGCCTTCCAGAAAAGTCCTTGTCATTTTATCGAGCACTGCGGGATTATAGGGCTGGCTTGACCGCTGACCGGGAATTAAAATGGCAACCTTCTGACTGCGAGTGAAATGCTCTAACTGCAACCATCTATCAGGCACAGTGACAGCGGAAATATGTTCGACAATGTTAAATGTCATTCCATCTTGGGACTGCCTCACTCTGCAATGAAACATCAGATGAAGTTTAACGATTGTGTACTCACCTCGCAGGCAACCCTAGCAGCATCAAAATTGTCACTGAACCAGTTTGAGTTAATCTGAAAAGAAGAATACTAATTTTTATTTGAACGATGCAGCATTACATCAACTAATTACAATTAACATTTGACACACTCAACAGTACAACATATATACAACTGTGTATAGAAGCAGCACATTAACTGTTTGGTGTACATAATGCACTTTTACACCCATTTTGTTAATTCACTGCAGGATGAGGGCCTCACCGTGCCATTCAGGTCATGGCAGTTATTTGACTATACTTCATCACACTGATCAGTGCAGGAGGATCATAGAAATAATGCATTTTCTGCACTGCCCTCTGCTATATCCCACAACCGATATTACCCATGGTGCATTTTGTTCTCATCCAAGCACCATCGAGGCTCAACCATGCTTAGCTTAGGGTGTTAGTTTCACGGTAGTCTGCTATCTTGATTACAGGCATTTAGCTCAACTCTATTTTTCTAGACCATCCTTCAAGTGACACGTTTTTGTGTTGATATAATTGTCGCACCTGAAACCACAGGCTATTGTATTATGATGAAAAATGTAGCACAGCTTTTTTTCCAATTTCATAACTTTCGCAATTACATTGGCTCTGAGGACTTTTAATACCCTTGTTAAAGGAACAAAAAAAATCGTGACCGTGATGAATGTGTGAACAATTTTGTGAGTTTTGTCATGTGAAATTACACAAATTAGACTATCTTATGGCTTCAATTCCCTTCCCCCGCACTTACAATTAGCACGGTTGGCTAAGTATGATGCAAAAGAGGTTCAACATACACACATGCAATGGAACTGCAACACCACATTTCTTGTACAGTAAAGACATTTGCTTTGTTAAACGAAAAAGCAACCCAAAACACAAATTTGGCTGTCGCCTGATGATGCTAGTTGGAATTACTGGCAAAACGTCGTACTCAAGTTTTAAATGTTGTGGATTTACTTTCCAACACACCGGTGTGCTGTACTAGTGTAGTGGGTCAATAACCAGAGGAGAACTTCCGTGAGGCAACACCCGATACCTGAGGAGGTACGGCCTCCGGGCTATACTGCCGCCTAACACTGGGACCACTCTAATTCTTAGCCCTCCGGCTAGGGGCCCTAGGGGAGGCTGCGCTGACCAGACCGTGCCAAGGTCTCCGGGTCTTGACTGCTGGCCTCACTGAGCTCCGGCCCTTAGAAGGACAGCAGAGCTTGGGGTCCAGGGTCCTATCTTCAGCTCCGTCTTCGGTCTTCAGCTTTGAGATGACCGAGCCGGACCCGTCAGAGGTCCGGCTTATGTACAGGTCCGTGGCTTGCTTCGCCCTAGCCACGCCTCCCTTCCAGAACCTTCTGGAAGGTGACATCATCCCCCAGTCCCCCCTCCCGGGGTTTGGGAATTGTGTGCCAGGATCCGTTTCCCAGGGATTGGCGTTGACCCCTTGGGCTATGGTCACTAACACTGGCGTGATCACACTTCCGCCCCCTGTTGACGAGAAGGGGGAGCTACCCGCGAACAGCATGGGGAGTGCCGATGAATGACTCTACACTAGTAACGAATTGCCATGTTCTATTAACATGACAAATCTTACTAATTGGCTGTGCCGGGTGGTGGCGGATTTAACGACACATTTATATTGTGATTTAAAGCTTTCGTGACTACAGGGATTCATATTCTTGGTTCTTTCGGTAAAGTCACGTAGAAGGAAAACAATAAAATAATAAAAATATAAAACAAAATTCTCACGAAGTTTCGTCTGCAACACAAGCAATCATCAACAGGTGTGAAAACCACAGCAAGAACATTTGAAAAAAGTGGCGGTTTTTTTTAACGTTAGCACCACGGAGAGCGATTTGACAGTTTGTTCAGATGGACGAGTCCATCTATGTTCGGAAAAGAGGAGGGGGGAGACAAAAATAACGGATGCGGTCTGAAAGCCACCGTAAGCGTGAACAATCAATTAAGACCCGAAATGGTTTATCAAATCCTTCCAATGATTGCTAAGCCAGAATCCATCTTCTCGGTTGAAATTGTCTCTGTGTTTGTATATGTGGATAGCCCCATGAACGAATCTCTCATAGTAGCCAGATGGCTTGCAGAGAACCTCTGTCTTGGAGAAGTCAATGTCATTTGAGCCTACTGAATTATAACAGTGATCTGCCACGGCCGAGGTGTTGGTCCTACCGTGTTTTAGGCCTGCTTTGTGTTCACGGATGTGGTCCGACACATGTCGTTTGGTTTCTCCAATGTAACTACTACCACAGAGGCAACTTAGTTTGTAGATGCCAGGGTACTGTATGTCCGCAATCACATCTTTTACAAACGGAACGGATTTTATGTAATGTGTTGAATCGGATCTGGATCTTGTGTTTATTCAAAATTTTGGAGATCTTTTTTGTGATCCCCGCAATGTAGGGTAAAGTGATGGTTTTGAATGGCTCAAGAGGGTCCTTCTTCATGGTTGGAGTGATAGCTTTGCGGATTGTGTAGTTGGAGTAACCATTAGCCTTAAGAGCTTGGTGTACGTGCTTGAGTTCACTGGCTATGTGTTCCTAGTCGGATATGCATTGGGCTATATGGTGCAGAGTCTTGATGAGGGAATTCTTCTGGGATGGATGGTGGTGGGAATCCGGTTTCAGGTAAGCATCCGTATGGGTAGCTTTCCTGTAGACAGAGTGGCTCATTAAACCATCAAGTCTCTTTTTGATTAAGACATCCAAAACAGGTAGCTTGCCATCTTTTTCGACTTCCATGGTAAATCTGATGGCTGGGTGTATGGAATTGATGTGGTCCAGGAATTGGTCTAGAGCAGGCCGGCCATGTGGCCAGATGACAAAAGTGTCATCCACGTACCTCTTCCATAAGGTTGGGCGCAGAGTGGCAGTCTGGATGGCGTCAGTCTCAAATTTCTCCATGAAAATGTTGGCTACAACCGGAGATAGGGGGGAGCCCATTGGGGTGCCCTCAGTTTGTTTGTAGAAAGTTCCATTCCAAGTGAAGTATGTATTGGTTAAGCAGCGTCTCACCAGGGGGGGTACCTCAGTGTTTAGTCCTTGATGAATCAAGTCTTCAATGATTGCGATGGTGTCAGGTACAGGAACTTTGGTGAATAAGGAAACTACATCTAAACTGATAAGCAGGTCGTCTGGGGACAGGGAAATACCCTTGATTGTCGTTACCAGGTGGGTAGAATTTTCTACTGCAGAGGTGGTTTTTCCAGTGAAAGGCCGCAGGATTTCAGACAGAAAACGAGCCAGTTTGTAGGTGGGGGAGTTGATAGTAGAGACGATGGGACGAAGGGGTGTATCTACTTTATGTATTTTTGGTAAGCCGTATAATCTTGGTGGCCTGGCAGTAGAAGGTTTCAACGAGAACTGTTTGGTTTGATCAATTAATGCGGTTGAATCAGAAATTATTTTGTTGGATTGTATGACAAGGCTGTTGGTGGGATCTCTTTTTTTGTATAGCTGCCATTGTGGAGTAATTCTTGAATTTTGTTGTTATATTCTATTTTATCCATGATGACAGTGGCATTGCCCTTGTCGGCTGAGAGGATGACAATGTCATCCCTCTTTTTTATTTATATAATTCAAAACGCTCATATTTGCTGAGGTTGCTAGCTGGCATCTTAGCGTTTTTGAGGGTTGCAGCAATTTCAGATCTTGCTACGTCTGCAGCGATGTGACCCAGGCCCTTGAGAGCCACGTCTACTTGGGCAATCGGATTGGGAACATGTAGACAATATGACTGCCTCTTCAGCTGACACTATGTCGACCAAATGTAAAGACAACCTGATTTCCCAATTTAACCTCTCCAACAAAAGATCGGACCCACACACCAAAAAGCTAGACGTTAACAAAGTCGTAAGTAATCGCAGTAACAGTTCGATTTCCAACGGTCTGAAATCCGTTTTAGCTAAAGGGCTAAACTTTGCAGTCACACCGAAACATATACCAGTTAATGATATCATTGAATAAACACAAGACGCAGGTCCGATTCAACACTTTACATAAAATCCGTGATCTGGTGCTGTCTGTAAAAGATGTGATTCCGGACATACAGTACCCTGGCGTCTACAAACTAAGTTGCCTCTCTGGTAGTAGTTACATTGGAGAAACCAAACGACATGTCTCAGACCGCATCCGTGAACACAAAACAGACCTAAAACACGGTAGGACCAACACCTCGGCTGTGGCAGATCACTCTTATAATTCAGTAGGCTCACATGACATTGACTTCTCCAAGACAGAGGTTCTCTGCAAGCCATCTGGCTACCATGAGAGATTCGTTCATGAGGCTATCCACATATACAAACACAGAGACAATTTCAACCGAGAAGATGGATTCTGGCTTAGCAGTCATTGGAAGGATTTGATAAACCATTTCGGGTCTTAATTGATTGTTCACGCTTACGGTGGCTTTCAGACCGCATCCATTATTTCTGTCTCCCCCCTCCTCTTTTCCGAACAAAGATGGACTCGTCCATCTGAACAAACTGTCAAATCGCTCTCCGTGGTGCTAACATTAAAAATAACCGCCACTTTTTTCAAATTTTCTTGCTGTGGTTTTCACACCTGTTGATGATTGCTTGTGTTGCAGTCGAAACGTTGTGAGAATTTTATTGTTTTATATTTTTATTATTTTATTGTTTCCCTTCTACAGTGAGGGAAAAAAGTATTTGATCCCCTGCTGATTTTGTACGTTTGCCCACTGACAAAGAAATTATCAGGCTATAATTTTAATGGTAGGTTTATTTGAACAGTGACAGGCAGAATAACAACAAAAATCCAGAAAAACGCATGTCAAAAATATTCTAAATTGATTTGCATTTTAATGAGGGAAATAAGTATTTGACCCCCTCTCAATCAGAAAGATTTCTGGCTCCCAGGTGTCTTTTATACAGGTAACGAGCTGAGATTAGGAGCACACTCTTAAAGGGAGTGCTCCTAATCTCAGCTTGTTACCTGCATAAAAGACACCTGTCCACAGAAGCAATCAATCAATCAGATTCCAAACTCTCCACCATGGCCAAGACCAAAAAGCTCTCCAACGATGTCAGGGACAAGATTGTAGACCTACACAAGGCTGGAATGGGCTACAAGACCATTGCCAAGCAGCTTGGTGAGAAGGTGACAACAGTTGGTGCGATTATTCGCAAATGGAAGAAACACAAAAGAACTGTCAATCTCCCTCGGCCTGAAGCTCCATGCAAGATCTCACCTCGTGGAGTTGCAATGATCATGAGAATGGTGAGGAATCAGCCCAGAACTACACGGGAGGCTCTTGTCAATGATCTCAAGGCAGCTGGGACCATAGTCACCAAGAAAACAATTGGTAACACACTACGCCGTGAAGGACTGAAATCCTGCAGCGCCCGCAAGGTCCCCCCTGCTCAAGAAAGCACATATACATGCCCGTCTGAAGTTTGCCAATGAACATCTGAATGATTCAGAGGACAACTGGGTGAAAGTGTCGTGGTTAGGTGAGACCAAAATGGAGCTCTTTGGCATCAACTCAACTCGCCGTGTTTGGAGGAGGAGGAATGCTGCCTATGACCCCAAGAACACCATCCCCACCGTCAAACATGGAGGTGGAAACATTATGCTTTGGGGGTGTTTTTCTGCTAAGGGGACAGGACAACTTCACCGCATCAAAAGGACGATGGACGGGGCCATGTACCGTCAAATCTTGGGTGAGAACCTCCTTCCCTCAGCCAGGGCATTGAAAATGGGCCATGGATGGGTATTCCAGCATGACAATGACCCAAAACACACGGCCATGGCTCAAGAAGAAGCACATTAAGGTCCTGGAGTGGCCGAGCCACTTTCCAGACCTTAATCCCATAGACAATCTGTGGAGGGAGCTGAAGGTTCGAGTTGCCAAACGTCAGCCTCGAAACCTTAATGACTTGGAGAAGATCTGCAAAGAGGAGTGGGACAAAATCCCTCCTGAGATGTGTGCAAACCTGGTGGCCAACTACAAGAAACGTCTGACCTCTGTGATTGGCAACAAGGGTTTTGCCACCAAGTACTAAGTCATGTTTTGCAGAGGGGTCAAATACTAATTTCCCTCATTAAAATGCCAATCAATTTATAACATTTTTGACATGCGTTTTTCTAGATTTTTTTTATTGTGATTCTGTCTCTCACTATTCAAATAAACTTACCATTAAAATTATAGACTGATAATTTCTTTGTCAGTGGGCAAACGTACAAAATCAGCAGGGGATCAAATACTTTTTTTCCTCACTGTACGTGACTTTACCGAAAGAACCAAGAATATGACACATTTATATGTACGCGATCTAACTAAAAAAAACCTCTATCTAACATCACAGTTAGGATAACCCTTGTGATGCCATTGCGAGATAACCCCCGTACGTTTCAATGTCACTCAATTGATGTCACCAAAGCACTTCTGACTGTAATTTTCAAGTCTATCCCTCATTAATAAAGCTTCATGTCAGACAACCTTGCACACACAACCGAGGTGTGTATCTGCAAGGGCTTTTTGTTATTGGGTTGCCTCGTTATCAAAGACCTGGGCAGGTATCAGCTGAAATAGAATATATCTCATTTACAAATACAGCACACGCAAGTAAGCACACACAATCTACGTGACCAAAGCATTGATCATAATAGACGATGATTAACACTGAATGGCTCTTGCCCAGAGAAAAAAATGTTCACGTAGTTTTCACTGTGCACAGTGCTTCTCAACAATTCACAAAACCTAGACGTTTGCGTTTAAAGACACGTAAGGAAATACGTAAGTGGTATTCTTACCAGGACACCTGTGCTAATCGGTTCCGGATACAGGCATAGTCCTCCTTTGGTATTAACACATGCGCAGCTGTTTGTTGTCGCATTAAAAAATGTGTCTCCGCACCGTACACACCTGCGTGCGTGCAGGACGGGGGCAGAGGTCAGGTTGCATTTTTTTAATAACAAAGTGAGCATCGTGGGATTTGAAGATAGGTGGTAAGGCTGGGATGGTGAGCCGTATGCGTATTAAAGAATTGCTTACATGTTACCCTGCGAGTTTGGGACTGTGCCATTCACGCAAGAAATGCAGCTTGCCTCTGTGAGTAGACTTCCATTCTGTTCTCGCTCCACTGATCAATAAAAGGAGAGCACAAAACGCTTTTTTCACGCGGATTGTAGCATTCAAACTTAAGTTTCACCGTTCAAATGAGCATGGAGAGGTGCTCATCTTTGATTATTTCCAGAGTCAATAATGGAGACTTCACGTTCTGCTGGCTAGTACCAGTATATTCCATGACAACCACTGCAGTTGTGAGTGTGATAGTGATTGTTTGTGGAAGAAATAATAATGTCAAGTCAGTGTCTCTATTCAAATGTGCTTCATGGCGGATATTACACAATCTCATGGCGTGGACCAGTCTCTCCATATGACAACCACTGTTGGTTTCCCATACAGGGGTATTCATGTTATAAGCCTCAACGGGAAAGAGTTGACACATGACCAGAACTTTCAACTTTCTGAATGAGTCGACAACTCTAACCTCAGCACTAACATGGACAGATGATGACCGTGTAGAATGCATTTTAACAGATCGCACAATGCAATGATTTTACTTCATTGTTTTTTAGGGGGTTCACACTTGTTACTGAAACAACTTAATTACTGTATTATAAAAAAGTGTATTGGCTGGATGCCTCGGTGGATTCCTGTCTGACTGGGTTCTGCAAGCCTGCGCAGTGATGACGTCACAACGCAAAGGCACATATGCGTGATGACGTCGCCCATATCCCACAGCGTTGAGCTGGATTTGTGCCTGCTGACGTTACGACTCCTTCCCAATCCACCCTCCATCCCGGCTGTCGTACACAATTGTTTTAGAGAAGAGAGAAAAGGAGAGGGTGCGGGAGGGAGATAGAGGGAGCTAGGGGAGAGAGAGGGAGGTGATGCAGGGAGGGAGATAAAGGAGGGAGGTGAGGGCGGCGGTTAGAGAAGGGAGGTGAGGGAGGAGTAGAGGAGATAGAGTGCGGCTAGGGAGGGAGACAGATTAAGGAGGAGAGGGAGGGTGACAGAGGAGGGAGGTGAGGGAGATAGAGGAGTAAGTGATGGAGAGGGACAGAAATAATACGAGGAGGGACTGAAAGGGCATCAAACGGAGAGGAAAGAGAGAGCAAAGTGGAAAGAGGGTGAGGAAAGCGACCACCGTGGCAGGGCAGATTTGGGAGAGGCAGGAGAGGCTGAGATGGGAAAGGGAGACATGAGAATAAGCAGGGCGAGCGTGAGAGTTAAGAGAGAGAAACAAAGTGGGTGATATGCAGTGTAGGGAGAGGGAGAATTATAGTGGGAGAGGTAGAAGAGGGGACAGAGGAATAGAGACATAGAAACAGAGACAATGCGTAAATTTGAGTTAAAATTGGATATGTGGAAGAGAGAATTCAAGAGAAAGTCGGGGAGATGAATCTTTATCAAATAAAAGTGTTGCTGGCTAGCTGGCTGAGATGGATGGATAGCCTGTCACTTCCAGAGAATGAACAGGTTGCTAGTACAGTCATATCCAGATTCACGCCCTCCCGTTTTACGTACTTTCGCTATAACATACTCAACGTATTCATACCCAATCCAGATTTACGTAGTGTGACACCTCTCCATAATGTGCTCGCGATTTACAAACTTTAACATGAGGACCCACATCCTTTAGGTTGCACTGCGACATTAATATACATTTACTTTTCACACTAACAGGTGCACAGAATAGATGCGCAAGAGGTAACCGAGCATCCTCTGTTTAGGTACTGTACCATGTCAAGATGCACCATCCAATCTCCTTGCTTCGATTTAAGTACTTTCTATGTATGTTCTGGTTTTCAGGAATTAATCGTGGGCGTAAACCGGGATATGTCTGTATAACTGAATATCGTTGAAAGGCAACATATACAACTCAAAGTACAAGCATGGAATTAAATAGGGAGAAAAAAAGATCGTTTACCTAGAATTGCTGCATTGTTACACTTGCAGGTACGATTAACACTATTCAGAAAAGCAGTTGGACATCCAATGCATGTCCTGCCATCTTGGCCCACGATATTCTGCACAACAATGATGGGAAGAGGATATTCATTATGCTTTACATTATTGTTGTCAGACAATTCACCACATAATGTTATTTCAGTACAAAGTCAAAGTATCTTCCTGCTTAAATTAATATTGGGGAGGCACTTACCCTTGCTGGTAGCTCTGGGTCTTTAGCATAAATTCAAAATTCGCATGACAATGGACAACTTTTTCGTAAACAACCAACTAATGAATGATCACAAAACATTAGAATAGGTTTTCCCCGCTTTTCTGGCAACAAAACAGGTGTTAAGATGTTAAAACACCAAACTGAAACCTTTAACAAGGAATAATGTCAGAATGCAAATATTCAGACCACAAGTATTGTGGTTAATGCAGACATGATTCCTTATAAAAGGTTTCAGTTTGGTGTTTTAACATCTTAACACCGCTGTTTTGTTGCCAGAAAAAGGGGAAAACCTATTCTCATATTTTGGTACTGGCAAAGGAGGTCCCATGAAGATCACAAAACAGTTTATATTTTATTGACCTCAGTGATGATGAGGTGAGTGAACTAGTGACAGGGACTTGAACTCACAACTTGTGAGTTGCTCTAAAAAAATTGGCTGCCAAAACTGCCATTTTATCACCAACCTCATTATGTACCTGTCACTCACTAAATACACTCTGTAGTGACAACTATTTGAGGTCGGCTAAATAAAGTTAAACATAATGGACTGTGGGTATTAAAAAAAAACATACTTTTTGAAAAATGCATAAATAGAAATACCAGGGCTTGTTACACAACAACACATAAAATTCAGTTTACCAGCTGTAAACCTTTAACTTCCCATGTTTCCAGTAGCATTTGTTAAAGGCAAGAGCTGCCCATGACAGAAATATTGCATTGAGTGGGCTCTGTGGTGACGAGACTCAGAAAATCAAGACTAGTATAGTGTCTGTTGCTTAAACAGCTGCTGGAAACCAATGGTCCAGAAGGACGGCAGACCGACAAACGCAAATTGTATTCTTTGCTATGTGTCTTGTTATTGAAACAAACCCATGCCTGTATGTTCACTTCATCTTTTTTTGTACAGTCATTGCTTACTGGGTTGATACCATCATAAGATCCTTAAACAATTAAAAACTCAATATTCATAAATAGCACTGCCTTGATAGGAAAAGTATATAATAGGCAACGACCCTTCTTCATAGAACATTAAGAAAACATGAATCAAAGCACGTAATTTATGCGCTATGATTTAAGGCAGTGTTATTGACCAATGTGCTGAGCTTTTTTTGTCAATTGTCCTTGTGCACCACTGCCAACACAGATATATGGCCACCAAATGTTCTTTAACTTGGTTAAGTCATAGTGCTTTGGCTCTGACATTTTTCAGATTTAAGTGAAAATTGGTCAAAAGTTAAAAGCTGTAGTCTAGTATTAGTCTAAAGTTAGTGTATACAATTACTCATTTTACTGCACTTGGTTTAAACAAATATAAATTTGCAGTAACAATGATGCTACACAACAGTGATGTGGTCAGTACACACTTAGAAAGAACTACAGTATTTAAGAAACAAATTATGTCTTATTGTGCGTGTTTAGAGTTTAAGTGTGGTGGAGTGAAGTGTGGTCAGATTCTACTCACAGTTCCACACGATTCACACACGATGGATCCACCGGTGTCATATTTCAACCTATATCCAGGCCCGCACGTGCACGACTTACCTGCCATCCAACACAGATCATTCACATGAGACAGTATTTCAATTATCAGCCAAAACACTCACTTATAATAGCTATTAGTAAGTAAATATCAATACGTTTCTCAACTGGTTTGTGAACACCGTCAGTTAATGACCAGATTCTCACACGAGGCACTCAAGATTCATCCCACAGCGATTTGACGAATTGTCACGTTTTTGGGACCGCAAATTTATTTCAGAAATTAATTAGGTTTTTGTTTGTTTGTTTTGTTATTGCCGTGCGCTCTCATCTGTGCTTTTCTTTTAGACGATTAAAGAAAGCGCGCTTTGTTGGGACTATAAGAGTGGTAGAGAATACTGCCAAACACGTGCGGAACGTCTCCAAGAGAGGGCGAGCACCGGGGGGGATGGAGCGACCACAACCAGCCCCGTGCGCGGCTGGCTTGGTGGTTCATTGCATCGCACAATCGTGAGAGGCGGCCGGCGGGCTTGTGGAGGCCTTCAACCAGCAGTGGATTGATCATGGCTGGTGGTGGTGATGATGATGAAATGTGCACAAAGACAAAGATCCGCCCCGTATAGGAACGCCAGAACACTGCGGAAAGTTCTGTTTGCGAGCGCCTATGAACCTGCGTGCGTGTTGTTGTGGGCCCAACCCCAACCCCCGGGCCGCCTTTGTCTCCCCAACCCTGACGTTTAACAACCGCCGCGCCGGGTTCCAACTTAAGGCCGAGTCGACCTAGGCGAGCCCCCCCCCCCCAACCGGTCGAGACGTTCCCTCACCGTCGGGCGCTTTGATGGCGTTCAGGCCGCAAGGGGTGCAACGCAGCTCGGGGCCGTTCCAGAAGGAGGTCATGTCGCACGTATTGATGTCGGGCAGCTCGAAGACGACGGTGGCGTGCGCCGTGCGGGGGCAAAGCGCCGCGATCAGCAGCAGCAGCGCCGCCGCCGTGACCGACTTCACCAGCGTCTCCATCGCGGCGGCCATCTGCACGCGTAACCTGGGGCAACGCGGGCGAGCCGCCAGCGTCGCGGTGGGGGGGGCGTGGTGAAGAAACCAAAGCGGCCATCTTAGTGAGGGAGACGACCCCTCGGGGGTAGCAGCAATCTTAGTGAGCGAGATAACCCTCTCGGGGTAGCGGTCATCTTAGTGAGGGAGACGACCCCCTCGGGGTAGAGGCCATCTTAGTGAGGGAGACGACCCCCTCGGGGTAGCGGTCATCTTAGTGAGGGAGACGATCCCCTCGGGGTAGCGGTCATCTTAGTGAGGGAGACGACCCCCTCGGGGTAGCGGTCATCTTAGTGAGGGAGACGACCCCCTCGGGATAGCGGCCATCTTAGTGAGGTAGACAACCCCATCGGGGTTGAGGGCATATTTGTGTGTCAAGCCACGCATAATCAAAATCTGTATTTATCCTGGAGAAATTCGATGAGCTATAAAGCTCTTTATAACAGATGTCCAGTAGGGGTGGATCGGATAAGTTACAAAAAAACCAATGACGGGGTAGTTTTATGCGTAGAACGTCACATTTATAGTACGTATTGGATTATGTACTACAGGTGATCAACGAGATCGCGTGTGTTAGCCCGCTAAAGTGTGGGTATTCCCATCTCTTCCAACTCGCAACGGTTCTGCAGAGCGATTTAGCCGAAACCATTCCACCGTCAATAGCGTGAGAAAGCAATTATAAGGGCTACAACTTTCATATACAATAGGCAAATTTATTACTTTGTTGTTGTTTTTTTATCTACGTGACTTAACCGAAAGACCCAAAGAATATAATAGGCCAATGGTAGAATTAGATCAAAACCGAAAACTACAGACGGGAGAGACAGACAATGAGTTCATGCATCTTGAGAGCATGGCCAGGCCATGCTGGTGGAAGGAAAATGGATGGTCGCTCGTCACTACCAACGATGGAATGGTGGCTCAGGAGTGGCGTGAGAGGGCAATTGGGGGGGTATTTTAATAGTTACTGTAAGGGGCCGTCCATAAATGACGTCACGCGATTTTGGACGATTTTTGATCCCCCCCCCCCTCGTCACACGGCGTCACAGAAACTCAGACCCCCCCCCCCTCAAATATGACGTCACAAAGCTCTGCACCCCACCCCCCCCCCAAAAAACATATTTCCATTTTAAAAATAAAACATGCTTCAAATCGCTTTAAACTATTGTCATTGTAGTAGTGCGTATTTAATGTGGCGCTGCACTCTGATGTTGTAGGAGAAAAGATTTATTTAAAAAAAGTCTATTTAATTAAGTAGAACGTGTTGTCTGTATTGATTTAAAGTTGTGAATTTTGATGACGTCACATTTCAAACCCCCCCCCCCCCCACCCTCGTCACAAATGTCTGACCCCCCCCCCCGGTGCATGACGTCATTTATGGACGGCCCCAAAGTCATACGCCAACATCTTCAATGTCCTCGCCCATTATGGAGTATACAATGAAAGGGATTTGCATTTTAGGATGCACTTTAACAGTTCGGGCTCATAAGATCAATTTAATAAGGGAGCCGGTCCGATGAATCTTGCCCAAAATTGGGAAAATGCAAATTAGTTTAAATTTGTAAATTATGAAATTCTAGAGATGCAAATTATTGATCAATTACATAAAAAAAACAATGTCATACAAGAGGAATCGTACGATTTTCAGCTTAACATTTGTAGAAATTTGAGCGAGAGAAAATTTTATACGAAAGGGGATATTACAATAAATTTGGCTTGGTCAGTAACGTATTTGCTGCACTCTCTTCAATACATGAACAACCCCCGATCCACTGCTGGATGAGGGCCGCCCCACACCATGTCTAAATGGACCATGCTTCACGCAACTAGTCAGTACAGGTTGAAGGCAGTAAGCATAGTGCAGTACAACGAATGCAGACGAACTGCCTTCTGCTGCTGTGACTCCAATAGCAGCCTCTTTAATATACCGCCTTATTCCAAGGCGTTTTCCAACAATTCTACATAAGTTAGTGTCTGAAATAGGCGTTGTTAAAAGTGGTGTTCTTGTTATGGTTACAGAACAGGTGGGAGTTGTTCAGACGAGGTTTATACAGGGTGATTCAAAAAACAATGTTAACACTTCCGAAAATTTGCAACAGTACAAGAAATGTGCCTCCAGGCACTGGAGACCACCTGGAGAAGATTCCAGGCATGTGTTGACGATGATGGCAAATAAGTGGACACCTTTAACTTTTTGAAGCTATTAACAAACATTTGTTATCATGTTAGTGTATTATCCGTTATTTTTCCATTAAAAACTATAGTCCCATATAGGAGTTAACATTTTTTTGAAGCACCGTGTGTATATTGCTTGTCAGTTGGTCATCCATTTACATGTATCCAGGCTGAAACTTGCTTACCTTATAAAGCCGACGAAATCATGCCATGCGATTTGGTCATAGGTGTCAAAATAAAGTCAGCCATATAGCCTCCACAAAGCCCCACAGTTGAGTTTCACAAATTATAGGATTCACCAATCCTTGCCGTCAATGCACTGTTTTACCAGTGTGTGTGTTGCCAATGACCAAAATAACGAGCGTAGACAACAAAAATGTGGTAAATTCAAACTGAAACAGATTTTTTTATTGGCAATTGAACATTAATAACGATACACATTGTCACACGTGTCCCTGTGCACGGAACCGGAATAAAAAGACAACTTTTGGTTTGTCCGTGCGGTGGCACGTGATGCAGATTTGGGATGCCCTCATTTTCAGGCGCTCCAAATATCAGAAAATCAAAAGCAGCCATGAACTGAAATAGGGAGGAGGGGGGCAAGCAGTTTGGGGATGGAGTACACACGCCAAATTAACTACCCCTACTACCCCTTATCGAACAACCCTGCCGACAGTTGGAGCTCTCCCACAAACCCAAAACTGCTGTCCATTTCAATAATTTGTTCTGTTTTCAGTTTTGGTGTCCACAGCACCATGAGTGGATGTGCATGAACAGCTTAAGTGCATAAAGTCCCTCCTAAAAAAAACTGTTAAAAACTGGAATGTTACGTGAAGTAGGATTTTTAAAACATTGCAATGGAAGAATTAAAAAAAAACAACACTGCTTTGTTACAATGGATGTGCTCCTCCCACTGCAGTCAACTAAAAACACTGACTGTTCAAATTCACGTTCCACATTAAGTAAAAAAAAGGAGCATTAATAAATGTCCATGTATTGTACTATTATTTTTAATCACGCTTTTTAAAAAAAAAATATTAATTGTATTACTTTGCAACTTTTTAAAAAGAATATTGTTAAATTCTTTACAAGGTCATGTGATGGAAGCAGGGCCCCCCATTTAAACCCAACTAGAATGGTCACAACTGTTCCCTGAAATCATGGGAATTAAATGTTTGTGGCTTTCAATTATTGGAAGCATTTGCCAAGAACCAAACTGCAAACCCCACACAGTATCATCCGCCATCTTGTGATAAAAAAATATTCACTAGAGAACTGCTCCAGGTATTACTCGTTGCTGTTACAGGCCACCATTTGATATTCTACAAAAAGAAAAACAAAATAACTCGTTCGATCCATTATCAGGTTAATTGCACCGTAGACAAGTTACACACTTGCTAAAACAGACTGAGAAACTTACTTTTGAACAAATGCCAAGCATGCGACTTGTTAAAATCCCTGCAATCTGATGTGGCATCATTCCATGTGGGCCATCACAACGTACATACGGTAAAGCATAAATAAGACTGATACATAGCGGCAAATATGGCTCCGAGGCTTTGCACGAGCATTAATTGTCTTTTGTTTTTATAACTTGGAAATTTGTCGATTTTATTTTCCCTCTCCAAGAAAAAAAACCTGATATAACGATCACCAAATATTGAAATTCATTTGGAGCAAAAAAAACACTTGAATTCTGCTGTAATATCACACCCCCTCACAAACGGTTCAAATTCCCTGAATTAAAAAAAAAACCCAATACTGGCAGCCAAAAGGAGCCCTTAAAAGGCTTCTCAACCAGTACCATCTGCCAATCAAACCCTGCAAAACTGCATCTCATCCTACTGAAACAGCACTGTCAATGATTGTGCGCAGAAGGACCTTGCGGCACTCTGCACATGTCGGAATGCATCTAGAATCTACAGGTCCCAGATTAAGGCCATCACCAGTCCCACCGTTTGGGAGGCAGTGATCCACAAACATTTTTTTTTGGAAGTAGTGACCCCATGATGGAATTTGAGAGATTCCTTGCACCAAGTGTGGGCCCTTGAATGCAAAAAAAAACGTTTTAGGAGGCAGGCGAGCATGCAGGGAGGCACCTAAAATGGGGGATATTTGGGAAAGGCCTTGCCCAAATCCTTAGGTCCTGACATCGCCTGTGATGGGGTGGAGTACAAGGCCTGCCCTTGCACAGCTTTGTTGCGTGTGGCTCGAGTCTCGTTTTGAGGTTGCCGTGTACGTTTTAAGAACAGTTGTACAAACCCAGGTTTCTCCATGCTAGTAATGTAGACGGTACATAGTGCTATACTCGCAACTTCAACCATGTGCAAATTCAAATAATATTAATAAAAACACAATGTGCACAATGTAAAATTCCTAAAGGATGTTAAGCAAAACTATTTTTTGTTGTTTTTTTTTTTTAAATAACCACAATAACAATGAAAACACAGTTGTTTCATCCGCCGGTGTTTTTTCAGAACTGGACTGGCCACATCACAGATACAAATTCAAGCACACGAGGCAACCCAGGCACTCTTATTTTACAACCCTGGATTTATATACTCACCACACCGCCCACGGCGTGCAATGCCACCACAGTGACGCGTGTTTGACGCGAAACAGTGGCGACTTGCAAACCATTGCTTTCGAGTCACGTTCACAAGAACATGACAATGCGCAGAATTAAGCGGTTAAACAACTCGTGAATAAAAACAGTACCGGTGACTTCATTTCTATTTTATTAACTTTACTAATTGACGTAAATGTTTATATATATATTAAATTGCCCGTTAGGGTGCCTAGAACTGATATTTTTTATTTCCTTTCTTAGTATACAATTGCTTTTGTTGGGCTTTTTTTAATGTTAAACACTTAGTACAAAATTAAAAATGGAAAAAGCCACATTAAAACCTATCGCTTGATATCTAAGGTCTGATAGGCATAATAGCTCTTGGTCTACAAAACGTATGTCTTTGCATTGCCACGCGTTAGCGGTAAATCCTACCTGCTGTCATTCCTGCACAAATTATCAGCTGCCGTACAATAAACACGCGTCGGCTTTCCATTGTACACCCAGGCTGCGATGATCTTTACCAGCGCTGCACAAGGGAAACATTGCATAGTAAAATGACGCATTACAAAAATCAAAACCAAAACCAAGTGCATTAATCACGCAACTTCATATTATATAGAGTTTAGCAAAAACACGGCAAGGTGATCCTTTACACGAATATCCACCTTAATGACGCACGGCCAATCCTATGTAAGCGTTTCACCGCTTTAAAACAAAATATGCAAGAGTACAGCATAGAGAACTGCATGTGCTTCCTTTAAGAACGTTTAAAGCAGGAAAAGTTAACGACAAATTCACTGTCGGATAAAAAACGCTGAAACGTCGTAGATGTTGCATGAACCCATCTTAATGGAGGGGGATCCTTTTAAAAAAAAACTTCCATCTGAGGTTTCCTCCAAAGATTGAATTAACTGCATCTGTGCTTCCAACCAAGAAACCAAAAGCAATGCATGTAGCTATGGAGATTATCCAATAGCGGCGAATGTTCTCTACAAATCTCTGCAATGGCTTGCACACAAACACCCACAGCCAACACCGTACGGTACTGCCACGAGCACATTGGTTGTGGCATATCTGTTCGGTGGACCCACGGAACTTCATGTCCACTGTGTGTATAAACTGCAAATGATAGCAGGTGGCACAAGTGGCTGAATGGAATCCTGGTAAAAACCAGTCAATCACAAATGTTTCGGATAACTTTTGCACTTTCTTTTAGTTGCGACGCTAAGCGGACGGCTGCCGCATGGCATCAAATGACAAACCGGTCGGAGAACAGTTTCACAACACCACGGAAGCAGGAGGAAGTGTAGAGCGCAACAAGATATGGTCACGTGGCGGGGGGCTCCAATCAAAGTGTTGCCTTTCAAAAGTGGCGGTAAAAGCAACGTGGCATCCACCGGTACATTAAATTCCCACTGCCTAATCACGACTCGTGGGGAAGTCATGAAAACCAGGTTAGGGAGGAGGGGTGGGAGGGTCTGCCAGATGGAGAGCACTTTAGCGCGACTGTTGGCTTGGTTCACTGTAAAAAAAAAACTGCAACCCAAAAAAAGCAACGTAGTTTGCGCAAACGTGGTAACGTATGAGCCGTTACAAAACCACCGCCGCCACCGTGAAGCTGAATCTGAAATAAAACACGGTGGACGCTACCTGATGGAACTGGCACTTTTTTTTAGTTTTAACCCCAACAAACCTGCGCGTTTCAGTTTAAAAGGGCCGTTGTGTTTACATGTATAAAATGCTGGTCACCAACAATGCATCTTACGTAACGGTATTGCACAAATATACACGCCTGTTATTTCTTAGTGGGGATGATTGCATAACACCCAGACAACACTGGAGTGGTTGTTAACGTGTTGAACCAAAACGCTCCCGGGTCGCAGGAGCATTCGTGTATATTCATTCAAAACGCAGAAAGCACAGAGCATCAAAACGCACGGCCGCAAGCCCTAAGCGACACCTCGCACAGCGGTCAAGCATCAACGTGGCACGCACAACCAATGTGCTCAATGCTGCACAAGTTAGGAGCGGATGTTAAAATGTAAAAAATGCTTCGTGCCAGCAACCGCCCTTTCATTCCCGTGTCTATTTCACTATAATACACTTTACACCCTGAAATGGGCTGCCAACTTTGACACGTCCAAAACATTGTTGATTTTCAAAGCACATTTGTCTTAATGTTTTATCAGCTCAAAAGCAAGAGCTAATGGCGGGTAAAAGGAACAAAAGTGCGGGAATTAAAACATGAACCAGTGATCTTGAGAGCGCCTATGAAGTTGCACACATTAGCGTTACAGTATAACCGTCACATTCACAGCCACATTTGGCCTAGCCTCGTTCTTACGTGGAGCACGGCCAAAACATTCGAGACCCGAGGCATTTCACCCTAAAATATCACGAATACTGCCAGCTATGCTCCCGGGTTACGTTTGGCAGCCACCAAAAACACTTTGGGGCAAATATAACGAAGAGGGCAGAGTGACACTCTACAAAGTGCTTGCCAGCATTGCAGTTGCATCGGTCATCCCATGATCTCTAACCAGCAAGCCACCTTGTGTTTTACTTGCAATGGTGCAGTTATCAAAGCGATGCGCAGGGCTCGCAACCACCAATGCGAAAGTTTGAGATGGGTTATGGGGGCAGCAACCTTTACACGCGGGCTCTTGGGCGCGCACACACACACAAACACACACACTGGCCCATCTACATTTTGCACCTGCGCACCCGGTTAGTCAAATCAGGCCACCATTTACTTAACCTTCTGTAAATCCTACAGTACAATTAATCAGGTTTGGAGTGCTGGGGGTTGGGGGACTGGATCTTAAGACCGCGCATGGCCCGCTCTGGCTGTTGTTACGTATGCGAAACTCTTTCACCATCGCCTAACACGGAGCGACGCCACTTAGGTGTGCCGAAATCAAGCGCCTAGGTCAGTGCACTTTGTATTTATGAGGTTAATGGAAGCACAGCTTCCACGAGCTACATTATCGAAATTCGAACCGTATTAAAATCATCATTTACAGTCGATATTTCAACATTATTCCATCAATATATACAACTGTTTAGCAAAAATATTCTTGTAGTAAACATGCAATGTGTTTGTATGTATAGGTTTAGTTTCACTTGTTTAAAAATACATAACTAGTTTTAATTTCCCTTCACAATACCTTACAACACTGGCTCTTAATATATTTTATTTTCGTTTTGTTTTGCTTGTAACACAAAAAAATAGCTGTACAAGTGTGTTTAAAAAAAATGGTAAAATGAGATTTCATTTTTTGGCTACCTGGAATTTAGCAATTCACAATTTCTCTGCAACCTCCTTTGCAGTTGAGCGCGACAGATTTCTTCGTTTATTTACGGTTGTTGCCGTTTCTCCTTCCACCTCTATGTCCTGACACATGGCAATAAAATAACCGCGCGGATATAAAAATGAAAGTCATTCAGCTCATGTGAAAAAAAAAAACAAAGAGCCACACAAGCAACAATGTTCTTTTGCTTCTGGGCTGATGTAGGCAGGACATCTGGAAGAAAGGCATGAATGCAGAGTCTTCACAACACAACTGTGGGCACACGCGAGGGTTGGTGCACTTGCTCTCGTACGCTGTCGCTTAATAAGCCACGGAGTGGCCAGTTTTAAAACCTCGGCCGAGGTCTCGCCTCGGATTCTTGGCCCAGGCTAGACTCTACAACCTGCACCTTGGCAGGACCAGAGGTGGTCGGGCCTGAATCTCAGTCACGGAGGAATTTAACCCAAATCTTCACCCAAGCAGGATCACTGTGGATTCTGGCAAATGATCGGAACCTGAACCTTACCCCAAGCAGGACAACGGAGGTCTAACTCAATCACGAGCCTTGACCCTTTCGTGGATGCCTCGACAGGGAGAGGAGTGAAGTGACGCGAGCTGCCGGGGCTGTTGTGGGTAGGTGGCTGTGGCGACGACGATGGTGGAGGCCGCTACGGTTGGTGGTTGTTGTGCTGCCCGCGGCGGTGCCTGCGCCGCATGCTGTAGTAGCTGTGGCTCGTCCGGCCGCTGCTCCCCGGCGCGGGTGGACGCCCATCGCTGGGCCCCGAGTGGGGGTGGGCATCTCTGGGCACGGTGTACCTGTAATCATCCACCTGGAAAAAAATAAAAAAACAATAGCGGCAGCGGCCTTAACAAAGACAACCGAGAACCCACATATCCAATTACGTATTTGTCATGCAAATATTAACGAGCGGACTGAGAACGCCAACTCATTACACACCTGTCCCCAGCTAAAATGACAGGCAGCCAAAACCTGGATTCAAATTCGGCATCTCAGTGATGTCAGGTTTAGTTCTTCGACCCCCGAGCCACCTCGGACACTGCCACAGGGTGCAAAAGATGCGGCCGTGAATTGCTACACCAACTGTTCAGAACAAACCCCAGGGCAAGCGTATCGCCTGCCCAAGTGCCGGGGGAGTTTGGGGGGAGGAGAGAAAAAAAAACAACAACAAAAAATCACCTGGCGATAGCGGGGATTCCGGATGGGCTCGTAGGCCACGCTGTAGGGAGCCGGTGTTGGCAGCAAGTAGTCGGGGACAGCCCTCGCCCCAGCAAATGGCGCGCACGGGAATCCTCCCGAGGGCAAAATTCCCACCATGAATTCCTGGTGGTGGAGGCAAGGGACAACCTCGCATGTGTGGGTCTCCAACAACCAAAAAGGTGCCACACGGACGTGTGTGCTTGTGTACCTTACAACAGCATATATAGGCGTAACTTCGTATCTTGACACTAAATAATCGCCGAATCCCAAGACGCCGTGCGACAGAAAAGATCACCGGTGGCGGACGAGGGGGGGGGTTGGAGGGGATTGTGATGGAGGGGGGCAGTCCGTTATAGGTGGTGTATAATACTCGTGCCCTCGACTCGAATAGGTGGAGAGAGACTTATCAGTGTTTACAACCAAGGGGGGAGTTCCAGACAGTGGACCCACACATGAGCGAAGATCGACTGGCAATATTGATAGGAGACCTTGGTTACTGCGTGGCAGGGTGGCGCAGTGGTTCGATTTCCGGCTCGGACGCCATTATGTCTGGCGTTTGTATATTCGCCCCCTGTTCTGCATGGATGTCCTCTGTATTCTCCGGTTTCTTTCCAAGACTAAAAAAAAACAACAACATACAATGCAACTGGCATTGGCCAAAAATTCCAATGCTAAAATATAAACCTGAACGTATGTAGAACTTCTTTTTTCGCACCACATGTAGCCAACCGTGCTAAAATCGGGGATTACACGCAGCAACATCATGCCATATGTGCAGGTCATGGAGACGAACTGCAGTGGCACCCATGTATTGGTGACCTATGGAAAAGAGCAGACCTAGGGGTTTGGCGTGGCATGTGTAAGATGGTGAAAATCTGGCAGGAGAAAGGAAACAAAAAGGATGGTATGGTCGCCCGATTCCCAATCTTAAGATCAGGAGTTCAAATCTCCATCAGTGGGCACAGCTCATCATCCCTTCCGGGTCAACAAAACAAGTACCACTTTGTCGAATATGACCAGGGGTGATTTGAAGCCTGCATACAGGTCATAGCCCAAGCCAAGTTTGAGAGAATGTGCCGATAGTGCGCAGCAGCAGCCACGACCCATCGCCAACCCCCTCGGGTATTCCCTCAAAAAGCCCCCAGGGTTAGAGAGCTCGCTCCCCCTCTGCCCAAGTCTGGAGAGTAACGGTCAAAGTGCTGCAGCCACGAGGCACGTGGCCAATCCCTGGACCTCCTCCTCTTCCACCCCCCCCACCCACGAGGCTCGAGCACAACTGGTGGGCAGGGTCAAGCAGAGGGACGCCAGAAGCCACCTGCATATGTCAGACCTCCACTCCCCGCCCCCCCTAAAACCTCAATTGAATTGCGGGATTTTCCCACCCACAGTTCAAAACCACCATTGGAGACAAGTGCTTAAACAACTTCTTTGGTTCTTTCGGTAAAGTCACGTAGAATGAGAATAAAATAATAAATTGATAAAATAAAATAATTTATTATTTTATTCTCATTCTACGTGACTTTACCGAAAGAACCAAAGAAGATGAATCCTTGAGTCACGAAAGCTTTAAATCGATGCTTAAACAACATTTGAGCACGGAGATGCGTGGAGCTTTGAAGACGTGGAATGACACAACAGTGGCGATTCGAGATCCGAGTTCGGCTGCGACTCGACCACCGCTGGACAGCCGCTCCCCGGTGACGTGGGCGGTGACGCTGGTACCTGTGGCTGACCCGGCGTGGGTGCGACATCGTGCAAGGGAGAGGCAACGCTTGCTGGGTTCACAGTCGAGGCTGCCGACACCACCGCCGTTAGCCGGGCTGCAGGGTTGTCAGAGTCCTGGGAGGGAAAACATGCAGGCGACGTTACGCAACCGCCCAAACGACACGAGAGACCTCCAAAGCAGTGGCCAAGTGACTCAGGTGGTCAATTGTTAGAGGCAATGTTGGGGGAGTAATGTGTGGGAGGTAGCCGTGCGTTACTGTACTTGGACTATCAAAAGACAGATATAGATGCCAATGTCCGCTCAGAGGTAGCCAACAGATTACAGTTCAATAGATGATTCAACCCAATTAGAGAGAAGTAAATATCACCCCGTTGTATGCACACGTTTTATAGGTACAGTAAACCCTTGTTAATTCGACGCAAATGGAACTCGGGCCTTGCCGAATTATCCAATATTCCGAATTATGTACAATGGTACTCGCCAGTGCCTCCCCTGCCCCCCATAAAAAAAAAAAAATTTCCACAAATTATTTTACTAAAAAGTAACACTTACCATCAGTAACTAGCACAGCAGTTGAAGGAGGATGTGGTAGGTGACAGGTTGTGGAGGAGGTCTTAAATGCACTTACTGTACTGTATGTTCCATTTATCACTAAATTATAACTTAAATACCAAATTACACCAACTTAAAACTTCACATTTTTCATGTAACAATGTTTACTTAAAGACTACATTATTTTATACTTTTATACCACATTACTCATCGTCAGACTACATGCTTCCTCATCTTCTCCCAGCCTTTCTTGATGTTGTAAAAGGAACTCGATTTTACGTGAAACTCTTCACACACACCATACGCATTGACACACCTGCGTTAATTCCATCCAAAACTTAGGATTTGTCTCTCAGACTAAGGAATTTATACTTCAGTCCCTTTTCATGACTTCTTGATGTAGTTGTAGACGACATTTCTGAGAGGGTTTGCTTGCAGAGTGCATAAACAAGGTAAAGTCCAAAGCAACCGGTCTGCAGGAACGCTCACCACGGGCGCCACCTCCAGACTGAGTCGGTGTTGGTCGTGGTGCGCGGCGCCGCTCCACGGGTCTAGCCGAAATTGGACCATTCGGTACACCAATGTGGCTCATGGCGAATTACTAATACTGTACATATGCCAAAAGCGCAGCCGTTCCAAATTATCCCCAATTACGAATTATTAAATACCGAAATGACGGGGTTTTACGCTACTGTGGTTTTTCCCACCCCGTGCCAAACATAATTTGTCGAATTTGACCAAAACCTCCCATGGGTCTTGAAACTCAGATAGGCCATCATGGCTGTTAACAACACAGTCACCTGCACAATAATAATAATAATATCACTGGTCAAGTTGAACAAATGGTCTCGAGGCAAAACGTCTCGCCATCGCGGCTGGCGGCGACGAGCCCACACGGCCGCGCGGCGCCGCTCACCGTGTCGCTGGAGGCCGACTCGCAAGATGACGCGGCAGACCCGCTGCTCGTCGACACCTGCTGGCTGCTGGAGCGCGAATCCGACGACGAAGACACGGCGCCGCCGCTGCCGCCGCCGCCGCCTCCTCCTCCTCCGCCTCCGCCGCCTCCGCCGCCTCCGCCGCCTCCCCGCCCGCCGCCCTCCTCCCAGTCCCCGCTTCCCGGCACCGCCGCTCCGGGTGCCGCTCCGGGTGCCGCCCCGGAGAGCATGGGAGGGACGCCGTTGCCGGCCGATGACGGAGTGATGGCGACCGACGAGCACTTGAGCAGAACAAGACGTGGATCGGGGCGCACGCCCCCAAGGAGCCCGGGCACTGGCGGCCTGAAGCCCGACGCTGTCGGCAAGAGGGGAAGGGCGGCTATGGCAACGAGCGCCGACCTGGCGTGCAAGGGTAGAGTGGTGGCAGTGGCAAGCGCACAGGCACCATACAAACCCAGTGGCCTCGGGCCCAATGCCCGCTTAGGCAAGGAGAGGTGGCGGCTACAGCAGCAGTGCACCGTCAGCCATTGTGTGGGCGTGCGTGTACGCGGGCGCAGCAGTGACGGTGGCGAGCGCGCTGCTCTCGACCTGGAGCCGAATGCCGTCTGGCCAAGAGGGAAGGAGGGGGAGCTATGGCATCACGTTCCGTGGGCAACTTGTGTGCGCGCAACGGTGGAAAGGTGGCGCAGTAGTTGGCGTGCTGCGTTTCAAACCTGGCGACCAGAGTTGAAGTTGCAGCCACAGCGAATATCTGAACAGGCCAGGGGCCCCCTCGGGTGCATTGTGCAATTCTTAAAAAGTTCTCGCAAACAGCATTTGCCCCAACAGTCTGAAAGGCTACGAGGGGCATCTTTGGCGTATATATCAGCATGTTCATTTTTCCTTACGATTCTGGCCAGGAACTAATTTAGGGCCTTAAGAGTCCTTCAATGTTTAGTTGGTGCACTCGAAGACCCATTCCATACCGTAACAACTGTAGCATGCACTCCTTCAATGAATGGAAGAGCAAAACTAGACAAACTCTCCTAAAGCCCTCTCCGTGGCTAGCAAACTGACATTCAGCTCCTGAACATATTGCCATACGCAAGAAGTGTGCTTATGCGACAGTGGGTGTGCCCATGACCACATCACCAAGCAGCTCCTGTTGTTTCGCCCAACAGAAGATATTAAAACGCAAGGTACAGGGCTATACAAGAGATGGGCTTATGTGACACCAAAGGGACCTGGAGTCGCGAATTTTTTGGCCACTGGTACCAGTGCTGTCAGGGTCAGCCTATGCGCAGAAGGCGCACAAGACGAGCGTTTTAACCTGCTGGCGGCCGCTGCTCACGATCAACAACTGGGAGGTGGAGGAGTGATGCTCATGACAATGAGCAGAGCACCGAGTGGATGAAACGCAGCAGCTAGCTGGCAGTGGGAAGTGCGGTTTGAACACTCGCCCAGTCATAGTAGTCCATTTATTCAGGACACTGGGTCCCATTCCATGATGACCTGCCAGCGAGCCCTCGCCATTCTACATAGCTTCAAAGTCACTGTGACGTCACCACCACCTGGTGGCAAACGGTCAGAGTTGTTGCTGCTGTACGCTTGTATGCATTGGGTAGTGCCGTGTTGGAATGTGTGTATGTTTGTATGTATGCAAGTCCAAGTGTGCAGGAGGCGTGGGGAGCAGTAAGATAGTCGGTAACGCACTACACTACCAACCCGACAACCAGCGTTGGATTCTCGCTCACAACCAAAATCAATGACGAATACTTTAACTGGTCCTGGGCTTTCAAAGTCAACTTAGGCTCATGAGCATCTGGTGCAGCGTGTTAACATCAGCAATGGGGAGACAAAAGCGGCAGGGCATGGCGATGGCCACCCACCCCCTCATGTGCAGTGCTGGCTAACAGCACCTTTCCCCCAGGGGATCTTTTGTGTATGCGCACAAGAGTGTTGAGACAAAAGTGGGTAGACAAGAGCGTGTAGGTTTGTGCGCGCATCTGCGTTTTCATGCAAGTGCAGTGCGCGCCTGCATGCAGGCATCGTATTGACCAGCACACAGTTACACCGTTGAAGCCATCTGCCTTCTTCACGCGTCACCATCAGCCACGTCGCAACGCACGCCCAACCGGTACGACCGCACGTGCTCGCTTACAACCACGTGCGCAACCACGCGGTTGCGCCGACGGCGAGAGCAACAACATGCCTGCAGGCTGCAGGGAGCAGGGGAAGGCGGCGAGGTCGGGCGTGACGGGGGAGAGTCCCCACGTCTGCTGGATCCACTCGCGGTACTCCGTCACCTCCCGCGTCACCTTCACGATCCGGCCCAGCGTGCTGTCGCCGCCCCCCCCCCCCCCACCCAGCGCGCACACATACGCACACAAGACACAAAGCAACGGCGACGTTAGTTTGCCGCACTGAAAATTTGTTTAAACGATAGTCGCCGACCCATGGCGGTGCCGCAAACATCTGTGAAAAACAGCTTGATAGTTCATCGCATTTCTCCAGTATAAATATTCTGATTCCGAGGTCGAGCGTTCGCCGCTCATTGCAGTGGTTGACCGTTTGAACCCGGCGGCTGCCCTGATCATTACTGTGGCTGTAATGACCGTAATGATACTATGCACCGTCCAATTCTCAGCTGATGGCAAAGATCGCCTGACATTATTCATAATAGCAGGCCGTTGTGCGACAGCGTCAGGGTTCAAACGTGTCTGCAATTGGGACAATACAATGCAATTATCGCCCCCTACCGACCCGACAGATGGATGCCCTCGGTCACTCGAAAATGAGGCAATGCTAATCTCCGGTTTTCACCTGAGTTCAAAACAAAAATTAACTTTGCAGCCAATACACAACATCGGTGTAAAATTTCTATAAAAAAAAAAGTGAAAAAGAGCTTAATAGCTCAGATTCCTACAGTCTCAATAAACATTCCGATTCTGAAAGGATCCGCAATTGGATAGCCACAAGGTTCAATTCCTGTCTTAACCAGCAATCCGTAGCCCATAAATTAGTGCTACTTTGTAGACATTAAAATGCACCTATTAGCGCGGTTGGCTACGTACGGTGTGAAAGAAGTTCAACATACATACCGATGGGGTGACTGGCTGCCGGCATGAGAATGAGGAATTTCCACCACTAGTTAATAGCCAACAAGGAGGGGAATGTTTGGCGGTACAACTCATTTGAGCAGGGAGACCGACTTTGAAATAAAGCTGGGTTATCAGCTGACGTTTCCTCACGAAATATCTTCATAGAATGTCCTTCAGATTCTTGGTTCTTTCGGTAAAGTCACGTAGAAATATGTTGTTTTATATTTGTATTATTTTATTGTTTCCCTTTTACGTGACTTTACCGAAAGAACCAAGAATATGAATCCCTGCAGTCACGAAAGCTTTAAATCAGAATGTCCTTCGGGTTAGAAGAACAAAGATATGCCAGGAAAACGCGCAGAGCTGTTCAAGTGCTTATGATAATGCTGATGTTACCGTTTATGCTGCTGCCAATCCCGGTGTCATTGAACAGACATGTGATGATTAATTGATTTTTTAAAAAATCTGATCTTACATGCGTGGTAAATGTATTAAATTTAGCATTTAGGAATCGATTTAAGACAGGTTTTTATGCAACCAATGCTAATTATGTGGAAACGTTCCCTGGAGGATGATTTGATTAACTAGCGGAGCTACAAACGGTATAAATGAGATGGTACAAGTGACAAACTTTTTTTTTCTTAAATCCTGGTCATCACCTGCCAGACAGACGAATCCATACATCCTTCTGCTGATACTGCTGTTGATGATACTGCCAATGATGATGCGGCTAACACGGACACCACCAGTGGTAAGAATTGTGATGCCGATAATAAAAGCAGGCTTTGAAAAGTTCTAAAAAGGAGTTGACAGCACTGTTTGTACAACGACTGGACATCTGTTAAAAAGTGGCTTTATAGCTCATTAAATTTCTCCAGTACAAATAAAGATTTTGATTCTGAACTAATTTACCCACATTGGGCACCTGCTTAAAAAAAAAAAACACCCAATGCCATCACATGCTTTAAAAAAATGTTGGTCCGTCTAAGACTACACTTATGGAGATAAGGAGACGATCATTAGTCTGATGCTGCTGACACTGTTAATAATCACAACACCTCCCTGTGAACTGTGGGTAACGGGTCTAAGGGGAGGGGGGGGCAGGCACGCCGTTACCGTCTCAAAAAGCCTTCTCCGTCCATGGTTCCTGTGGCCTGTAGGGAATTGCCAATCTTTAACAATGCAAATAATTCCCCTCCCTTCTTCACCCCTGCTTCCCTCTACTCCCTTACTTAAGAGTACTTCTACACTCACCTTCCCCTCACCACATAATAGTTCACGTACCCCTCTCGGTGGGGCAGCAGCGAGCCCAATCTCCCCCCTCCTCTAAACTCGGTCGCACAACGTTCGGGACTTATGACCATCGCGGTTTGTGCTCCGACTAAAATAGAATTTAAAATTAAGTAAAGAACTCTGACGGCGACGACGTGGAAAAATCCTAACGCGAGGTCAAGATGGCCACCACCCCGACGCTGCGAAGCCTCTGGCTGACGGCGAGGACGACTCACAGCGGTAAGGTTCTGTATGCATGTACGTACAAACTTCTTTCGCATTACACCTAGCCAAACGTGCCAAATCGGAGGTTCTGCTTGCTCATGCGGCAGTCGACAAGCAATGCACAGGGGAGCGAGGGAGCGAGCTGGCAGCCCACCTGTCCAGGTCGCGGTTGGGGTAGTGCTTGGCCTGTGGGCAGACGGCGCGGCTCAGCACCGTGTAGGCATAGTCGAAGGCTTGCCGGGCCTGCATCGCCCCGTACGAACTCCGCCCGAGGTCCTGACCTGCGCCACAGAGGATAGACGCACACCGAAGCGTGAAGCCGACGCCACGACGTTGTCGTCATACACACTCCCGGCGACAATGTCGCTGGCAATAATTGTTCTCGGCAGCTCCCGCCATCAAACAAACAATCACACAACTTGCATAGGAGTTTATTTTGTTATTTAATCGTTTTTTCCCCCCCCCTCCAAATTCGATTTCAATTGTGAATTTGGAGTGGTGTCGAGACCAAAAAACACCATTGGATCTTTCACAGCAAGTAGGGTAACAATTACCTTGTGTCACCAAATAACCAGGCATCAAACTATTTGAGGTCATTCAATAGCCTCCTATGCACACTAGAAGGTGCACCTCTTGATATGCCCTGTAATGAGCCTCATCTGATATATTTAATCCTCAGATGTAATAGGCCACATTCAGTGGCAAACCTATGTAAAGCAATGCTTTTTTTGGGCAGAGCTGATCAGGCTGAGAAACGTCACTTGAGAAGTCGAGTTAAATCAGTTGGCTAAAACTCTGATTCAAGCCCAAGATCTAAGCATGCCAGCTCGGTGTTCCTACAATTTAGTAGCCCCCTGATCCATACATCTACCACCCACCCTCCATCTCTCCCAGACTATTGTGTTACTCGCAATCAATATGCCAAGGGCACCTCCAACAAAAATTATGGTTCCTTTGCCACAAATTCTGTTCGATGCGTAGCGACTCCTAACACCCGACAAAATCACGGGTCTGCCCAGGAAATGCCTGTAAATTAGAGGGGCAACTATCAATGTTATTATTCGCGGCCATTTACAGAACCCAATCAAAAGCCTTTTTTGACGTGACATTTTCAAACGATTGATGTAACCCTCGACGGTCTAATATCAAGCAACCAATTTACCCGTCTCGTAACCTTTTGACGGTCACACTGGTTGGAATGCTGGCACATGTCAATATTTGGTCATTTCCCGAAGAGGCTTCCGAACCAATAGCCGAACATGAAGGCCGCATTGCAAGTCAAAAGGCGAAAATGTCACCCGGTGAAAGGTTATCCGCTGCGATTGAAGCAGGGCGCCGATACAAAATCGAGGGGCACGCTTCAATCGGCTTGGTCCCTTTTTTGTTCAGAAGCACAACAATTTAGATGTCATAGCGGTGACAAACGTCCACTCTTCAGAGTCCGCAGTGCTGAAAAGCACTGCGAACTCGACGCAAAAGAGGGGAAAGCAAAAGAAGCGGCAACGGTTTGTGCACGGCCGCAACGCTAAAATAAGAGGCAACATCAACGCAGCGTGTAGACTGTGTTCTCACTATTTGAAATAAAGGCGACTGAATGATTAATGGAGAGTGAAAGCGCCGGCTTTAACGATACCAGCGACCTACATGCAAAAAAAAAACCGCTGCGTTTATGCCCCACAACAGGCGCTTTATAAATACTACAGCGCTTAACGTTACGGGCTGGATAATAAAAACACATTTTTTCTTTTTAAATCAGGAAGCCCAAGGTTGATGAAGATAATAATCATAACGATGGCACTCATTCTGCAATAATTAATTAGTATTCATCCTGCAATTAGTAGTTAATCAAATACATTTTATGAAAATACAGATGACAATGACGACAACTCTGCTGCTAATGACGATGGTGGTGCGAATAATGAAAATTTCACTCGACTGCAACAACGGCAATAGCAATGACAATAATACAAATGACACTCGCGGCAAAAATAACATTAACAATCATGATATTAAAAAATGCGCTGCATTCCATTGCTTCTTGGCAACATATTCAGTGTTTTACGGTCGTGATAGCGATTATTGGTGATAATAATTCGTGGCGTAAACTTCTTGGCGAAATAGGAAAATAGTTGTTGCACTCTGTTCGTACGTTTTGATCCCACATCCACATGCCGACATGCATCTGCAATACTGCAAGCGGTGTGCTCAAGCTATAATTTGAACCGTCGCCGTCGGAAGGATTGCCAGACGTCAATAGGCTTGACTCGGAGGTGTCAGCAGACAGTGTTGAACGGTGTCTTTGCCAATAGATTCGACACCTGTGAGCTCAAAAAAACAATAGATTTTAGGGGGCACAGGAATTTAAATTGAACTCGACTTACTCAATACTATTCACCAACAAGTCTTAACGAATGGTACACGTGCTGACGGAATATGGAATATCTGATGAGGTTGAAAACAAATACAAAATTTAACGTGATCACATATAGGTCGAGCACCGGCAAACCCGTAAAGAATTAACGCGAGGCTGGATTCAGCATCCCTCATGAATAGACGCCTATCAGTTTAATTGTTGGAAATTCGCATCGAGCATGGGGACGTAACCGGAGGGAGGCGTAGAGATCCGAGTAACATCTAGGAGATCATTCGAGCAGCCGCACACCCACGCAACGGCGAGGAGCTGCGAAGCCGAGCGAAGATTAATGACAATACTGTAAAAACTATATTTCGTGTTACCAGGGGAATGCTCACCGAGCTATGTGGCTCTTTTTCAGAAGCGACCTGGCCACAAATGATAGCACTATTAAGTGGCTTATCACGTGGACATTCATAGTAGCCAAATACCTACTAAATGCACACGACCACAGGGAGAACATGCAAACCTCAAATATTACAGGTGTCAAGGTCGGGATCGAACCCAAGACCTCCTGTATACCGGGCGAGGTAGTTAACATCTCCTAGCCACCGTGGCGCCCGATAATGCGGAGCGCCGCACCTGGTACCACGGGGTCCTCCACGAAGAGGAAGGAAGGGCCGAACCCCTCCACCAGCTCCTTCTGCGCCTCGGCCTTTGCCACGTAGCTGCCGCCGTCCTTGATGCGGATTCCCGCCTTCAGGTAGTTGAAGTTGCGTCCGTACAGCTCAAAGAACTCGATGAGCAGCACGCCGAGGTCTCCGTCCCCGCTGCGCCCATCGATGTCCGCGTGCAGCTGCATTGGCGAAAAAAAAAAACACACAGAATGTGCCACTCGTGACGATGCCTAGGTGGCCGCAGTGCTCGCGGAAACCAGGCGTGAAACTTGTTATATATTTTTTTGCTTTGTTACTACGACCGCTTCCCTCCAGCTACAGAACAACGAAAGGAATGTGATGGGGAGAGACGGAGCGCAAGGGTGGAGGGGAAAGGGCAAAGTCATTTTGGGCTGTTCCAGCAACGTTCTAGGAACATTTCTGTAAACCAAGCACACACTAAAGCCAATCCAGGAATGTACCTGGGAAGAACTGGAAACACCCAGGGGGGAACATGATATCATAGTCCCTCTTTAGAAGCACCGTCATCATCCGCGATGACTCACCATGGCCACCAGTGCCCAGGAAGCCTGGGTTCGTGCCACATGGCATAGAAAACATTGAACCATGAGCAATCCACCCATCTATGCTACCAAAGCGATGGTGGGCACCACCACAAACAGCAGAGAATCCTGCTTTTCTAACGCACCACGCGACAATACATTAAAGTGGTGGTAATGATCATGGTGGCTGTGGTGGTGGTAACCAAGGTGGGGGTAATTGATGGCAGTCGTGAAGGTGATGCTGGCGATAATGAAGGTTGTGGTCGTAATGATCAGTGGTTGGTGGCAGTGGTAACGATTGTGGGGGAAATTGATGGTGGTGGCGAAGGTGATGGAGGTTTTGGTGGTGGTGGTGGTAACGATGGTGGGGGTGCTGGTGGTAATGACCATGGTAATTGTGGTGGTAATGCCAGTGGGGGTAATGAGAATGATGGTGGTGGTGGTGGCGGTGGCAAAGGTAATGCTGGTAATGAAATTTGTGGTGCTGGTAACAGGGATGGTGGCAGTGGTAGCGACGGGTGCTGGCGATAACGGCGGTAAAATTATCCGAGCGGAGCAGATGCGCCGCGGGGAGGGCGGCACCTGCAGGAAGCTGACGACGAGCATGACGAGCAAGTAGGAGCTCACGCCGCCCGTGTACGGCTCGTTGAGGTCGCGCTGCAGCAGGAACTGCTTGAGCACCAGCACGAGTTGTGGCAGCAGCGGGTACTCCTGGATCGCCGGGCGAGCCACAGGGCCGACATGCGGCGAGGCACAGGTCAGGGATGGAATCGCGTTAATAGCAACGTACAATCGGTCGTTGTCATCGTCCACGAATGTTGGTCACGTCAGTAGGATAAATCGGCATCATCGTAATAAGCAGCATCGTCAACAGAAGTAGAGTAAATGTTCACCACGCTCATGAGCGGCATCGTTGTCAGCAGCCACATCAATAGCATCGGCTACAATTAGAAGCAGCAAAATGAGTGTCGCCCACTTTCGGAAGCAGTAGCATCACGATCATCATCACCCACGGTTTAAGGATTGCTACCAAACTGGAAGGTGATCTACACAGAGATTTCTATGCAGTGTTCCTCGTCAAAAAAGCATAGGGCGGCAGTCATCCTCCAGCAGGCCTGGGGTCAAATGGGGGAAACTCCACATTCACATGCCTGGAGACAGCGTATCCAAACAAATGTTGTCTAGATTCTCCAAAGCGGTACTCATTTTATTAACCCCCGAGCAATAATGGGCTCGGATGACAACCTGAAACAGTATCAAAATTTGCAACTTTCCGATTTTGGAGCTGGGTCTTCCAACCACAGCCTATGACCAATTCACACCGAAGGCAACGGTCCTTGGGTCGGATCTCGGAGGCCAAGCAGGTTCGAGCCTTCGATAGGCAAACACCACGCACAGACATGTTGTCAAACGGCTGCTGCAATGTGTGCAGCAAATTGCGATGCGGGCAAAATCCATCGTTATACAATGTGCTTCCAAAGCTTCCACGTCTACGCTTCCAGCCTTCACAACCAGCACTGACCGGCATGAAGTGCGGGAAAATAACCCGCATGACCCGCACGGCATGGGGAGGCCCTCATCCTGCCGTGGATGGACAAAAAGGGGCCGTACATGTACATAGCCTCCTATAAACGACAGCGCCACCTCGGTCGGTTAGACAGAGTCCTGTGCGGTAATAAACGGCAAAGCAGCCTTTGTTATGCAGCCGTGTGACGAGTGCATCTGCACACCTCGATGAACTGCTTCACGAGCCGGGCAGACTTCACACCCGTGTCTACGTTGAAGCTGATGTCCACCTTCACCTCGGTACGCTCGTCCGTCAGCTTGATGATGGGCACCTGTCCACACACACACAAAACAGACATCATTCTCTGCCTCTTGACCTCGTCACCCCAGAGCTTCAGCGCATCACACCATGATTTCTTGACCCCACTTCTAAAAACATACCATCCATGAGCCCGAATCTTTAGGACATTCCAAATGTTACTTGTAAAAAACGCTTGACCTCACTCCCAATCTCTCGACTTTAAAGCATACCCTCATCCAGACCTCCTAGCTGCACCCTTTAACAGGTCAACCTCACCTCGTAGACGACCTCACTTCTGGGACCTTTTGATCATCTTGCCTCCTATTATCCTTCCCTCATCTCCACACCTATGCCCTTGGGGGGGGGGGGGGGGGGGCGGGGGGGGCTCTAATATCTCAGAGCATCACCCTCCGTGTAGGCAAATCAAAAACTCCCTTCCAGACCTATCCCAATACTTAATGGGTTAGAAGGTCCCTGGGTTCGATCTTCCACAAAGCTCATGGTCCACCCTAAAATTGCATCCGCACAAAGCATGGCAGAAGATGCGGATACCCGATGCACGAATGGAACATTAAAAAAAAAAAACTCCAGTGTGCGACTGTGGTCATCCAGAAGAGATCGTACAACGTCTAAACGGCGCAACGCCCGATCCACAAATATGAAGTGGACATCACGGCGGTACACTCGGCTGTTCCTGACGCGGTAATCCGGCTCGACTACCCGATTGTGACATTGTAGTTGTTGCTCTGCATCTACATCAGCCATACAAAAGAAGGATATGGGTCACCTACGGCTAACCCCGAGCAGCAGCGGAAGACTCCACTCACCCGTGCCTTGTCCAGCACCTTCATGGCCTCGGGCCGAGACACGCGGTGCCTTCGCAGCGCCTCCTCCAGCGCGTAAATGGGGTTGGGCCCCAGGTTCCCAAACACCACCAGGTCGATGTCGCTGCGTTCAGATAACAGTGTGCATGCGCGCAGACACAAAATGCAAAAGGAAGCCCCATTTAGCGTTGCAGAGTATATACAGAATCAGAATTTTTACTTATCCTGGGAGAAATTCAAAAACATCACCACAATCACAACATTCCGAGTTCAACTCCCAGTCTGCGGTTGATTTCACCCATCGTCCCTCTCCAGAGATAACTGTTGAATTTCCAAAAGAGTGTTGCTTATTTTACCGATCCCAGGGAGGGAAGATGGATCGAGCTGAACCCTTACGAAAATGTTACCTTGTAACTCTCATTCAATAGCGTGTCGCCTATGCAAATTATCATAGCATAAAGATGCATCCGTAAAAAGCAAGGGTGTAACAATTCACCGATTCGGAGATTAAAATCGAAGTCCTGCGCTCGAAATGCACGCAAGCAACCGTGCACGAAGACTTTGTTTACATCGCATCGCAGCATTAGGAATAAAAAACATTTTTTTTAATAGGCCCACAAGGGGCGAGTGCATTGTCACGGACCTAAAAAGTGCAAAACCACCACAGCGGTATCAAGCCCCGTGAGCGAGCCATGGAACCCGTCTGTAGCCTGCTCCAGGTCTGCTGCTCGGGAAGCTTTCGAGGCTCTGTCGGCGCTTCTCACGATCGCGCGCTGCACGAAATTGCTCTCCGCGCACGCCATCCGGAGTGTTTCCAACACAGGACACCCACACTGCACGTGTCTTCAACTCACTTTAATAGCTTTTAAAAAGCCAACGTGCACCTTTTTTTTTTACCCCGTTACACACAGCCAGCATGTTTGAGGGAAGGGCAGCGCTTCAAAACGGGCTTGTACAAACACCATCAAAGCACAACACTCATTTCCATTTTATTAAAAAAGGGCCCCTTTCACAAGATTCTTTTTGGCAGAAATGCACCACTCTCCTCCAGCGAATAAAATGCCACTTGTCCACCCGCATAAATAACAAGGGGGGGGCGTTTCATCAAAACGGGACCAAACACGGCGGACTAATTTGTGTCCGACGTTAAAGCCTGCAAGAAAACGGGGAAGGGGGGGGGGGATGTTGGGTGACGAAATGAAAATCAAGCGGATGTGTACCGCATGTCCCATCAGCGTGAATGGAAACAAACGGTTACTTTTATTTGCAACAGCCTTGGGAGAAAGTTGTAATTTGCTTCTGGGAGATCTCCGAGGCAAGTAGGAAATAGAACTTGTTTGTTTTTTTTAAAGGATGAATGCTGCTCGGCGAGCCCCTAATGACGTCGGCGTGGTACGCGTTAAAAGCAGTGGCACGCAAAGGGTGCTGGTGTAGCAATCACGACACCCAGCCACCTTGGTCTTCCTACAAAGCTCATTTACCAAATTGTACCGGGCATTCATTTAAATCCGGCCAAGTGGCTGAGTGGTAGAGCAGGTGGCCTACAATCGCATAGGTTGCGAGCTCACTGGTTGGATATCGATTTGTCCAATCATCCCTCCGAGGCCAATAAAGCTGGTTACAACTTTGTAGAGCAGGTCAACAGCGGTTGCCCTACGGATAGACTAGCCCGTCATGGAATGTAGAACTTCCACCACTGGATAAAGGGCCGTTGGCTCCACCTCATTGTTCATTTGAGTAGGAAATTACACTCTTCATTTCAGGTTAAATGAACCTAGAAATTGCAAAGTCAGCTGTAGAAGCGACTTGCCATTGCCATCATGCATGGCTGGGAATGTAATCCAGGTTGCCAGGATTGCAGCGTAGAGGCACTAAATCATTGCCACTCGCCACACACACGTGCACCAACAAAAACTGAAGGCTCTCTGCACACCTCTTACCTTGTAGGGAGGTACAGCTTTGTAGTGACACTTCCATACACTTGGACCTGAGCAGAAATATAAAAATAGACATGGCATTAAAGTAAAAAAATGCATCTTAAATATTAATTTGTGTGCGCGTTAGGGAAGCTCTCATTGCTGTTTGCTAAACTGCCAATTTAATGTCTCTTTAATGACTTTCCAGAAAAGAACATTGATCTTACGTCAGTAAAAATCAACATTACTCCTGCCTAAATATGCTATGCAGTAATCAGTAACATATCATCACAAAGATAGTCAAATCATTCCGACTGTTCAGGCTATTCTCCCTTCAGGATCAATACATTGAACAATCTGGGGAGAAGATGACAAGCCATCCAAATAATAGTAATTTACATCCTATAGATCAATAATAATATTAATCAGTTACATTTGTATGGTGCATTTCATCCGTAGATCCCATTGCACCCAAGTATGGAAAGCAGGTGATAAAGAGAACCAAAGTATAAAAAACGACCAAAAACAAGAGGTGAAGGCCAATCAAAAGAGGAGAGTTAAGACGGGACTTGAATAGGTCCAATAACTTCAACCGTCTTATTAGCAAAAAAGACACAAAGCATTCCATAGGTCTGGGATCTGCAGTGGCAAAAAGCCCGATCACCCCAGGAACAGAGCCTTGACCTCGGAGTACTTGGAACAAGGCAAGCGGGGACCTCGTTGGATTGCAAACATGGATGACTTCAATGCATTGGTCGGGTGCCTCACCCTCGCCTAATAACAATGAGCCCATGTGTTAAGCTAATAACAACAAGGCCCACATCGCAACATTCACAACTTGATGCCAAGCTGCCGATTTTTGTTTACTTCACTTGCATTTGACACGTAACCTAACCGTTTACACAGTACAGAAGTCGCTGTATGTCCGCTTAATGCGTCTCTAACTAAAGTTCTAAATTGTGCTACAGTCCATGTAGAATTACCGCCGGAGCAAGCTATGAAACATTCATGTTCGTGCAATTAGAGCCGTCGCGTGACAATTGTGGTTTTTTTTTTTTGCTCCAATTTATATTCGCTTCGTTGCTGTACTTAATTTTATTTGCTTTTGTGTTGGATATTTGTGCCAACCCAGGTCACCCTTGCAAATGAGAAACTCATCCCAGTCTTTTGAGTTCCCACAACAGAGTTAAAACTAAATTTAAAAAAACAACAACACGGCACCAGCACCAGAGAACCCATGGTTCAATTCCAACTTTCATTCCAGCGAAAACGCTCACATTTAAGTCGCTATTTTATTACTTAAAACTGGGCCACACAACAATACAAAAAAACAACTTTTGTACAACAAATTATCAGAAGCATTTTCCAGAATTCAATCCAAGGCACAACGTGTATATTTGGACGATGTTTTGACGGGTCGGGACTGAGACCAGCTCATCATTTGCGCAATTTGTTGGGTTATGCAAGAGACGGCCGAATGCGAGGGGGTCCTCATACTCTCAAGCCAAGGGCGGTGCTCAGATCCATTAAAAAAGTGCCGAGCCAGTGGTCAAAACTCAAATTTTTGTGACAGGGTCCACCCACAGCCCCCTCCCCTCCCCACAACACAACCAGTGTCGACCTCGAAAACAATGTTGTACACCTTTCTTACACCCTGACACAAGGTTTAAATTCACAATCTTCCAATTCTGAGCAATGTATTATAAATCACAGCATTAAACGGTGTAAGGTGAAGGTAATAATTACACGAGGGTCTGGTGCAAGGAAACACATGGCCAGGGCAGGAGCCAGGTCCACGTGCAGCAAAGTAGTGGGGGAACGGGAGCCCAAACATGTGTGACGGGTGAAATGCCAGACTTGGGCGGCGGTTAATGCCATTATCCACTCCGTAAATTTCTGGGCAATCATCGCCGACAAACGATTGTCACAGTACTTTCCATCGCAAAAATCTCATTGCCCAAAATATGAACAATTCTAATCAAAGCTGCCTCCCTAGTGGGCAATCGGAGTGGCAACTTCTGATTAGATCGGAGGTCACGCGACCGACTGCCTGACAGCGTCACGCTTTCTGCGCTTGAAATAATAGCCGCTTCCACACAGAGCACGAGAAAAATCTCGGCAGAAGGAACAAAAAGCATTTGGATGGGTTGCTCTTCTTGTAAGTAATGTGTTGTACTGTACCGAGTGACTGGCAATAATGGACTGCATAAAAGGAATGACAATAACCCAACTAGTGACTCGTGCTGCTGGCCTACCCCATCCCTCATCAACAAGATCATTTACAATCTGTAGACCAATCCTTGTGTAGCATGCAGTTTCCGAAGAGCTTCCTTTGAGTGGCTGAAGAGAACGGTTACTCCCACCAAAGTCGCCATTAAAAAAAAAATCGCTGTCGGTGAGGATTGGCAGCAATGATTGCCCTGAAATTGTCGAAGTGGATCATGGCCTTGAGGCACAGACTACTGAAACTTGGCACGGCCAAGCCTCAGCAGCACCCAGTCCCAAGAGTTGACACATTCCAGGGAACCAGCACCAATAAAAAAGGAACCCATGACAAATGACTTATTATATTTTTGGATTGTAACGATTAGCACGGTTGGCTACATATGGTGCGAAATAAGTTCAACATACATGAAGAGTACATCTGGCACTCACCCCATTCTAACACCTCAAGGCTATCACGAAAAAGCAAAACTTCAACGAGCGTGTCAGTAGGGTGGCCGTATTGCCGTGTTTTCCTAAAATAAGTAATTTGCTATTTATGTTTTACACTAGGCAAATTTTGACTCTGACATAGGCACACATTTCTTATTATTTTTATACCACCATGGGGACCTTCAGCATCCACTGTAAAGCAAAGCAGGAGGGCATGCATTTGTGTTCAAGACACCTGCAGTATTAACCAGGGTGGCTGCTGGGTTCGAACCGCGAACCTCTACAACAAACGGCAAAAGCGCCGCCACTCAGGCGTGACAAGTGACTGCAGTGCACCGAGCACTTATAAATTAAAAATGCGTCGCACGGACCCCAATTCATTCATCCATCCATGAAAAACCAAACAGTCAGTTTAACACAGTAGGCTTTCGCGACCAATATTTTCCTGATAACAATTTGTCTACATTGGCCTTCAAATGAGTCAGATAGTCCGGCAGTGGAATGTTTGCTTAAACACGTTGATATTATTAATCCTTGATCGTTTCTGTGTGAATTAAATATCGGCCGTTCTATAGGATTCGGGGGGGGGGGGGGGGGGGGTGCGTCAGTACGCAGGGGGGGGGTAAAAAGTACGCGTGCATACAGGGAGGGGTCAAGTTAACAGATTTTTGCGTACGTACTAAATGGATGGCCCCTTAAGAGCGGCTCACAGTATGCAGCACGTGTTGTGGCGTATCAAAGGTCACCGTGTGAATGCCGGTGGGTTCACGTGAACACGATGCCACTAGAGGGCGCTATGGCAGTACGTCTAAGTCACGTGGCTTATATAACCCGCTTGATTATTGTCATGAACAAAGCTTCAATCTTGTCTCCACCAGCCTTAGGGCACAGCACAAGTGGCGCTTCAACAAAACAACAGCCATCTTTTGTAACGTAGTGTAACGTGCGCGCCACATTGATAGACTGACTTGACGTTGCATGCCTCGCCACCGTAAACACCACGCGGTACCTTTGACGAAACCTTCAGTGAATTTATCAGGGAACTGATTAGCCATTAACAATCTGTACGAATAACAACCGTAATCTGTATGTCTCAAAAACCTCGAGGGTCCTTTCCGACAAAGGTAGAAAGCTGAAATTTGGTACATAGGTAGCTTTTAGGACAAAAACAGGATAAATCTGAGATTTTTTTTATTTAAGGCCCCCCAAATCTCGATTTTAATTGCCGCATAAACATGTTTGCGAGTGTCATTCAGAAACCGGTTAAAATAAGATTGCAGGTTCTCGCCTTTGATAAAGCATTAAACGGAACATAAAATTCAAGTGAGAATCGTTCTTCTATCTTATATTGTTTGAGATATTTGGATTAAAGGGGTTTTCAACGAAAATACGCATTTTATGATGTTCAAATCCGAATGATTCGAAAAATGCTATATGATAGGAACTTCCCCTCAGAGTATTAAGTTCATTCATTTGTGTTCTTTCTTAATAAAAAAAAGAATCTTTAAATTCAGCAGTTTGATGGGTAAGTCTTTAAATATAACAAGTTGAATCAAGTATTCTTAGCTCTTTCGGTAGTCACGTTGAAGGGAAACAATAAAATATATATAAAACAATAAAAAACTCACGACGTTTCTATATATTTTATATATATTTTATTATTTTATTGTTTCCCTTCAACGTGACTTTACCAAAAGAGCAAAGAATATGAATTTACTGCAGTCACGAAAGCTTTAAATCAAAATTTTAATGAAGTAGTCAATTATGTTTTTGCCGAATAATACAAATTGAGTAGTAGTGTCTGATCGTAGGTAAAAACTGTAAAAAAATCCTATCAGGTTAATTTTTAAAATGATTTAAAATGTGTGCCTGGTGAAGACAGGCTTCATGAAACTACTTACAATATATGGATGAAGTAGTTAGAACGTGCGAGCACTTTTTGGCGTGGGAAAAAAACACAGCACCAAGTGAAAAACCACGCACACTACAGGAAAACGCCCAAACGCTGCCCATATCCCTCTTATCAAAACCTGTGCGCTGTACCAGCTCGTAAATCAAGACACTTCCTTTCCCTGGAGGTGGGAGTCTCAAGCTGGGCCCTGAACTGGGACATCAGTTGCATAACCAAAAGGCTATTAAAATCACGCAACTTAATAGCCGCCAATGTCTCCAAATGTGCGAGTTGTTACGCAACAAGGAAGTTAAAACAGAGAATTCGGGATCGTAGCGAACAATCACAGCCGTGTACGTGATGGGATAACTTTCACTCCTAAATCGACGAGCAGTCTCATCTCTCAAAAAATCCACGCAACTGCTCACAACACGTTGCAGAGACATCCGCATAGGAGGGCAAATCCGTGCCATGCAACCAGGCTGCTCAAGCGACCCGGCCTCAGACTCCACCTGCAAAGTTAACCCAAGTCCCGATCCACTGCATTACAGGCGTGCCGTAAGGCCAGAATGTGCCGCAACACCAACACCCCCAAACGATGAACACTATTTTCTGACAGCACCAAGATTTGACAGAAAGCCATCCCAGAATGGATGAAGAACACCAAATTAATGATTTCATTTGACAGCGAACATCTCGCATCGTACACACTAGCTTCCGTCCCCGTATTCAGACTAAGCAGCGCTGGGGGGGGGGGGGGGGGGGGGGGGGGGCTGGAGAACACCTCCGACTGTCGGAAACGTGGCTTGCTTCGCGTTCAGATTCCGTGTTTGGGGGGGGGTGGGGGGGGAAGCAAGCCATGTTTCCAACATGCATACAACGAGTACCACCTCGTGGGAAGTCAACAGTGGCGGTGCAAATCAGCCCCTGCTGTATAACTTTGTGTCCTTCCCCCACACCTCCAATAACCACGGTTGGCTACGTAGTGCGAAAGAAGTTCAACATACAAATGCCCACTGTTGACTCGGCAATAATTTTGCTTCCACTTGCGAGTCAACGTTAAGCTTCACCCTTCAATGCGCAAGGGACGCATTTGCTTATCAATTTATAAACTGACAAAAATGGGACACCTGGTAGCTCTCATTAAACTTTACATGAACCCCCCCCCCCACCACTGCCACCAAGGCTTGGATACAGCCACAAAAGTTCTAGAAATTCCAGGGAAATACACCTTATACGTGGCAAAAAAGGTATTAATATTCATCATGGGACCTTTGTGCCAGTAGAATACCATGAAAAATAAGAATAGATTTTACCCTTTCTGGGAATTAAAACACGTGCTAAGAATTTCAAACAACAAATAGATACCTTTTGCAAGGAATAAAGTTACTGCATTAAAAACCACACGCACACACAATTGTGGCAAAAACATGCAAACATCTTCTGATATTACGCATCGTCCTTGAAAGAGATTGACCTCAACCAGAAACAGCCTTCTTTATGGCCCAGTCTCACCAATGTCAGACCAGACAACGCCAATAAAAGCTTGTTTGTCGTGTTCGACATCGTATTAACGGGAGCATGCGCGCGGCGGCGGTGGCAGCTCGCAGGCGACGTTACGCGGCCCGGCATTACACACACACACACGAGCATTATTAATGAGCTGCCGCTGGGGCTTAATGAAGGTTTCACACGCTCGCTCGACCAAACCGAAACTCCTGCAACCCTGTTGCCCCCCCCTGCCCCCCCACCCTGTCCCCCATCCATACAAGCAAAAATCAGAGAACAGACAACCCTGCATTAATACGGGAGGTATTAATGCAGACTTTAAAATGTACTTCAAACGAACTGCAAGCTGTAAACTTGATATTTTTCTCCATCCTGTAAAGTGTCGTCACCCTTTTTCGGACCGAGATCACCGCTGTGGTTGAGGAGCCTAACAAAGAGGTACAAGAGAGAGTACCGTGTACGAGTAGGGAGACGCTCGGTGCACAACGGAAGCAACTTAAAACCATTGTGCGCCAAGGTTAAAATTCGCCGACAGTACATCAACTCCGACAAACGTGCGCTCCCTTTTCCAAGGCAGCAGCAGTAAATAGGCCACTTACTTGTTACACCGTGGATATATTGTGTCTGTCCATCAGGCTGTCCAAATGACATTCCACACATTCTGGCAATATCAGCAGCAAACACACCTTCAAAACACGTGCTTTTGTTCATGCTTTCTAATGTTCAAAGCGTTTATGCACCAGCTCTGTCCACCAGTCTGTGACCGTGTCACTATTACGAGCATAAAGATGATCCAACATGAACGAACCCGCAGTATGAATGTAGTGTTGCCACGTGAGATTCATCCGATTGAAAACCGGCCACAGTGATCGCCGGATTAGCCAAAAACATCGGGACGTAAACAAGCGCAACAAAAATATTATTCGCAAATAATACATTTGCAAATAATACATTCCGATTAGCACGGTTGGCTACGCACGGCGCCAAAGTTCAACGTACATACAAACACACACACTTGGCCCCGAGATCTACCTGTCGACTTCCAAAAAAATCGCGAATAAAATAGTTCCAGAGACAAAACGCATTGGGAAAAAAAATATCGCAACAGGATCCATGCGCAATTTCCCCCCCACCCAATTATTTTTTTTTTACTCTCACCGTTACTTTGCTCATCAGAGCGATTATTGCCCGTGCGTTAGAACAAGTGTGCGTGTGGGTGGTACAAGCGTGCGTGTTAGAACACGTGCGCATTGGCACAAACTCTAGCATAAAAAAAGGGTACAGCGCGAGATGTTTTCCAGCAAGAACACGGCGCTCCAGCTCATCGTCATAGTCCACTCATAACGTTTCGCTGGCCGGGCGCGCACGCACGCACGTTTGCGCGTTCTTAATTCCCTAGGAAACGCCTAACAAAAACAGAGCCTCCATTAATGCAACGGTCTGCCGCCCACTCGTATCCCTCAACAACGTGCGGCTTTAGATTAAAAAAAAATGAGAAATGCTTCAGATAACTATGGACACTGGGAAGCTGCAAGGTGGTCAGACAGTTCGAGTGCGGCCACTCGGTTTCTGCCCGTCCAATTTTCGCACGCGCTTTGGGCGTTCCCCTCCCGTACGAGCAGCGAGGTTTCTCCAATTCCCTACCACAAGCCCCACACTAAAAAAAAAAAGCAGTAAACCGGACAAAGAACTCGAAACTTGTCGAGGAGCGGTGTCCAACCCGTGGTTCTTGGGGCCCACATGGATGTGGGAAGTGGTCCGCAGAATTTGTTGCGGATACTTGGGAGTTGTTTCACAAAGCCCCATCATTTGTACTGCATGTTGTTGTTTTTTTTAGGGTTGATGGACGTTCATGGGGTCCAAACAGTTTGGGGACCACCCTTGGTGAAATCTACCCAGGATGTGTGCTCTGGGCTACGCCACGCATTTTTTACATTGATTAACTGTGAATAACCAAACCAAAAATAGAGATCCATTGTAATTTATACGATCACATTAATCCCACCCCCCCCCACCACTCTTCTCTTCAGACCGGATTGGCTCACAAGTGACGGCACCACATTCATCCCTCTATTTAAGACCGGAACAGGAGGATTTCGCCACAACTCTGGCTGTCGACCGATGAGGCTAGTTGTAATTGCCGGCAAAACATCGTACTAGAATGGTAAATGGTGGGTTTATTCTCCAACACACCAGTGTTGCTGAACTAATAACGAACATGGCATGTTTTATATCATGGGACCTCCTTTGCCAGTACCACAATATGAGAATACGTTTTCCCCTAATTTTCTGGCAACAAAACAGCTGCGTTAAGATGTTAAAACACCAAACTGAAACCTTTCACAAGGAATCATGTCTGCATTAACCACAATACTTGTGGTCAGAATTACAAACAAAAAACGTACTCTGAAATATATGCATCGTCTTTGAAACTGATTGGTCCACACCAGAGACAACTTTCTTTGGAGCCTAGTCTCAAAACGGTGTTAGACCAGAGGACGCCTTTATAGACAATGCATATATTATCAGAGTATGTTTTTGTTTGAATTCTGACCACAAGTATTGTGGTTAATGCAGACATGATACATTGTAAAAGGTTTCAGTTTGGTGTTTTAACATCGTAACACATACATTTTGATTTAAAGCTTTCGTGACTGCAGGAATTCATATTCTTGGTTCTAGTCACCGCTACTTTTTCCAAAATTTGCTTGCTGTGGTTTTCACACCTGATGATGATTGCTTGTGTTGCAGTCGAAACGTCGTGAGAATTTTTGTTTAATATTTGTATTATTTTATTATTTCCCTTCTACGCGACTTTACCGAAAGAACCAAGAATATCTTAACACCTGTTTTGTTGCCAGAAAAAGGGGAAAACCTATTCTCATGGCAAGTTTTGTTTAAATGACAAACCTTACGAATTAGCGGTGTCAGGTGGTGGCGGTTTTAACGACACATTTATATTTACGCGATCTAACCAAAACCCCTATTACGGATATACAATTTTTATGTTAAAATGAGAAAAGCCATTCAAGTTAGCCGAGTGTTTCGTTATAAAAACGATCGATATCACCGCCACGACACCCGACGTTTGGCGTCACGCTTCATTTCAAGAGACGAAACGAGCACTTCGACCGAGCGATTCGACCGTTGTCCTCCGTAAAAAAAGACAAAATTGGAGAAAGCGGGGCCCATCATACAGGGACCCCAGTGAAAAGAGCCCTTGGAGACTCGGCGAGGCTTCGCCGGGTAAGAGACTTATTATGGCACATGTTCTTTGGTCCTATTGATAAAGTCACGTAGATAGAAAAATAATAATAAAAATAAAGCGAATACAAAATAATTTATTATTATACAAAATTGATTATTAGTCACTTTATTTTTTAATCTACGTGAATTAAAATACATTTTTTTTACTCGCTTTATTTTTATTATTATTTTTTCTACCTACGTGACTTTACCGAAATAACCAAAGACTATGAATTCCTGCAGTCACGAAAGTTAAGTCAATTTATGGCACATGTGCACGCGTGTGTGTGCGTATTCGTCGCACCTCTGCGGTCGGCCACAGCTCCTTGACGACAGTCTCTATCCTGTGCACGACCTCGCGGCGCATTCGCTCCTCCGCCTCGCCCGGGGACATGTACGCGTAGAAATCCAGCACCTCCTCGTGAAGGCTGCGCAAACACAGGAGGTGGCCCACAGTCACTTAAATCACTCGCCCGGCACTGTTCGTGGTCGTGTGTGCATGTGTGTGTGTGTGTATATACCCGAGAGGCGCTCGCCAACGGCACTTTCCCCAACAAGTCTGTTAAGGCTATACGGGGGACGTTTGTCTTTTATAGCGGACAAAGATCCCCCATATAGCCTTAAACAGACTGCTAGGGTAAGGGCTGTCAGCGAGCGGTGGTGTAGCAGTTCACGCGCTGCGCTCAATTCCCGCTAAAAGCCAACGCGGGTGACGATCATCTGAACTGGTCCCGGGCCTCCCCTAGGTCGATTTAGCCTCAAATGAGTACCCTGTGCAGTGTGTAAACATTGCCACAAAGAAGGCAAAGGTGGCCAGGCATGGTGCTGGGCACATAGGTGCCAGCCTTCATAGATGCTTGCTAACTTCCTCTGCGCCAAAAGTCTGTTGAGGCTATATGGGGGATCTTCGTCTTTGATAGAAATAGCCGATACAGTGTGCATTGAGAATATCATATGCCAGTCCATCCTAGTCCATTAAATCAACACATTTGTCTTCCCTGTGATCTAATCCCAGTACACCTACCTCTGGCACAAGTACCACAACAGGGAATGGTGATCTAGTCACTCTGAATGCGCATACAATACTGGCAAAACGAGTTTTATTGGTGGCAATAGCCAACATGAGTGGTGTCTGAAGCCCCCTTGGGCATCCGCTAGTTCAACTCGGCTGCATGCAAGCACATTGCAGAACCAGTAAATTTCAAAATTTGAGATTTAAACTCAGCCAGGTGTGGTGCTGGACTCATCATCCATCATTAGCATTAGCGGTGCTGCTCTAAATAGGTGCTCACCTAACCAATCAAGAATACCAATATAATTTACTTTGTGTACTTGTTTAAGACATGTAATACAAAGCATGAAACATTATGCAAAGGCTGTACTGTGTTTGATATTGGTTGCCAAATTATGAAGCCACTAGAAAATCTCAAGGCATCATAATAGCAAATTAATAGGATTCTTGAATTTAAACACGATGCCAAATCACAACAGATCATCGAATCACTGTGGGGGGCTGATGGGAGGGGTTAAATATGACATGCCAAATATAAAGCACATGTATAGTTGCAAGTTCAAAGCCCCATCACAGGTCAATGTGGTCTCGCATGCCTCTGGTGTTGATTAAAATCATTTTCCACACAGGGTGGGAAGTCAGACAGAGTCATTGATGTGGAACCTGGAATCTCGAACACTGGCTCAAGGAGGAGCGCTGCTTCCCAGTGCAAGGCAGGCGATTCGACTTTGGTTCCACATCAAATCCGACAATGTGCCAGTGGAGCCTCGTTCATTGCAGTAGCTCATTCTCAAAAAGGGGTTATTCAGTGTCAAATCCACGCATGTATGCGCATTTCATCTCACGGGTCGTAGGTTACGCGAGGTGACCATCAGCTCTTGCCATCCAAGAGGCCCAAACACGCTGCATTTAACTTGAAAGCCCCTTTTCAAGAGCTTTCAAATGACACCTCTTCAGCCAATATCAGTGGGGGCCAGGTAAACGGCCACGATGATTTGACAATTATTCTGGCTTGCCAGCCGTCACGTTTACACGTAGAATGTGATTGCAATGGCATTTGTGTCATGTGATTTAGACTCGTGATTTTATTTAACGCTTGACGACACATTAACACCAGGGTCGATATCTGCCAATATTTTGAAACATTTTACGACGGGAGCGATTTGATGCTACGACGCAGTGAGTTTTAGCAAGTCAACAATGCTCGAAGCACCCCCCCCCACCCCATGACAGAGACCGCTTCAGAGTATCCCCTTGTCCTTTATAGAAAAGCCTCCTAAACACCCCCCCCCCCCCCACCAATCCATCAGACACCTTATCAGCCAGGTGAAATATAATTACATTGTTTTGATTTCAAGTTTTCATGACTGCAGGGATTCATATTCTTGGTTCTTTCTACGTGACTTTACCGAAAGAACCAAGAATATAATTACATTGGTCGGGATTATTTGATACCCCGGGAGACCGGTCAACATTGTGTCGTAACGACTGGACATACGATTGAAAATTTCGATTAAAACTGCAGGCATTAGAGTGTGACCTGCCCAACCTATTACACCGAGTAAATTAAAACCTCTCTACATTGGTGCTATAGGTTTTAATGCAACACTGACTGAATAATGTGCAATTGTAGTATTCCCACTGTGAAAGTGCTACACGGTTTTAACTATTCAACCTCACGGTCGATTCCTTGAACTTACACGATTCAAGTTGCGATTTGATTCAAGGATCAACATTTTTTCCCCATTAAATTTTTATCATTTTGTTTTTTGTGTGTACTCTTCTGTTTGTACATTTACCTGCTTCAATAGCCCAAGCGTAACAGTCCCATATAATTAGCAAAACTTGCAATTAATGCACCGACCAGCATAGTAAAATATGGTCAAATAATTCCCGCTGCTGCAGTGGATTGACAAAGGGCTGTACATGTACATTTGTTGCAAAAGGTTGATATAAATATGTGATAAAAATCTGAGGTGTATACTGAACTTCTATCGCACCATACGTAGCCAATCACGCTAAAATGGGGGGTGCGGGGGAAAGGAAATAAACTAAATATAAAAAAGCAGTTCTAAAGACACGAGCTATGACCAAATCATGATGTGCTCCATGTCAGAGCTCAGACTAAGAAAGGCAAAACAGGATTATAGCACATGAATGGGGGACTACATGGGAATCCCAAATGTTGTGGTAGCGTGATCAATGGATAGAATCTAGGAACAGATTTAATCTATCCATGTGGAACTTCGAGTCACCCCTCTTTGTGCATGGATCTTACTCCAGTTCTCTTTAAAGCCAAAAGCATACAAAAGTAACTGGTCAAACATTCCAATGCAGGGCCCTCCTGAAAAAATCGTCAGACTCGGTGAGGTTTTCCTGGGTAAATAAGGTAATTGATTACATATTTAATTATCATCAATCCTGCGTACCACGATTGCAACAACAACAAAAATCAATTCTTGGATCGAATCGTGACCCAAAAATATGCCATTGCATCGAATTTCAAGGGAAGCCAAATGTTGCCTTCGGACTAGCGAGTGCTAAATCTAGACTGGCTTGACACCGCTCAAACACTTTGCTCAGCATTCCACTTGTAGTCTGGGGCATGTGTACTATAGGTTTCAGGACAATTCACAGGCATAAAACCGAATAACTGGCTTCTATGGCTGCTTAAATCTCCCATGCATATTAACCAGTGCCCTGGCTTAGACCTTAAAAAAATATTACATAATACATTAAAAAAAACACCAAGGGCATCATTTCCATCTTCACTCTAGGGGCACTTTTCTCCAGACTTCACGCAAAAAACGGGCACCGTTAAAAACAGGTTCACACTCACTCATTCACTCGTGACAGGTGAAATCCCACAGAGACAACAACGGTGAATTTAAAAGTCCCAAACTGGAATAAGGATGGAAACCTCGTTACAGACCTACAAGAATAATATGCTGAAACATTCTAAATTAAAACCAAGTTAATACTTGTTCCTTTGCTTCCCGATTACGTTGAGGATCATTTGTAAAAAAAGGGATATGGTTGAATGAACTCTCAATAGTCCATGGGCAAGAACAGAAATTGGTAACACACCAAGGCAGCAAAACTTTAGAAGAACCAATTTATTTACACGGCCAATACCAGTAAAGTATTCGATAACGCCATTAATTTCAAATGGTTCACGTAATTGTTGTTGGCCAAAGAGAAATTGGAACCACTCAAATGGTACCGGACAAGTCCAATATCTGCTCTTGGGTCATGGACTATCAACATTTTTATAAAGAACCGAACTAGTTAACGGCTTCTAAAAGCCATTGTATTTGTGCTTTCCAAAAGACTCGAGGTATACAGTTAGAAACAAATACATTTTCCTCCCTGCAAAGAGGAATCTTAACTTCAATAAAAAATCTTGCAACATTTTGCATCAGGAACATTTTAAGTCAGTCCTTGGAACACAATGGGCAATTATATGAAACACCTGTGCCACCAAGTTGCATCTTCTTTGATTCTTTCGGTAAAGTCACGTAGAATGAGAATAAAATAATAAATTGATCAAATTAAATAACACAATAAAATTCTCACGACGTTTCGGCCACAACAAAAGCGGCCTTGTGTTGTGGCAGAAACGTCGTGAGAATTTTATTGTGTTATTTTATCTTATCAATTTATTATTTTATTCTCATTCTACGTGACTTTACCGAAAGAACCAAAGAAGATGAATCCTTGCAGTCACGAAAGCTTTAAATCGAGACTCAAGTTTTGTATTCCAATGAAACTGTCACGAGTTACACGACAAAGGCAATCAATCCCCAAGGGGTATTATGTAACCAGCAACTGAAGTGGAAATCAACTAAATACACCTTTTAAATAACGGTAAAATAGTTACGGTGTTCTATTTAACCAAACGGAGGAATTTCGTATATTAAAATGTTTACTTGTAAACGTCATATTTGTAATGAAAGCGATTTAGCACAAACAATAACATTGACAATGGAAGTCCATGTAAAAAAAAAAACACTGAACTGGTATTGGCCAAACATTTCAATGCTGAAGAATTATTATTTACAAATTACTAAGCTGGGACCACAAACTTGGGAAGGAGCCTCCTGAAAAAGTGTCGAGAGGACTTGGCGAGGCTTTCCTGGCAAGGCAGCGATGAGTGTTGTTACTTGGTGCTGCTGGTGTTTTATGGTCGGAAAAACAGCATTTAAACGGTGGCAAATAGTGTAGTGGTGGAAGTTTTTGGCAATTAACATTGGATTGGTGGCAGTGTTGTGGTACCTGGTGGACAATGCACGTGACAGTGATTGAAGGCAGTGACAGCGGTATAGCTTTCATGGTTGTGTTCGTAGATTGTGGTAATGTTGGAGGGTATGTCACAGTGGTATTGGTGGTAGAGGGGGCTAGTGGTTATGGGTGATTGCGAGTGACTGGAGGAGTGTTAGTTTGCAGTGGTATTAGTAAAGGCATTAGTAGTTTTTAGTGGTAGTGGCCAATAGGTAGTGGCAGTTGTCTGATTATGTAATGTTTACAGCTCAAGTAAACTTATTTGAAACAGGTCACTTTAAAAATAACAAGCCATTTTACTTTGGGACGAAAAGATAAATGCTTCAGCCAACTGGGCATCTTCAAAACGTATTTCCTGAAGATTGAAACAGACCTTACTCTCATTTCAATGACCGATAATACAGACCGAGTTTCACTTTCAAATCAACCTGTTGTGTTTTTTTTCTTTCGGTAAGGTCACGTAGAAGGGAAATAATAAAGTCACGTAATAATATTTTATTATTTCCCTTCTACGTGACTTTACCGAAAGAACCAATAAGATGAATCCCTGCAGTCACGAAAGCTTCAATTCGAAATTCAACCTGTTGTTGTTCGTGATCATTCTTTTAAGAAGTCGTTGGTTAGCAGTGATGATAGTAGTGGTTGAGGATGGTTCATATTAGTTGTGGTTGATGGTAGTGGTGGTTGTGACAGCATCATTTATAATAATACTGCAGTAGTTAACAATGCGGAGGGGACCTGAGCTTAAGAAGTCCAATTTTAGTATTTGTAAGTTTCAGCGGTGGGTGGTTCCGAGTGTTATATTTTGTGGTGGTATTGGGTTAGTGGCGGTGGATTTAAGAGTTGTAATGGAGGGGTTGCAGCAGTGCCCGTGGTTTTGGTAATAGGCAAGTCATACTGCCAGCTTTAGCGGCGTTAGACGGTGGTTTATGGCGACAGTCACTAGACGAATGAACTCTGAGCTGCTGAAGATCACCCGAGACTCGCTGGTGATGGGTTATTCAGATGGAATGAAAATTTAAATTGTTAAGTAGTTAATGGGTGGTTTAAAAGAGCAGTGGTTGGTAAAAGTGGTGTATGGTGGTAGTTTCAAACAGAACAGTTTATTTAGAATTGCCCTGGGAGCTAAGAAGCTCTTGAATCGGGTTCAGAATTATTGGGTGATGGTAATTGTTTCTTAGGAAGTACTGTAGTAATGCACGAACGTCGTCGTACTTGACGGTGGTACTAATGCTCGGGGGGTTAGTAGTTCCGGCAGCAGCAGTTAGTCGCGGGCAATTCTTTGTGGTGGACGTAGTTGATATCGATTGTAAGGGAGACTTGGAAATTATTTGCGGTGGCATTGGTTAGCGCCTAACGGTAGTGGTAGATAGCAGTGAAATTGGCATTATATCAGCGTTAGTGGTGGTGGCAGTGATTGATAGCGAGGGTATTCATGTGAGTGGTTGCTAAAACCTCATCAGTGGCGAGTTCGACTGCAAATGCTACCGCTCATACTGTTGCTGTACAGCACCTGTCTGCAGTCCTCGAAAAACACGCACTAAACAAGCATGCATACACACAAACAAAACGCCACATCCAACACACATCACGGCATGCACAATAATTCTAGATCTAGTCATAACCACACAGACACTACACACACACACGACAAAAACACAAACGCACGCATCAGCATCCATTCACCACCAACGGAACGGTGATATCCCCACAGCGCGTGTGCCAGGCTAGATGCACTTTTGAAACAAGGCCAACGGTGGCAATTTCAATGGCAGGTCACGGGACAGAACCATCGATGAGCTTGTTAAAGGTCAACCGACAGACAACTGACGGATACAAAGACAGACATTGTCACGGCGTTTTGTGCCAGGCTAGGTGCGCTTTTTGAAGCCACGCCGACTGTGGCAATCTCAACGGCAGGTCACGGGACAGACCCATCCACGTGCTTGTTGAAGGTTAACCGACAGACAACCGACACGAAGCCGCCATAGCGCTCGTGCCAGGCTAGGTGCACACGTTGGACACGCAACTGCAGACGCTCAACAACAACAGCAGCAGCACCGCAACCCCCCTCCCCACCCCCCCCAAGACGCACCCGCGCACGCCGTCGCTGTAGGCCCTCCGCTTCCACGGGGTGCACTCGCAGTAGGCGCTGCCCGCCAGGATGCGCGCGTTCATGCCGTACGTGCTCGCCCGGTTCTCCCGCGCGGCCCCGGCAGCAGCGGCCGCCGCTGCGCATCCCCAGGCGCCGCCGCCGCCACCACCGCCACCGCCACGGCACTCGCCGCCCTGCGACGACCCCGAACCAAAGGCGGCGGTCACGATCGCGGGGCCTCCCGGTCCCGCCTCGCCGCCCGGGGCGAAGCCGTTACGAGCGGGAGGCGGCAGCAGCAGCGGCGGCGGCGGCGGCGGCGTGGCAGAGGGAGCGGGAGGCGCGGAGAGGGGAGGCAGCGAGAGAGGCAGCGAGAGAGGCGCGGCGGTCACGTCCCCCGCGAGCCCGAGGCCTCCACCCGCCGCCGACATCGCCCCCGCCAGGGCTGGAGCGGCTCCAGGCGAGGCCGGGGAGTGCGGGGCCGCGGCCGGGCCGCCCTGCGTGCTCTCCCACACGTGCATCCACAGAGTGCTGGCGGGGCCCAGCTGCTCCGGCTGAATCCACGAGATGCGCGGGTCCATGATGATGCTGATCGGGAGGTCGGGCGGGCGGGGCGGGGAGGAGCGGCGGGGGAGGTGGGGGGGGAACAACTCGGACTCGGCTCGAACCGTCGTGGCTCGCCCGCGCCTTTGCCGCTCCCTCCCGCCGCAGATCGGACGAGGCGAGGCGCGAGACGACGACCCAACGAGCTGGCGCGCGCCGCTTTGACCCGTGCCCCTGCTGTTTGCTCCTAGGCGCGTCGCGGTGCTCGCTGGTGGTGCTGATGATGATGGCGCGGGTGGGAGGAGGAGAACGGCAGCATCGACGGCCCTCTCGCGGTGACGTGCGCGGCCAGCGTGATGACGTTTTATAGCGGTGACCTGCGTGGTGACGTAAAAAACGCACACGGCCCGTTCGTGCGTTGCTCGTGAACGTTCGTCGGCGCGGTGACGGAGGGAGTTCTGCGCGATGACGCTCGCGGGTGCGTCTGCGTGGTGACGTCATTTATCAGAAACGTTTCGCGTGATGTAATACGCACGGGAGGGGCGGGGCGTGGTGACGTCCGCTCGTCAGAAAGCCCGGCGTGGTGACGTCAGACGCACCAGCGAGCCGGCTGTTGTGGGTGACGACTGGTGGGGGTCAAGGGAGAATGTTGTCCAAAGTTGTTGTTTAGATAAACAACAGATAAACAACAACAACTGTTTGGATAAACAACAACTGTATGGATAAACAACAACTTGATAATCGATGGCAAGAACGGGCAGCAGAGATTTCTGTTGTTGTCAAATGGTAATGAAGGCCAGGGAATGTTCGAATGACTTCACAGAGAAGACTGCGTAATATCCATAATAACGGGATTTTTTTTAATTATTGTTGTGTTAGATCACGTAAATATATAAACGCGTTGTTAAGCGACAAAGTTGGGGGCTTTAGGGGTTGCGAGCAACACAAAGCAACTGAAATGTCACGCGTGTGTACGTAACCGACCGTGCTATTCGGAGGTGCTGAGTTGAAGGGGAAGGACAGACACATTTAACACATTTAACACACTCAAAGCGCCACAAAGTTTGCGACGACACCGAAGTTGGGATTCCAAGGTTCTCATTAGCAGCCTCCCCCCCCAAAAAAATATATTCGCTGTGGCGAATCCCAGTGGTGAATTTGCCCTGGGCCACGAATCTTAAACCGAAGATCCACGTAAGGGCGAAGTGCGCCCCACTACCCCTGTAGCGAATATCTTTAATCGAATGTCTTTAATCGTAATTGTATATGATAGACTGGAGGAATCCGATGAGCTATGAAGATTTGGGGTTTTTTTCACAAATGTTCAATTTAACTTGGCGATGTCCAGCGTGCAACACCCGACGTGTTTGCACGCTAGCCACAAGCTCATAGACGGGCATTTGTTAAATAGAATAAGTAAGCCGGTGGTTGTCAATAATGCAAAAAAATAGCTTTGGTTATTTTAATATGGGGCCATCCATTTAGTACGTACGCATGGAGGGGGGGGGGGTTAACCCAAATGTGTACGCTTGTGTATGGGGGGGGGGTCTCCTGACAATGTATGTACACAATGTATGTACACATACATTGTGAAGCCACGATCATTATAATTTGTCTACATTGGCCTTCAAATGAGCCACAGTTCAGTGTCTTCAGCTGTCAGACAACAAGTACTAGCTGCAGCTATCACGCAGCTCAGCAAAATAAGTGGCTAAGGGTACGCGACTTAATTATTTAATGCAGCCGACGGTGTACTATCTAATAATAGGGTTTTCCCCCTTTTTTCTGGCAACAAAACTGAAACCTTTTTACAAGGATTCATGTCTGCATTAACCACAATACCTGCAGTCAAAATGCAAACAAAAAACATACTATGATATAATATGTGGCATTGTCCTTGAAAGTGATTGGTCCACACCAAGGGACGGCTTTCTTTTGAGCCTCGACCCAATTGGTGCTCGACCAGATGACGCCAAAAAAAACTGGACCAATCAGTTTCAAGGACAATGCCACATATATTATAATAGTGTGTTTTTTGTTTGCAATTTGACTGCAGGTATTGTGGTTAATGCAGACATGAATCCTTGTAAAAAAAGGTTTCAGTTTTGTTGCCAGAAAAAAAGGGGAAAACCCCTATTGTTACATTTTGGTACTGGCAAAGGAGGTCTAATGGTGTACTATCTGTTTGCTTAAACACGTTAATATTATTGACAGATTTTTTTTGCGGACCTACTCAATGGATGGCCCCGAAGGCCTCGGGTAAAAGAGACGGTGGGAGGGCATTCCAGACGGGGGGAGACAGGTGGGTGACAGCTTTATGAATAACATCATCCAGCAGTGGATTGAGCATGAGGGAGGGAAGGGGGGGGGCGTCATGTCTGCGTGACGTCACGAACGGTCCAAGGAACGTTTCCCCTACGACGTCGATTGACGACGTAGGCGCCCTTCAAACGCTATGACGTCGTTCGACGGCTTTAAACTCTATGACGCCATCACGCGGCGAGTTTGACTTTGTCGTCGGAGAGGCGAGCCTAGCGGTGACGTCGCGCGGTCACGTGCGGATGACTCGGCCGTGACAAGGCGGGGCGGGGGTGGTGGGGGAGTGGAGAAGCCCCACCCCACCCCTGCGCGAGCGTCACTGAACGGGGCGGGGACATCTGGTGTGACGTCACTTGATGGACGGGAATAATTTGAAAGAGGCTGCGTGACAGGGCTGGGTGGATTGGATGCGTGGTGGCGGGTTTAACGACACATTTGTATTTACGCGATCTAACACCCCCCACCCCCCCCCCCAAAAAAAACATTATTATGGACGAGGTGGATGAGTCACGTGACAGGTAATAACCATGTATTTTTGTTGAACTTCTTTCGCACTGTACGTGGCCAACCGTGCTCATCGGAGGCCAACGAACAAAAGCATCCTCACGATCCATGGGCAGGTGGCCCGTCGGTGTCCACTGCACATTTCGTCGTTTCTGTCCTCTTGTGCCAATATGCTCAAGTTAGTGCCACGTCTTTGTGGCGTCACATTTTCTTGTGTCGTCAAGCCTGTCAGAATCAGAATATTTATTTATACTGCAGGAATCCGATGAAGTATAAATATATTTTTCACAGTTGTCCACTAGAGGCGGTTTAGAACGTTACAACAACAAACAGTACATAAACACGATAAAAGTGGGGCTTGACCTATTTACAACTATAAACATAATTTTTTTTATTTTACCAGGTAAGGGCCCACTGAGCTGTTAGTTATTTTTCAGATGCGACCTGGCCACAAATGATTGCTCAACGAGGTGGCTTACCATGTGGAAATGTACAGCAGCCAAACATTCTCAACGCATGTTTCTAAGTGTGGATTTGAAAAAAAACAAGAGGACGAGGAGAAAAATCCACGTGACCACGGGAAGAAAGAGATGTAAACTCCAATTATACAGTCGGTGTCAGGGTCAGGGTTCAGTTATTTTGGTATAGCCCTGTGAGCCATTCGACTCTTGAATCGGGTGCAACCACAACAAACAAAACAAAAAACAAAAACACGAACAAGAAAAACATCTTAAAGTGACTATGCGTTGACTGTGCAAAACAGAAAATCCATGGGGGGGAAAAAAAAAACAGCAAAAATATTCCTGAAAAAAGCACCGTACACCAACGCTGTGTGCAAAAAAAAAATCCCAGTGGTCGGGATCGAACCCACGAACCTCCTGTATGCCTGGCGAGGCAGTTAACATCTCCTAGCCACCGTGGCACCCGTGACGGTGCGTGACACAATGCACACATGGCAGGTGAGGCACTTGTCGGTGACGTCATGGCGATAAGTTCGAAGTGAAGATGGTGCGGGTTACGGGAATGGAAGTGACGCGGGCTGCTGCGACAACACGATGTAACACAATAATTTTTGTTCCTGGGCAGTTAAGTGTTATTTCGTAATTGCTTGAGCCTAAAAAGTATATAAAATGGCTACTATTCCCCACAAACTTTGCTTTTGTGACCAGGGCAGTGATATTTAGCATATATTTTCAATGAGAAAACTGGCGAATTTGTGTATTTTTGTTCATATAAAGTCAGAAAAAAACATATGAATCAAAATTAACATGTATTTATACTAAGGTAATACGAAAATGAGGCATAATCAATTAGGAAACAACACTTACTACCCAGGAACAACACAAATTGTTACACTGTAATCAGATGACCCCCCACCCCCTCGCCTTGGCTAACGTTTCCATATCACAACAGCGACCTTCAACTGCATTTCACAGAAGAACAATCACGTGTTTAAAAAAATCACAGCCCTCTACGTCCATAGGAAAAAAAACTAAACTATTTTCTTTTTCACCAGGTCAGGCGCACTGAGCCTGACCTGGTGAACTATTTCTTAGAAGCGACCTGACCACAAATGACAGCTCAGCAAAGAGACGCATCACGTGGACACTTATATCAGCAAAATAGTCTCAACGCAGTCTTTTGAAATACGTGGTCAACCATGTTTAGTGTCGAACTGTGTCGTTGGCCGACTGGTTTGGCATCGCATTATTTTTTCTAAGGTTTGTTGAGTTCGCGTCTCCCATCTTCTTGCTGTATTTGCCTCCGTGCAGTTTGCCGTTCTCGGTGTGCTCTCTGTGTGTGTGTGATGTCCCTCTGTGTGTGATGTCCCTCTGTGTGTGATGTCCCTCTGTGTGTGATGTCCCTCTGTGTGTGATGTCCCTCTGTGTGTTCCCTCGCTGTGTGTTTTGCCCCATTTTCGCCTGATGACGAGCGCTTGTGTTGCGTTCGAAACGTCGTGAATTTTATTGTATTTCTACACACGTGACTTTACCGAAGGAGCCAATGAGTACGGTGATTCCTGCAGTCACGAAAGCTTCAATTCTAGATTACTCTCAACGCATGTTGATTTCTAAACGTGGAGGGGAAAACCGGAGGACCCAGAGAAAAAAAATCCACGCGGCCACCGGGAGATCATGCGAACTCCAAATATACAGGAGGCGTCAGTCGGGTTTGAACCCACAACCTCTTGTATACCAGGCGAGATAGTTAATATCTCGCCACCCTGGCACCCATCACCAGCAGTTCCTGAAGAACTTCGCCGTGGTCCCCTATTTTATACTTGGGTCACCATCAACATTCATTTGAGCAGTCGTGAGACAACTCAAGTCAACATCAACATTCATTTGAGCAGTCGTGAGACAGCTACAGAAACCCGCGGACCTGTTCCGTCCGCATTGCTGTGGCTACTGTTGTTGTAATGACAGCATTATTTGTTTTGTAGTGATGCGCGTGTATCTTTAGCGAGGTATAACCTCACATAGTTTTGGTGCAGGCAGGTCGTAGAGAAAGATGAAATATGGGCGGGGGGAGGGGAAACTACGTCCATATTAACATATATAAACGACATTGTATTTAATGTTTCAGACTAAATAAAGTAGTTTCGCAAAGGGCATGTGCTCGTCATGGGAAGAATTAGCCCGTACGTTAACCGTCAGTGAAGACGTGAGATGGATGTAGTGAATGAGCCCGGTACCAGATGTATGCCGAATGGCTCACAGGGCTACACCTAATAAATGAACTGAACTGAATGTTGAACTATTTAATTCAATTGTCGGTGCCACCGAAGGCTGTCGCAACTTTTGTAGCTCCAATTTTTTTTGGCGGAGACGCAACGTTGAATTACGTGATAACCATACATGCATCGGTCCGACTCGAGTTCTGCTAACGCAGGTGGCACCCATTTCCGCCGGGCCCCGTGTGGATCATTACGCAAGTGTCTGGCTCTATAAGGCCAGCTGTGAAGCAGTTTAGCTGCTTTAAATTAATGGGGATGCTCAGGCATACTCTTTGGTTCTTTCGGTAAAGTCGCGTAGGTATGAAATAAAATAAATCACGACGTTTCGGGCGCAACACAAGCGTCCGTCATCAGGTGGGAAAGCATGGTCTGCTGCTGAGGCAGACTGCTTTAAATGGTTTTAAATGGGTGTAGCCAAAGGATCATAAAGACGTCGAGGAGGCCGCTCTCCTACCTTAGTCACACGCTAATTAATCACATTAACATCACTAGCCCCGGCCACTTCTTTATGACCCTTGAGCTACAGCCATTTCAAACCTTTTAACAAACAGCCTGTCTCAGCAGCAGACCATGCTTTCCCACCTGATGACGGACGCTTGCGTGGCGCCCGCAACGTCGTGATTTATTGTCCACCTACGTGGCCTTACCAAAAGAACCAAGGAGTATGGATCCCTGCAGCCACGAAAGCTTCAAATCAAGAATACTCGTGCATGTTTTTTTTTCTCTGTTAATGTGAGAAATGTATTTTTCTCTGTTCAATAAAGGGGCATAGCAGCAGACTTGGCCCCATGCCTGCTGCCGTGTGCCTTGCCCGCGTGTGCATGCAGGGTCAGTTTCTCTTTCCAATTATTAGACTGAAATTAACGTAAAAACCATCCACTCGACTGGCTTTGAACACGCCTGCATTCCCAGATTAAACAATGCAAGAGTATTCTTTGGTTCTTTCGGTAAAGTCACGTAGATAGAAAAATAATAATTAAAATAACGTGAATGAAAATAATAACTTTAAAAAATACTGGAGCCTGGTTCTTAATCGGAGACTGTTGCAATGGTTATTAATTTTTTTGAGTGGACTGGCAGTCTATAATGTAGACTTGCAATGGTTATTCAGCTGGGTGAGTACTGGCAGTCTATAATGTAGACAACCTCGTTGAGTGGACTGGCAGTCTATGTAGACTGTAGCCGTAAAAATAAAGCCACGACGTTTCGATCGCAACACAATCGGTCAACAGGAAAAGTGGGATGGTTTTTTTTTCAGGCTAGTCTACATTATAGACTGCCAGTACACACTCCGATTAAGAACCAGGCTACAGGATTTTTAAAATTATTTTTTAATCACTTTATATATGTATGTTTTAATATCTACGTGACTTTCCCGAAAGAACCAAAGACTATGAATTCCTGCAGTCACGAAAGTTAAGTAAAGATTTAATGCAAGAATAAGCAATAATTCAAACAGGCTCTGCTCGTGATAAAAGACCTTTATTTAAAACATCCTCTGTGGCAATGAAATAACACACGATGCGGGCACACACACACACACGTGCGTTCCCAAGTTCGATATGCAGCATGTAAATCCATGGATGCAGCCAAGAGGGAGACACGACACAAAGACAGGACGACTCGAAGCACTACGGTCGCAGGGGAGACACGTTCGCCACCATCACAGCATCAAAGCAATGTGTCCATAATATACATATATATGTATAGGCTGCCTCTTTAAACGTCTTTCGGCAAAAACGACTGTGGTGTGGACAAAAAACGTGGCAGCGATCCGATCAATTTTTTGTAACTTTTTTAATATATTATTTTTTTTAAATCGTTTTTTATATATTTTTTTTACATTTCTTGGCGTCACACATTAGGCAGGCAAGTTACACGTACAAATAACACTTACTAGTTACAATGCAACTTAATGACAATTAAAAAGAAATAATACCTAGCCACTAAGCTCCATACAAATGGCACTTTGTATTTTATCCGACAGCAGTAAGTGCCTTAAATTTGTCAAGTTGTTGGATAGATAAGATTTGCTTAGTCGAGTTATGTTTTTTTTATAACTATCATAACTATATTTGTTTAGATATTTCCGTATTAATGGCTTATGGGGACCATTCATAAGCCAGGACGGTTTATGGGCAAAATTCTGAGCCAGTAATTATGAGAAACTGGGTTTGAATCCACATTTCCCACCTGGATTTAAACCAGGACTTCAATTGTCGATTTCAAAACAAGATTCTGAAGTGTTGTGATATCTAATCATTGCACATATGTGCAGCATATATACGGCTCCAGTTTAATTCAACTTCGTCTTCAACAAGGCATATTGTATATCATGACATGGACTGCACTTTGTGATGGGTTACTCTGCTGTAGGTAGCGGGACAGAGAATTAACAAACAAAGCTCTACTTCATATAATTAAGATGAAGTTTGTTTGAAAAAATATTACCAATATTTCAAGACAACCGGGTGGGATAGGTGGACTAAGGGTAGCCAGGTGGTGTATGACGTTCATAATGGCTGCGTCTGAGCAGTGAGCCAGCACCACTAAGACTCTGGATGGAATTCGGGCAGTCGTCATTAAACCAGGTCCTCCAGTGTAGCGAGGCAGATGGTCTTAGTCTGGTTACCAAAAACTGCAGAAGTAATCCACTTAAACATAATTTGGGTTTCTCACTTTACTACTCTGTATTTGCCCCAGCCCAGCAAGACTGCTTTACATTTCACAAATATACTACATGACCGCTAGGTGGTGAGCCACTTTCTTCCCCGTGACTTAAAGGAGTGCTATCGTCTCGTGTTGGGTCTGCGAGGCCTATGCAAGCGACGGCAGTTGTAGCGTCATCTTCCAGAGCTGTTCCCTGACGAAACAATGTTCTACTGTCTGGAGGGGTTCCAGATGGACGGTTTTTTTGCCTCATTAAATTACTGAGAGCACAATTGGGTTGTAATCGTTGGCACATGTACACCACGCCTCCGACGCTGCAACATATATTAGCACTGTTGCACAACTCATTTTACAGGGAGCAGCCTTGAATTAAAAATACAACTTATACGGTAGAAAAAATAATAGATCACCACGTTTCGACCGCCACACAAGCAATCATCTTCAGGTGGGACGATTACTTGTGTGGCGATCGAAACGTCGTGATCTATGATTTTTTTCTACCTACGCGACTTTACCGAAAGAAGCAAAGAGTATGGATTCCTGCAGTCACGAAAGCTTCAAATCAAAATTATACGGTAGAACTCTTATCCGCGACAACTATTTCAAATTGCAATAGCTGTAGGGGCTCAAAAAGTCCTATTTTCAGCTCTCCTATTTTTATTTGTGCGATTCCCCCCAGCTCCCCGTCCTGCGTAAAGTATTGGCTTCCAATAATGTGCAAATGTTTTGCGAACCAAATCCGTCATGTCTGTCCCCCACGTCACTGAAGATAAGAGGATCTTTCCTGTAATGCACGATGGAGGGTGTGTGTGTGTTACAGGAATCGTGAGCAATATGACACTAGAGGGTTTAAAACAAAATGTTGGTGCCCTCAAAGAGCACGTAAAGATTTGTTTTTACTTGTGACATAGCAACACCCAGAACACCTGCCCAAGATACATATTTGAATATAAGTTCGGTCAATTTTTCAGACAAGACGCATGGAACAAATTATTTTTTTTTTAATTTGTTACAGAAAGCCAAACTCCATTATCTTCTATCCTTCCATATCATAAACCACAGTTCAGACACGCTGATACATAGAAGCAATCATAAAAAAAAAACAATCAGCATTGTTTCAACCACTCCTTTCCATGGCATTTCATATCGTCTCTGCGATAGGAGAGTCTGTAGTGAGACCAAAGCCATACTGACTGGGAAAGCAGCTGTCTGTGTAGCTTTCATCGGTATCCATGGGAGTAACTGCGCACAACACAAGGAATAAATAATAAAATAAATGTGCCTTTTTTTTTGTTACTTAAAACTTTCGTGACTGCAGGACTTCATATCCTTTGGTTCTTTCGGTAAAGTCACGTAGATAGAAAATGAAAATAAACAAAAAAAACTCCACGACCTTTTGATCGCAACACAAGCGGTCGTCAGCAGGAAAAGGGGGGTTAAGCCTGAAAAGGCAAACTCCTCATATCTCTACCCCCTCTCTCTCTCTCCCTTATCTCTACCCCCTCTCTCTCTCCCCTTTTGTCTTTTCCTACATTAACATGAGCTGCCCCGCTCATGCTGCCGACACACTTGGACTACGCCCATCTGTAAACCTTTATAAACAGTTTGGCTTGGGAGGCTAACCCCCCTTTTTCCTGATGACGACCGCTTGTGTTGCGATCGAAAGGTCGTGGGTTTTTTTGTTGTTGTATATTTTTATTTTCTATCTGCGTGACTTTACCGAAAGAACAAAAGAATATGAAAACTCAATGTAACCTTTTGCCATTAACAATATTGCCATCTGCCAGTGTTAGACTGAAAACGTGATATTAATAATTATTCCCTAATTAATCCAGGAAAGGCTCCGAGTCTTAAGAGTGTCCTGCATTTTTGCATGTTTGGCCATATTTTCTAACGAGTGCTTTGAAAGGGAACGGAAGTGCCAGGAAACATGCACCACCCAGAAACGTGCGTTTTCGAGAGGATGACGCATGCAATCTGCACAGATCCACCAACCCTGCCCTTCAACAACTGCATCATGGCTGTGCGCCACTGCGCAAATTAACATTGTAAGAATATTTCCTTTTTTTATCCAGGAGAGCCACACACTTTGTTTTTCATTAGGGTCCCGATGCATTTTTTTTGTATTTTAAGATATTTTCAAACAATTAAGGAGTCTTCATACAAGCGGAAGGAACCCGTAGCAACCGGGAGACAACCCAAGCGCATAAGGGAGAGGGGGGGGGGCAACACCATCCCCCGTACAGATGGAAACTGATGGCAATTCGTCCACTTGCTGTACTGCCTTCTTCTGGCGAGCCAGGGTATGGCTCTTCAATCCCCATGGGAAGGGAGTTTCACAATCCACCAACCCTTGCTGCCTACACACTGTTGGATTACAGGCGTGCACCACAACCGCCTGGGATCTAGAGTTGACGATACGTTAGAGAGTCACTTAAACGAGTGGAACCTACGCTCGTTGAGGCAGACAATGACGACAAGGGGGAACCGAGTCAGCACCACACACGAGCTATGTTGGCTTTCAGGGCTGCCCCCTGTTGAATATAACCGTTCATTAACCGAGAACATTTCTGTTAAAATGGCAGACATGTAGGGATATTCGGGGTGGCTCAGAGACCTAATTTTCTGTTTCATGATACCGGGGTTACTGATTATGGTCTCATGATCAGAACGCTCGCTCACACAGACTCGATGGGTTCGAATCCCACCACAGGTGCCAGGTGATTTACTGGAATGTTTTCTTGCAGGCAATTGATGAACATAGCCATTTACTATGATATGGATGCTTAAAAAGCACCCGTGTGGATTTAATGTATACGCTTCATCTGTGACAATGCTCAAACAAAGCCACGCTTAAATATGTTCTGCACCTAAACTGCAAAAAGTCACTTCCCACATGCAACTACAATTAACCAGGAACTCTCTAGCAAAAGTGGTAATGAATCCGTGGGCTTTTACCCTAGCTAATGAAAGGACAATGCATTGAGAGTGGATCGATGCACACTGTCTACGATGCTACTTTGAATGAAACGGCTCTCGTTTGTATAGACGTACGATAGCAACATCCCCTCCAGCCAACCGTGACACGCAACATCATCATCTGACGTCATATTGTAACAGTATATGCAGCTGAAAATTTCACCCAGCTTGGGTATCACAGATTGTATCGAATAAGAAGTCTTCTGCACATCTGAATAGTGGCTATTGGGTATTGGTATTGAGATCCAATCAAAATTGACAGCTTATTACTATGGATTCTGCAGTTGTGCAATACTTTTAATATAGTCATGTAATTCAATGTTACATTCGTATTAATTATAGACCGTGTTGCTTACATCTCTATATAAAACGTACAGATAAACTATTTACAACCTTAAAACAACAGCCATCGCTATAATATACTCCGACTTTTCTTTTGCCTCAAATGTGGCGTGCAAATTGGATCAAAATAAATATTCTGGCAAATTCACTCTGTAGGTCAGAGCATATCACGAGGGATAACATATCTTCCCACCAAAACAAGCCTGACTTGGGCAAATGTCATACAATAAATTACACGCTTAAAAAAAAGGATGTCTGTAAGGGTCACAGTCACCGAAATAGACATAACGGTCAGTGACGACAATGTGCGTCGCGTGAGAATTGCCATCGTAGTGTTTTAACTAGTTAATTAGCTTGTGTTTTGCTTTACCCCCACGGAAATATTGCACTTTCCTGGGCTCTGATCAGAGGCATCTTGACCTCTGCTGCCATTTTAAGTTCAGTTTCCATGACAACACAAACCTCCACAGTTCTGATTGGCTAGGAAAATGCACGTGACTAAAACAATCACTTCCTTTCAATTTAAATTCAAGCTTCGAAAACGCACTGGGACCTTTTGAAAGACCAAACCCACTTGACAAATGCAAGGCAAAACAATGCAACGACAAAAAACCTCACAAGATTTATGTGGCATATGGACAACCTCCATCCACTTTCGTAGATACCTATTCGATCTCCTTAAACAGCACGTTTTCATTGTAACTTCCATTCCAACGGCTCAATTGGCACTTCTAGCCGTGCAGCTTGCTGTGAGGATCATTGCATTACAAGGTGCAACGGAATGCCGACGAAGCCACTTTGTTGCCGTGGAATGCCGAGGGTCACCCTTACCAGTGAACGCAATTGCACGCGAGCAACAACCTCTCAAAAAAAATGTGCACAAAAGTGAACGTCGGACAGTCGAGACATCAAACGGAGCGGGGGATTTGCACATTTTCACCTAACAGCTCCCCCCCCCTCCAGTAGAATTTCTTCTCTCCTCGCAATTTCACAAACGGGCCCAGGCAATGGCAATCGGCTGAATAACTGATGCACGTGTAGCCTCCGCCGAACCAAGGATTAAAAAGAGAACGACCACTGGGTAGACACGAGGGTGGGGACTTTCAGGACAGAGGTGGGGCGACGGCCAGGGAGGTTTGGGGGAGGAGATGCGGGGGGGGGTGTCGAACTCATCCCTCCGAAGACGGCGGCGTCACCCAGCCATATTTTTCATGAGTTTTCACCAGGCTCTTGAACGTCGCCTCCGCCTCTTTCCTCGTGAACGCCTTCTTGGCCTTGCTCGCTTTTCTGCAGATCCTTCCCTGCAACCAGACAGGGCGTGAGACGCGGCGAGACAGAATGTTAGCTCAGGTCATGTGGTCGAGGTCAAGGTTTTTTCCCTCCTCCGAAAAACCATCGTTGAGGTTGCACACGTCTTCACCTTGGGGCCCGGAGCCAGTGGTGGGAAGTCCGCATTCTCGTGGCAGAGAACAGTCGAGCCATAGAATGACCATTGTGCAGACATCTCAAACAGTCGTATGCATTGCATTGCTGAGAATGAGTCTACATTGGTGGGCATGGGGTTATGCTGAGAGGCTGACTGGTTTGAGAAGCTAGTGGGATTGTGCAGCACCCGTCGTTTGAAGAGGGAATGCTTCCGAAAAAAAACATCGCCTGCTGAGCTGGAGCGATCCAATCAGGTAGTGTGCGGGTACGAGATGGATTGTTACATCGTAGGACTGAGGGATGGTGACAGGTAGACGAGGCCTTCATCCAGCAGTGGATTGACCCATGGCTGATGAAGATAACGTGTCTTTCGGTTTAAGCCTGCATGTGGGTCTCTTCTAAAAGCAAGTATAGGTTACTACGAGTGGTGATTATATGGAGAGGAGAGAGTGGCCCCTTGCCATGTGGGATTCTAGCACTGGTTCAGGGCAGTAACACAGCAGGCATCACCCCACAGCCGATTGACTGGGGAAAACACTGTGACCTTTTGAACGTTACTCGATATAGCTCTCGATGGCGTACGATGCTTCTTATGCACAGCACGCCGGACCTAAGAAAGGTCAGCATCCCCCCCCCCCCCCCCCCCCCCCCCCCCCCCCCCCCCCCCGTTCAAACACGCATGGGGCAGCACCGAGCGAGAAGTGGACATTCCACACTCCAATGGCAGAGGGCAGTCTATACTAGGCCGAACACTGTTGATGTCCATAACAAAGCTGGCAAGTTCAGCGTTTGAAAGCGAGCGAACCTTTCCGTTCGCAAGCCGGAGCGCTTCAGCCGCATTGCCGTCCGGCCAGACGCAACGGCCGATTTAACGAGCATTCACGATGCAGCCGCCTGCCCCCCGCAACCACCGACAGCCACCCAGGAGTCACCTTCAGCTCTTGATTTTTTTAAGTTAATTCGGCGTAGCGCGTTTTGCTTTGGCGAAGACTGCGTCAGCTTCGCTCCACCGCCGGCCGCGCCGGAAAATCGGCCGACTCGGGTTATACCTTCCACTTGCACGCACGCGGGGCTCGTTTGACGCACGCGAATGAATAATTTACGCGTTTCCATGCAACGCGTGCTACGGTCAGCTCTGGCGTGTGTCTTTGCCCACCCCGTGTGGCCCGTAACATAATAGCGTGCAAAACATGCTGGGGCGGGGGGGGGGGGGGTTGGAATTTGCTCACAAGAGCGCGTTACAATACCGAGCGGGGCACGTTACACACGCTGCAGGCCACGCAAAATCCACCCAATAACGGAACACACCGTACGGGCCACACGTGCGGTGGTGCTGGAGGGGAGACGCCGGTTCAGATTTCGGGTCGGAATGTTGACTGTCGTGCGTGTGTGTTTGAAGAACACACTGCGATTAATTCACACTTGAGCGCAAACATCGTTACACAGCCCCATCATCCCTCGGAGATCAATAAAAAATGATTAACCACCGTGCAGGAAGCTAAGCTTGGCGCAGACTACATGATGGTTCTGTTGGCAACAGCTGGGCTTGAGCAGGGCACTATGGTGAGAGAGGATGATGATGGATGATAACCGGAGAGGGGCAGACAAGGAACGGAACAGGATGCGTCCGTGAGGACGGCAGTTCATGTGCAGGTGCTGAGCGCATTGTTACATCACAGGATGAGAATTTCGGGAGTTAGGGGAGGCCCTTCATGCAACAGTGGATTGATCGTGGCTGCCGATGATGACGATGGTTATGCCAGCTTCCTGGAGCAGTTCTTTCCAACTCGGGGCCCCAATTTAAAACTCTTGTCACAGGGAGAGCGGCGGGGAATAAGTGGCACAATTTATACCCGTCACGGCAAATCGCCCCGTGTTTGACCTCTCCCCGACAGACCGCCATTTGAAAATTGGGAGCTAAAAGCCAATCCAGGAGAGGTGGAGAGCATCACGTGGCGAGCATTGTGACATCACAGCGGCTCGAGGCACCATTTAATTACATTACTTTCCCGTATTTTAACACAGTACCAAAAACACAGAAGTGGAGGAATGATGCAATGGGCCAGGGCAACTCACTATGAAGCCAGTTATCCGAGTTCAATTCTCGGCCATGGTTAACATCAATTGGCACGTGATACGTGAACCAGTCCTCAGTGGGCCCCCCTTCACCACCCTGCAATGACCAGCATAGTGAAGTATGGTCAAACAAACGTTATGACCGACGAGGCATGGGGAGGCCTTCATCCAGCAAACAAAGGGCTCACTTTTTTTCTCAAACGATTCCAGTGCAGTGCATTGCACAAGCAACTAAAGCAAAAGCCATCAATGAGATTCATTACGCGAGCACTTAACTTGTCAGGCAAGATCGACAGTCGGCAGCAATTCCGTAGGGCGTCGCAGACAACCACAACAGTTGGTCCTACGGCCAGACTGGGCCCCAACCATAGGAATGGGGAATTTCCAGCAAAACTACCAACAGAGATGATGATTACTGGCCCCACAATTGATTTGCGATTTTAGACTTGACTTGCCATGAGGGTGTGGAGCTCAAAGAATTTGACAGCGGGGTCAGGTTGACTGTACAGTAAAGCGGAGTTCCGGTGACCACAGATGAGAAGTCCATGATGTCATGCGCGTATGCTGAATAACATATCGAAACGCAATAGTTCACATCACCGAGTGTTGGAGAGTGATGTGGCACACGCTGTAAATCGAACGACGCGCACTCCAGCGCAGTCTTCGAGACAGGCTGGTCCCTTCACCTGATGAAGGCCGCTTGTGTTGTGGCCGAAACGTCGTCATTTTTGTTTTAATTTTTTTACCTACGTGACTTTACCGAATAGAACCAAAGAGTATGGAGACTTGCAGTCACGAACGCTTCAAATCTAGAATTGACGCGCAATGGACCCGGCGACCCGACTACAGTCCTCGGCAGCTGTTAACATCAGTGGCAAGTGACATGTGAAGCAAGTAACTCTGAAATTGGGACTACGCAGTTCCAATGAAATCATTTAAAACAACTTCTAGTAATCAGAATCGGATTACTTTTAATTAAGTACGTAATCCTTCCAACTGGCCACAGACAGAGATCGTAACAACCTTGCCATGGGTTCGATCCAGACCCTAAGGTCTGTATCTTTGGAGTTTGTATGTTCTCCCTGTGGCCGCATGGATTATTTTCCGAGTCCTCCGGTTTTTCCCTCAACATTTAGAAACATGTGTTTCAGAGTATTTGGCTGCTAGAAATGTCCACGTCAATTGTTGGCTAGGTCGCTTCCAAAAAAGAGCTATGTCGCTCAGGTGGGCCTTAGCTGGAGAAATAAAAAAAAATAGTTTTAATAGTTTTGTACGCACCGGAGCATTAAACGTTGCACGTTTACTGTGAGGATTCATAACCGCCCCAACAATGCACTCAAAAACATCAACAAATGCAGTTTTGGCTCTGACCACCAGGTGGTTCTTCATCCACATTGAAACGGCTTGCGCCGAGCGTGCGCGACAACGCAGCAGCGGTTTCGCAACACAGTACACGGCATTCCCTGCGAGAAGAATGGACACGTGGGGGGGAGGGGCTCATCTCCGTTGGTGGCTCAGAGCCAGTGCTGACAATTCCACTTTTTATGGTAGGGGTCAGTTTGATGATGATGATGACGATGATGGTGGTGGGGGGAGGTCAGCCTGCCCATAAGATGACCAATGTCGATTTCTCTAAAAGTGGAACCTATTTGATTAAACCCATACATTTGTTGTTTTTTTTTACTAAAAAAAACAAAGATCCCCCAGTATAGCCTTAACAGACTGTTGGGGCAAGTGCTGTAAGCGAGTACCTATGAAGGCCGGAACGGTACACGAGGGGGTGGGTGGCCAGCACCACGCCCAGCCGCCTTTGTCTCCCTAGTGGCGATGTTTACACACCGCACCAGGTACTCAATTGAGGCCAAGTCAATCTAGGGGAGGCCCAGGACCGGTTCTGATAATCGTCACTGCTGTTGGCTGTGAGCGGGAATTGAACTGGGGTGGCTGGGTTCATAGTGCAGCGCTACACTACCGCTCCTCACACGCTCACACACACTCACACACACACGTGCGTTCCGTTATCGTGAATTGTGGCATTTAGTCGACCCCAAACTAAATTTCAAGTCGCAACCTTCCAACTGCGAGTTTACTGCTCAAACCACAGTGCCACGCCACCCAGACCGGACAGATTGCCAGCGTACGCAACACCTACTGTGGTGTTCATTATTTCGTTAACACTGCAAACCTTTATTTCCCAAAATATCTTGACGATTGGAGACTTGGTCATCAGTCATGATCTACCCACCAACTTCTGGATGAAGAAATTCCCAAGCTGTAGCCATCCCTCATGGTGTCTCGCTGTAATGATGTGAAAATATTTACTCTCCGGCGATTGATAAGTCTTTCACGCGAGTAGTTGAATGGTGGCCAATATTATGGATAGCAGTGGTGTGCCGTATAATTAATCACCACGCACCCCCCCCTTGTGAGAGAATCAATGACGGTAATCACTGTGATTCAGGGGTTGTGGTTCTACTCCAGGTTGGGGTGAACCCATCGCTATTTCTATCTCGTGGTTGTAGGAGTCACGTGAATCTATGACATGCAACATATACAAATCAATACCGCATTAGGTATACAAAATAATGTACTGTAGAGACAAACTCTTCCACAATTCAAGTAAATGTAGAGTAGTCGTGCGAGGATAGCGATCGATAATAATCAGTGCATGTCCCCGGTTCAAGAGCGCACACAGTCACCTGTTTAAAGAGTAACCAACTTAGAAGAGAAGGTTCACGTAGAAGACGACCTGATGATGCAGGAAGTGATAAGATGGAAACTGGGACTATTTGGACACATG